TCCAATATGCTCGTCTCCAAGGAGTCATTCTCCAGAATGAATTACGGGATTACGAAAAGCTCTTTCTCATCATATTTTCTTGATTTTAGTACGAAAATCAGTCAAACATATGCAGCCGGAACCTTTTTTTATGAAACATATAAAGCAAATTTTTTCAGGTTTGCTTGATAGAAGCAAGAAGTAACATTACATTTATATTATGTTCTACCACGGGCGTGTTTGTTCGGGCTTCTCTTTTCAAGAGAAGCAAGACAATGTCATGGGAGACACGAAGAGCTAAAACTTGCTCAACCGAAAAAGTAAGGACACGTACATGATAATTCAATAGTACATTTACATCATGTATCATGAGTTAACCTTGGAATCCACTTACTGCGATCAGAAACAGCATTTTGCATGTATAGGCCTCTCTACTTGGAAATGAAGTGTACATATAATTTCAAGTGTTTTTAGTTGGTAACTTTAGTAGAAAAATCCATTTTCAGAATTTAAGTTTTTATCTTTAGAAATTTCCCAATTTTTGTACATGTTACCATCCTGTCTTATTTAAACGAGATGAAAACTGAGAACGCAAGTCTGAGGTCCGTCACAGTGGACTTCACAAATGTACCATTCCCCTCTATTTCCATACAGATGATATATTACATATAGTTTAATAATATTCATCCAATCTGAGATTCATCTTTCTGTTTAAGACACAGGCCTGGTAAGTTATCTATGATTGCTGACGAAACAAGGTTACGGAACAGAAATAGAAGAAGAACAAAATTGTGCAAGATTAATGCGAAGATCCTTATACTAATTCCAAAAGTTTGATTCAAAAACTAGATTGCAATAACGTTCGTAAAATCGGCCTGTCCTATGCCAAAGAGACGCTTGGCATGTTACCTATAGTACAGTTCGATGTTTGACAGATAATCTTCAGACTCGCAGGAGTTTGTAGTACAAATAGTTGTACTACATACAGTATTTTCAGTAATTCTGAATCTGAATGGATGAGGCTGTACCAGTTCAAGCAGTTAGTATAGTAGTGTTCATGGTGTGGACAGGGAAACTGTTTCAGTCTGTCCATGGATCTCTTGTACGATTGATTTTGCGAGAGCTATATGAGATTTTTTTGAAAGGAATTCTGTACATGTAGGCCACCGCTGTTTGATTGAAAAATTAGGCGGATACAACAGTGCCATAACGAACTCTGAATAATGGATGAGGTGCAGCAAGAAGTCATTTACGGCGGTTGACAAGGGTCAAGCAGTGTCACATCCGGACAGGCCGATCTTACTTACATTATTGCAAATTTTTTTCTAAACCGAAATTTTGGAATTTGTGTAAGTATCTTCGCAGTAAAATACAAAGATAGTTAAAATACAAAGACACAACAAAGATTGGCTAAAGCTGGGAAATTGCAGTCAACTCAATCCCCATTGTAATTCAACATATATTAGCATATCAAAAACTTGAAGTAAAAATTGACAACATATCACATCAGGTTTCAATATGAAAAGCTCCAATCTGTTTAAAATAATTTACAATAATTCACATCAAAACCAAATGAATTTGCAGATATGAATTTCAGAAAAATTCATGTATCACAAAGTGTCAATACATGAAACATGTAGCTTATTTCCTTCAGGCTACAAACATAAAAACACACACTAACAACTTAATCGATAAAATTCATATTTTCATATAAAAGCTTTCATCAACATTAATAAATTCTATTTTATTAACATTAGTTGTTGAAATTTAATTTCAAACAAGTTGAACTTCAAGAAATCATAGATTCTTGAATAAACTTCTATAAATGATTAAACTTCATAATATTGTCATGATATTGCTAGGTTTTATTTTCAAAATTGAGTTTTTAAAATGAAATTAAATGTCTTATGAACAATTTAAAAGCAAAGTTAAAGGAACTTTTTACACCTGTTTTTTTAAAACAACTGAATTTAAAATTCATGGACATCCAGCTTGCATTTGTTATCTTTCACTAAAATTGATGATTCTTTTTGAGCGTATTTCATGACATAACTATAAATAAAAAACCAAGATTTGATGATTTCTTAAAAAAATAAGGCTGCATTGCATCATAAAATATTTGATATCACATGTATTGAAAATCATATCCAAACACATGGTGACTAACTTCAAAAAATTTGATTGTCATTATGTAAAATATGGTTCATGTTACTTGTGAATAACTTTTTACTCAAATACGTCTCTTATGAGTTTTCTCCAGTACATCATGAACGTCATAAAATAATTTTCATTTCCAATGATCAGAGTATAACTGCATTATATTGCACAAAACCTTTTAAAATAAGTTCATATTCTTATGGCAATAATCAAAAAGATAAAGATATGCATCAGCATAAAAAAATTTGGTTGATCAACAAATCTTCAAAATTAATCTTCCGTCCAAACCTCCAAATTCATTCTCCAAGTTTGTGTTTTTTGTAATTATTTTTTTCCAAATTCAATCCTTTAGGCGTTATCAGAAAACTTAGAGGTATTTTAGAATAAAGTCATTTGAGTAGAAGATATGTTACCACTAGATACATTTTCTTGACTCAACACATGAAACATGTTAATATGCAAAAAAATAAAATATTTATAGTATTCGTGGATAGAGATCTGATTAATTGTTAAAGTAAATGTTTTTAAAGAAAGCTTATGCATTGGCCTAGTAATCAGAAGATATCATCTTTCATCATTATTTATATGTATTATGAAATTAATGTTCATATAACAGTAATGTTTTTATTGTACCTTAGTCTTTTTTGAAATTTTGTGTGAAGCTATTCACAAAAAAGTTTACGAAATTGGACCAGGAGCTAGTATGATGTGTACTAAAAACCCTTAAAATTACTACAATGAAATTATGGACATTTGAAAAAAAATCAATGTTAAAAAATAACTCTAGATTTGATTAATCTTGGTTAAATTTTTCATGATTAGTCATCCGGTTAGCATGTCACTTTAACATATTTAATATGATTAGAATGTATCCAACTGCCACAATATAAAAGAGCTAATCATTTTAGAAAATATTGTTGCACCGAGGTAAATTTGAAACATAGTAAACAAAAAACTTAAATTATATATCGTTGTCTGCAATAAAGACTATACTTTTTTGGTCTCTATGGAAGATCGTTCATATTCACAAATTTGGAAGCAAGATTTTGGTGACCAACTATCGGACTATCATGGTGGGTAGTATTTTTTCCAAGTTATTTGGCAAATTGGTGGAGTCAAATTTGAGCACATGGGTTGAATCTTGTCAAAAGAGAGCATGGTTTTAAGCTGGTTTTACATACTTGACTACATTCAACACTATGGATAATATCTTGGTTTTGCGTGTTTTATGGAAGAAGTCCAAGCAAAATAAAAAAATTTTGTTCTGTGACTTCATGGAATTCAAGAAAGTTTTTGACACAATTCCTCGAGAGTTTTATATGGAAGATTGCGAACTATTGAAGTATCATCAGATTTTTTAGCAGATGTGGCCACATTATACCATTTCGTTAGGGCCAAAATTAACACCTCTCAAACGGAATAGATTTTGAGTACCATTGAAGTCCTTCAAGGTTGTACTCTCTCTCCTACTCTATTCGCATTTTTCATAGATGATATAGAAATGTGGTAAAAGTATCGTGAAAGTGAAGTTGTCAAACTTAGAGGCTTTGTCATCAAAGCTCTTTTGTATGTAGATGATGTCATATTACTAGCACGTAATGTCATTAGTTTACAAAAATATCTTAACACTTTGGCTAGCTTTTGTGTTTAAAATAAGGTGAAGATCAGTTTGAAGAAGTCAAAAGTAATTCGTGTGAGCACTAGATACAAGTATTTTTATTTTTTTTACAAAAGATTAGAGTTGGATAAGTGAAGAGTTACAAATATTTAGTCATTGATTTCTAGCATGATTATAATTGGCCACTTTGTGTGCAAAAGAGAGTAGAAGTTGGTTTCAAAGTTCTATAATCATTAATAAATAAATGTAGAGTAGTTCATCTAGTGTCTTGAAGTCTTAGTAAATTCTTATTCAGAAGCTAAGTGTTTTCGGGTGTCTTATATGGAACACAAGTGTGAGGTATTGGTTGTAAGAAGACAGGTTGACATAGTTTGGATAGAATGCAAAAGATATTTTTACAAAAAGAATTGGACGTGAAAATCCAAACTTCATATGCTATTCTTCTCACCGAAACAGGTTGTTTAACTCTTCAGATTGAAGTTTTCTTCTTGACTATCATTTACATTTGTAGAATGACATCTGTTGATACTTCTCCACTTCCTCTTGAAGCTTTGCGTGCTACACAAGGGATGGTTTGCAAATGTGATGATTTGATCTTTGAGATGAATGTGACAGATTGAAATTTGCATCCTATTATACTTAAGGAGTAATTTTTTAGCATTATTTAGAGCAGAAGAGTCACTAAAATAGATTTTTATTAACTTCATGTGAATCTTATACTTGTTTATTGTGAACAATGATATCTATTCGCAAACATCTTTACATCTTTATGTCATAGTACTGCTCGGTATAAAAAAAGATATCATAGTTTTGGAATTGATGAAATGCATAAGTTAAACATGGATAGGAGTGAATTTATTAGTAGACTATGTGATGTGAAAAAAGTTGAGCATAAGAAGCATGTGTTTGTTATTTGTACTAGATATTTAGATTTTTCATAAAAATTTTGTTGAGAACTTTCATTTTTACTATTAACTAAGTAATATGATTTGAGTTCTTTTATGATTGATGGTATTAATTTTATTTCCAGTACTTTGGGCACTAGTAGGGCATAGTTCTTCGCTATTTGTCAACGTGCAACCGATTCTTAAACTGTTGAAATAGGGATTTGTAACTACTTAATCCGTGGTCTTCCAATTTGACTATTGACAACTACCAGAACATTCACTGTACTGTGATTTTTATCCTCTGAACTTGGTACATCAAACTCCTCGACGAGTTCTACTTCCTTTAAGTTTGATCTCACACCTCTTTCTTCTCATATTTCTCTCTTTCTGATCAAAATCTTCGAAGGTGGATGAAGTCATGAACTCAAGGTCGCGTGGTGGAGAATATGAGCTGGTCGTTTCCGGACGACGGATTTGGAGAGCTTCTACTAGCATGACTGCCTTATGTGAAATAGAAGAGTTGCCCATTGCCAACGATCGGATTGAGCCATCGAAAAAAATCAGAGAGGAACTGAGGATTATCGATTTTTGGCTTGCGATGAACGGCCGCTTGCGTTCTCAGAATCAGAAACTTGAGGACGAGGAGATGCCGCGCTGGTTTTCTGCGTCGAAACGATGGGACGACTGTGACGAGTGAAGACGAGATACAGGAGGATCATTCTACTGAGAAAGGGCAGGCGAAGGAAATTTGTAGCGGCGTTGGTGGATTCTGAGGCAAAATGGCTTCAGAGTAGCACCAAAGCATTTGCCGAAATCTCTAGCGTTCGTCCAGATTTCAGAGCGACTCAGGATTTTTGAATTGTACAATCGGACGGTAAACTTTCAGTGCTGCTGCCAACATAGGCGCCCCTATTTACGGCTTGGTCTTACTAAGGGAGTGAATTGCAGGTATTGAAATAATCACGAGTATCGGACTGATCTTGTGATGCAAAAAGTTACCATTGATTTCGCGGTTTAAAATGCAGGTCTCATCTTTGAAATACGCTCTATAATTTTACCATCCAGGTGTCAATGTGGATTCACTTTATGCATATATGTTTATTACACAAAGTCAATACTTCATTGTACTTATCATCATCCGCGTAGGCTGAGCGATTGTGTTTATGTTTGTTGAGTTAAGTTGTATGTTAGAAGCTTCACGAACTTTGATGTAAACTGGAATAGAACAAGCATATCAATAAATCCACTGCTTTCATCAGCTGGCTAGTTCTCTGAATCCTTTTATTTGACGTCAAGTTAGCTGCTGTCATCGGGTGTAGGCGAGATATGTGGTCAGGCAGTGACTATTAATCTATGACCTTGAGTACTTCATGATTAATTTTGTGCTCATCATTAATTGTGTCCGAAGATGTCATGTCTTTTTACAACTCTGCGTATCTGTTGCGTTGTTGATCTCTACACAAGATCTCGAGTATGTGGAAGATCTACCACCAAATACTCTGTCCCATTGGAGGGTTTAAAAGTTGCCTTGCTTGCGGATAGCTGAATTCTGGAGTCTATTCTATCCGGGTTGTCCTTCGAGCGGGCGGGGCGGCAATTCTCAGACAAAGACCCCTGAATTTGTGACCGCCTACAGCGTATGCCCAAGCTCCACGTGTATGATGGCAAACGTGGCGACACGCGATTCGCGCATGTCCTTCGAGCGGGCGAATCCGCTTGTCTAAAGTGAGTTAATTTTCTCACACATTTGGACAGAATGTGTGAGAATTTGTTCACAACCTTCAGCAGCTGGTGGACCTACCTCGGATTTTTTCTCCCTAGACTCAATGCCCACAGGTGCCGCTCTTTTGCGTTCTCTTTCTGGGCAACCGAAGTAAACATGTAGATGAGATACTGAAGAGTTTCTTGGTTGACACTTGGAATCGTCTAACTAACCCTACAGGCAATTATCATGTTCAAGAGTCCGTTCTCACTCTCTGTTAGCCCTCTTTTTCCAGTCATCGTCCCCGCTCACTTTTCTTCTCTCGCTGTCACTGCTCAACCAGGACGTTTGTTCGAGATATTCAGCAGCCTATGGCAGGCGAAAACCACTCGTATACGCTGATCTTCAGATTTGACATGTATTTGTTTCTTTTTCCCACCTTATACCTTAAGCCCCGCGAAATCCCATGTTCTAACACAATATTAACTGTATCCAGGAGACTCTTCTCAAGAGGCAGTTTTGTTGTTGATTGATAGCTTGCAGATTCTGGCTATGCGTCTCCCGTCTCATAGGTCCCTAGGTTGACCAGCAAGCTATTTGATAAGTCTCGTCAGTTGTCATGTCCATCATTGTAAATGACCTCAGCAGCGTTCTAAGCATCTTACAAGAGCATACATAGAACGATTGTTAGTGCAAATGGATAGCATCGCAGTAACAGTTGCGGTTTTAGTTCCCGCCTACATTATTTTGTATACCTGTTGTAAACCGAAGAGGCCGTCATTATAATATCGGCCTTGTAATTTCCACACAAAAACTCTTAATTGCAAAATCTGCCGCCTAAATAGACTCCTAAGAGATTTTTGTCGCAAGCGTGTATTATTCTCTTATTTATAACGAGGTTGAGTATTTCAGTATAATAAATTTTATTTAAATGTATGAACACATTTAACAACAATACTAGCAAAAAAAATACTGTCCTCATACATCGCAAGAATGTCTCTATCGGCCCAGTGATATCGATGTGAGTCTTATTTTCACGTGCTTTCTCGCCTGACTACTCCTGCCTCTGCTATCCCTTCTTTAAAATTTTGTCTCTCTGATGTAATATCACTAATTCCACTTCCTTTCACTTGTTGTGTCATTTTTTTACAGAGAATATTCTACTCCCTTCATGCTGTCACATTTGTGCATATGCTATATTCGACTCTCTCGGATATGCCGCCTCTCTGCTAAGTACAATTAACTTCCGCCCAGGAGCACTTTTCATCTGGATTCCTCTCTCTCTTTTGCCCTTCTCACTGTCTGATATCCAGCCCATATCAACTGGATCTAACCCTGTGCGACCATCTCCAATCAAGACTCAATGCGGATCTTTCATTCCTGGAGCGGGCGACTTACCTATAATGAGTAAAATCTAGTTTGTAAAAAAGAGTTTCCACCGGGAATTTTTGTATAATACTGCGAACTATATTCTAACTAACCAAATTTAAACGAACGAAATTTACTCTAGACTTGAGCTATATCCTGACTATTCTACTGTTGATTAAGACTTGACAGATAATAACCTCCAGTCACCCATCCTCACTCGCGACCTCTGCTGAGCTGATTCTCGACATGGAACCGATTCTGACAGTGTCCTTCTGATGAGCTAATTCTCGACATGGAACCGATTCTGACAGTGTCCTTCTGCTGATCTAATTCTCGACATGGAACCGAATCTGTCAGTGTCCTTCAACTGTTGTAATAGCAATCTGCGGCGATGTACCTTATCCGTGGTCCTTCGAATTTGACTACTGACAGGTACTAGAACATTCACTGTACTGTGATTTTGACCCTGAGAACTTGGTACACTGAACTCCTCGGACGAGTTCGACTTCCTATATAAGTGGGATCTCAGGCCTCTTTTTTCCCATATTTCTCTCCTTCCAATCAGAATCTTCGAAGGCGGCATGAAGTCATGAACTCACGTGGTGGAGAAGATGAGCCGGTCGATTCCGGACGACGGATTTGGAGAGCTTCTACTAGCATGAGTGCCTCATGTGAAATAGAAGACTTGTCCATTGCCTATGATCGGATTGAGCAATCGAAGAAACTCAAAGAGGAACTGAGGATTATTGATTTTTGGCTTGAGATGAACGGCCGCTTGCATTCTCAGAATCAGAGACTTGAGGATGAGGAGATGCCGCGCTGGTTTTCCGCGTCGAACGATGAAACGACTGTGACGAGTGAAGACGATATACAAGAGGATCATTCTACTGAGAGGATGGAGCTTGAGATACAGGAGGATCATTCTACTGAGAAGATGGAGCCTGAGAAAGGGCAGGCGAAGGAGATTGTAGCGGCGTTGGTGGATTCTGAGGCCAAATGGCTTCAGATTAGCACCAAAGCTTTTGCCGAAAGCTCTAACATTCGTCCAGATTTTCAGAGCGAGTACGGATTTTTGAATTGTACAATCGGACGGTAGACTTTCAGTGCTGCTGCCAACATAGGCCCTACATATTCAGCTGACAAAGATATCTGTGATCTTGCGAGTAGGTTGAGTAAAGCAGGATCTGGTTGCATCAGGACATGCATCGAGCTCGAGCTCCAGAGTTCATTCCAGAGGAACTCTTACTGTCTTTTTATAGTTTTCTTCTTTCTTTCTTTATTGCCTCTGAATGTACAGTGTTTAGTATTCTACGCGGTCTACGTCAAATTATAAAACTTGTGGTCCCTGCAAGTTCTACTCTGGTATCTTTTGTAATGAAATGTAATCTCTTTAATAATCATTGGAGATTGTCACCGTTGAAGCCCGTGTTGTATGTGCATCCAACCGACAACATAAATAACATCTGGATTTCTACTATCTGGATGACATCTACTACCTTTTGTATGCGTGTCAATCTGTAGCCTTCTGTAATCTATACAGTCACCGCATGGGCTTACAGTCATCACATCCAGACTCGGGCGACACAGAAGCCCAAAGTACAATAGCTACGATACGAGCTTAAGAGATGTGAAATTCTTTCTACAGACTCTTATTTGAAAGGGGAAGGTCTTACAAGTGTAGCACCCGAACTTGAGGCCCATGTTCAACCTGAAGCTGTCCAGCAAAATCTAGACCAAATGTTTGATGAGTATTTGGCTGGTAGGTCGAGGTGTAGGCAAATTATGCTCACCCGCTTTATGTTGTAACTTGGAGGGAGGTAGTATTATTATACTGACTGATGTGGAATAATCGTGAATCTCGACACTGAGATGCACTGAGATGCAGGACGACTAACGCCCACTCGCACGAACAGACTTATATCTAATCAGTTGTTAGATCTAGAGACAGACTGTGCACTTTGAAGCCTTTAGGTGCCGAGTTCTTAGCAGATATTGCCAACCGAATTGTTGACATCGACGAATCTCGATAACGATATCGAGTAAATATATTTGAGAAGTGGCTAGAACGTCTGGCTGCAACGATATAATGGATCATTCAATTTTTTTCTGAGGACTGATTCTCTAGATACCAAAGCTTGTGTCAAACTCGATCTCTGTATATCATTTTTAGTATCAAAACAAGTCAACGCGAGTCAAAATAAAGAAAGACTTGCAGGAACTTGTTGACTTGGAAGCAAAGCTAGAAAAGCCTTTCTTTAGACGCTGTGAGCAGATTTACCTTTTTAGCGCAGTCTTATCAACGGTGACGTGATCTTCGTCAAAACCAAGAAATTCGAAAGAACGACTTTCTGTGCTTTCCTCTGTTCCCGGCCCCTGATCAGATACCAATACCAACTGGTTGAACCTGTCTCCAGTGGAGAGAACTCCATCAATGCAATCTTCACGCTGAAGCTAACTTACTCCATCGATGCATCTTCATGCTCAAGCTAACTTCCTTCACGTTCTCCTAAACCTTTTTATGACGAACGCCGGGTCCTACACCCAAGCCTGATATCATCTCATTTAGAATAATTATGCTCTGCCGCTCAAGAACAAGCTGTGAAGAAACGAGCTCGCAGACCCGATAATGGCACGATGAGAATCTGAAGGCCGAAATAACTCAGTCAGCTACTGTTTCCGTTCCTTGCAGTGACTAGGTCTTTAATTTGACTGATTCTTAACTTTGAGACTCTTTATAGACATTTACGGCTCACTCTAAATAGTTGTCTCGCCAATTGCATGCATGTCATTCAATAAATCGGAAGGATTTTGAGAGGCTGAGGACTTGATCAACAGAAAATTGTTGGTTACTAAGAACAATATTAGAAGTATCTTCCCATATTGATAAATTTAAATTGTGCGAAGAATAAGGCATCGGTGAGCAAACATTTGTATGCTTGTGCCAAAATTTATGCATAATTTTATTCCTCAGATGCCTAGCAGGATTCTGTTCTAAATAATTCTCTGAAGATATCATGACACATAGAGGAAGATTCTGCAAACAAACACAACTTAATGTCATTCTCAAAAATGAAAGCTAATCATTCTTTGTAAGAGAAAAATAAATATCGCTTTAAAATATATATACATACAGCTTGTCGAAACAGCTTGGGAACCTGACAAGTTGGATTGCATGTTTCTCATATAGTTAGGAGATCTGTTTACGGCTGAATTCCCAGAAGTCGGCCTTCCGTGATTTCGTTTTTTTATGATCCATGTAATCCGTTTACAAGTTACAAAGATATTTCGTACAAGCTGAAAAAAAAAGTTAAAAAAATGTATCAACTTCGAATCGAAACGTATTCTAATTTGCGACAAGTCTTAGCATTAGTATGAGCTCGTTGGTCGCGTAAGGACACAAGGTAACCCCGTATAGTCCACAAAATGATATCTTTCATAATTCAAAGCAAAACTCGGTAGATAAAAAAGGAATGACGGAAGGATAATCGACAGGGACAACGACTCGACTCCAAGCGCGTTGAAAACTGTGTGTCTATTAAGTCTACCCCTGAGAATGTCTCTGCCTCAAAAAGCGAACCCCTTTCTTCTGTCCGCTAGCTGAGAATCCGTATGTAGTTCAGAACTCTACCATTACAGAGTATAAGACAACGCGGATTGCGTCCCCTGTACTGAACTGCAAGAGTGAAACTTTCACTTCAGACAGCGCTTCGAGAACTGCGCCTGATGGTTGCTTAGACATGAAGGTCCAAAAAGTAGAGTCTGAGAATCATATACTGAAAAGAATCTCCAGAAAACTCTCAAAAGAAAACTGCCGTGAAACGGCAGTCCATGCTTAGTTAGTTATCTACAGCTCATACTCAGAATAAATTCAGTGGTGGACCCTGATCGGTAATTTATATCAGGATGGCTCACTGCCTATTGCTCATTATCGTACGTCCTCAAATTTGGCAGGCTGAGCAAATCGGTAAATTGTAGTAATATCCAAGTGTCCACAAGAGGAAACAGCGTCCTTCATCGTTGTGGGTAGAAGCTGTCCAGAAATCATATGCCAAGCTGGTGTTGTACGTTCTGCAATAAGCTACTCATGGAAGAAGCTCAGAACGGGACAGCTCAAATGTCAACAACGAGCGGAGATCCGACGATTTCTCACGACCAGCGTATCAGTACCAGCTCGGAGCAATCTCAAGCAGAGAGAGCACAGGGAGAGCACAATGAGTCTGCTTCCTCTAGAGCTTTTCACTCTGCAGTGGTCATGGCAGGTGCAATCTTGTACATTGCCGACCTCATCAGCGACATTCTTGTTTTGCAAGTTTACTGGCAGGAACTCTACATTGAGGGTACTTTTGAAGGATCAGGGCCGGGACTCGGCCGTGAAATCACTGCCTTCGCCACGGCTCTTAGTTTTCTCATAGCATCGCAAATCTTTGCCATTGTCCTGTTCAAGATGAGCTTGCCTCCTGAAGACTACCCAGTCCGATCAGCCTGCATTCTTCCCCTGATTCAGCTGTACAGATTGATGAGGGAAATTTTGGGATGGACAAAGGAGATTATGGGTGGGCAGAGAAGGTACAGGTCTATTTATCTAAATTTTCATCTAATTCATCTTTTGAGGCAATAGAAGCTCAGCAGTAAGGAGCAGTTCTGAAAGCTCGAAATTTACGTTCACGGTGTTGGCTGATTGAATGAAAACTTTAGCTGTGATTTCGAGCACGGCTCACAAGCAGTTCTGCCGACTAACAATTCTGGCTGGTTGTGAAGGGTTCCTCGGCGATGGGAGTCGTCAGAGACAGAGTCCCTGTTTTCCATCGCGTCAGCCGTGGAGGCCAGCCTTCAGCTGCCGATTCAAGTGTCGTACATCGTCCTCATTGGGTTTACCGATGCACATTGGCAACCATCGCCGGTGTTGGTACTCTCGGTGGTTGCATCTCTACTGTCAGCCTCTTTCAACGCAGGAATGGCCATAATGTACCAATCCAGTCTACGTTGGGGCTTCCTGCTAAACGCCGCTGGGATTGCTGGAGGTGAGGATGCGAAAACTCCCCTTGACATGCACAGGGAATGCAAGTATTCTTTCATCTTGTAGTTGTCTGCCTTGTAGAAACTCTGGAAACGAACAAACACTTTGCATCCCCTTCACTGTTGTCTCAGTAGAGAGTTTGTTATTGATGGATCGAGGCCAGTCCACCTGAACGCTGACAGGCGTAGTATTATTGCCATATCACGTGCAGGCCTTTACACATTGGCGACCGTAATGTTGAGATCTCTGTCCATGGCTTCCATATCTGTGGCGTCAGAAGTCTCGGGAATTCACCATGGGAAGCTCTTAGGTGTAGACATAGCCATAACATTTACGGTATTTTATTGCTTTGGATTAATTTCAATGGAGGCAACAACGAGTTTCTTCACGTTCGGGACTCAGCTGCGAGCCGGGATGACAGTCATGTTTTTCTATCTGGGGCCAGTGTACCCGATGCTCCACAGATTCTATCAGAAGACTCTAAGTGCAAGGCTGAACACTCTGAGCCGTCTTACATCGGTTGCACTTATTAACCTTCTCCTCGACGTGCTCACCTTCAGCATTCTGGCAGAATTGAAGTGGGGCCTCTGTAACTACACAAGAAGGAGACTTCGTTTTCCAGAGCTTCCATATCTAAGCTCGACCCTGAAATGCCCTCAATTTCTCGCGCTCACCACTATCGGAGCGGTTTTGAGCGCAGTCACCATCCTCGCTCTGTGCTTCATTTTGTTTCTGTCCTCGGTGAAGGACTTCCACATGATTGCACTACGGGACTCATCATCGGATTTCCTGGATATCATCACGGCAGAGCTCGATGTAGCCATCGTCGCTGATGAAGGCAACCCGGCCAAATCTGCATTTTCTCTGATGACTACCGAGAATTTCACACAGAACGCGAGCAAATCATCGTCGCAACTCGCTAGTTCTAATTCCGAGCTTGATGTCAGTCAGGGCCTAGTGTTACGTAACTGCATGCCCGCTGCTGAAGGATGCGACGGTATTCAGATTCGAAGGGACTAGACCAGGAGATGGTAAATTCAAAACTTGCAACGAAATTAGACAAATGCTAAAAGAAATGTGAATGGACATAAAGATATTAAATTCGGAGAAAAGAATTATATTTTTCTGCTCAGCCCAGGGCAAGGGGTAGTCATCTAAGAGATGAACTCGAAGATGAATACTTGTGTTGCTACCACAATACAAGTGCATGCGCTACTTTTAGGTTATAATCTGTAGATCTTAGAGATTCGGACCTGAGGCCGCCTCGCCTGAGTCCACCAAAGAATCAGAAAATAGACGCTCAATAGAGAGGGAGATGCCCCTGCACTAAGGTTTACCTGATATGAAGACGTAAAGATTCGAACAGAAAATCGCTGCACCAACTATATGAAGGCTTTGACGATGAATTTCAAGCGTCAAAGTCCAGGTCTAGATCTGTACCAGTATCACGAGTTAAATCTTGTGTTCTGGACACTGGCAAATCGATGGCAATAGTGCTTCCGGGATCAGGCGGGCCCAGGTCTGAAATTGTGCTATGGATAATTTGATAATGAAAGCAGATGATACATAGAACCAAGTGAACTTTCCGAATGTTCGGCACCACCAACGCATGCGCAAAATGTCACGCACAGTTTCGTAGTCTTGTGGCAAAGACCAGAAACTCTTCGTAAAAACATGTAACATTTACATAGCAGTCATCTCCTGCAAGGGAGTTTTGTTCTTGTCGATGCATTTTTCAAAATTTAAGAAAATTTATGTATGTATATATATCGATCACGTGCGCTAGCTACATATTCGTGAATCAGCATTAATTTTCTTTTATTCGGGGTCATGATCTTTCTTCAGACTGATGTTGTGCAGAAGATAGCTCTAAGAGGTATGTATACAAGGAATATATTATTTTTTATTCCAAATCCAGAAGTCATCCGAATCTCAACAATCTAATTCAGGGATTAACTCATGTCATTAGTACAAAGTTTTGTCCAATTCACCAATATAGGTTGTAGAAGTGAGTATAATATCTTCCGTGTGGTACAGAAACTTTCCAAATGCATCCTGAAGACTCAGGCCTGGTGCCGCCATTTGGAAAACCTGAAACGACGAAAACATTCATAGGCAGGAATTATAAACTCTTAGGTTCCAGATAGCTCTACATTCGAACTTTTTTACTACCACTAAACAAGGTCTAGAAGGTAGTTTTTTATACAAATGAAAGACTCTGACAAGTTTGTAAGAATGAATCAGTTTCTGGTGGAGTCAATCATTGGGCATCAAGTCGTCTACATACTGAAACCTGTAACGGAGTCTTGTAACGATAGCGTGGACCAAGCCGTGGGGTCCATGAAACATTCTAACATCCATCACAACATAAACATATGTTCGTACAAACTGTTCAGTTGAGTACAAAATATCACTAATTAGAATGTTCCAGGTTCAACTCAAGCTAAAGATACTCTAACTGCAACACCTTCACGCAGATGAAAAAATTCTTCAAACTTGACACATTTTATGATCTTCAAATAATGATCTTGGCAATTTCAGGTCAGGGTGTCAGCTAAAGGTACTCCAAGGGAATCAACTTCAGATCAAATATATGTTGAAGTAGAAAAATTACCTATGCCTTAAAGCTATGAGTAGCAGTGAAGCATTTCTACAAGTGTATGAATTTTTCTAGTTTAGAATTCTGATACCCTAGGATCTTAGAACTGCCACATGTCGCAGTTTCCACATTGAAGGACATAGGAAGCCAACTTGGAAAACTTGCATGGAAAACTTTGTAAAGTCGGATCCACTAGTGGGGAAACCTATTTTTCCCTGTGAAATTGCATTGAAAAAATGTGATGTACGTAGTGTTTAACGTGACTTTCAATCCGATTAACAAATCATGACGAGTCATTTAAGTAGAATAAAGCATTTGATATTTCGTCATCTAACCATTGAAAAACTCTTAGTTACAACATTTGTTTATTTGTCGCCTTTTAAATGGGGTTTAAATTCCTACACAATATTGATTTTTTTCATCTTGACTCTACGGATATATACACTAATCGAAGAGCAACTTGGAAGAATGTCCTATCATGGGAAAAAGATTATCACTTATCATATGCTACCATCGCCATTCGAAACATGTCTTAGCAGCCACAAGTTTAACTCCAAAAAATTCAGGTAATAAAAATATAAATGATGTCCTGTCCTTTAAATTTGAAAACACTCACCAATTACATATTTGCAAGGTATAGAAAATGATTGCGTCATTATTAACTAAAATTGAAAGTTTAAGTTTTCATAATCAATGTGATCCGCAGGCGCCACAACTAAACGTTTGCATGCAGCTTCAATTTAGTAAGAATTTTGTGAAAATGAATAATGGTGAATTAGTGCATGGATGAAAAAAAAATCACATTTTTATTTATTTATTTATTCATGGTTATATTATTTATTTAAAATTATCTAAATATCTATCTTTTATTCACAAATCTACAGAGTTTTTCACGATTGCCACAGAACGTTGTGGAAATATATTCTAAAATGGAAATTCCAACATACAATCGTTCAATTATTTTTCCATCTAGATTTTCTCGGTATCTTACACTTTATGATTTCACACTTCATTCAAATATTTTGTAGGAGAGCCAGAATATAAGAACCTAAAACAAGAATGCAGATGATCAATCATATCAATCGGACTATATTCATTTCAATATGTATTTAAGGAAATGTTTATGTATTTAATTTAAGATGCTTTTCCGAGGTGTTTAGTCTCAGCATTTGATCTTTAGGAATATAAACATCTTCTATCTTATTATGATTCCAAAGAAGCGAGAAAACTCATCGAATCACATAAAATAAATAGATTCTTATTAATTGGAATCTTAACCGGCATTTATTTACTACTATTGTTTGTGAATCTAAAGCATACCATATTATATTTGGTCAATAAACTTCTCCTTACGCGTAACTTCTGTTACAGTAGTCGTACTTTAGATGTAAGCATTCCACGTCGTGACGTCACACAGTTGGACTCGAATCTCAACGTCCACATCTCTTGAATCTCATTCCCACCCGACTCTCGGCGACCGGACCAACCGGCTCGCGGAATGTCGTCACTCCAACGGTCTTTGCAACTACTAGGGATTCCATTCTACAGGCTAACTTCAGACTCCATCCTTAATGTAAACAAACTCGAGCTTGACAAGAATATTTACCATCTTGTAAATTCTACTATCTTACAAACTGAAAATGTAAACATGTAAGACTTTTATGTTTCAATTTCTTGTGTGTCTGAAACTGCCTTCCCATGTTTGATTCCGGAAGGATTTTATCTCACGCGTTTTTCCATTTTTAGCTCAATCTATTTTAACTTTCTTTCAAGTATTATTCGCCAATGTGATTTTCTGAAGAGCGGTGCAAATTTAACATCGAGCTTTAAATTCGTACTGAAATAATCATCGATATCAACATATCTTTTACTTCTTAATCAACGCAGCTGAGTGTAAGATTTACATACGTATCTGAGTTGACAACTTTTAGGTTGTGGGTCCATGTGTCTGTGTAATTGGTATCAAGCTTCAGATTCTAGCCAGATTCTAGCCACATCTGATCAGGAACATACACACACAGACCTCTGTAATTTCTGGGTTGTGGATTCATTCTTTATGGGAGAATCCATTTATTACGTTGGTTAGAGGAGCCATATGATCTTCGCTCTCAGCCATGCTCCAGTGTACAGCGTTGCTTGCACTAATTATGTTATCTGTCATCTGGTTATCATCTGCGCCTTCGGAATCCGGGCATAATGTCTGTCTCCCGAGATTACATCGCGTAGACTGCTATGACAGACTACAGGAGTTGTCATGCGTACGTAAAGTTCCAATTTTAAAACCGCAAACAAAGTTGACTTCGTAGATTTTGCAATAATTACGGGTTGTCACTTGGAGCTTCTATGGAGCAGACTGCTCAAATTCTGTATTGTGGTACATTGGACGTAGATATATGAAGATCACTAACCTAATCGTATCGAGTCGTAGCTGTTCAGTATCTGCTTCACTGCAACTACGAACCATCTTCTGTCTGTCTCTTCATGCACGCATATGAACAAGCCTCTTCTGATCAGGAGGAACGGGTGTCTGAATCCTATGATACATAGGTTACATTTGTGCTCGACGATCCTTTGGCACAGCACGTCACCACCCGCTGAAATTGCCCTCCGACTCGTAAGTTTGCCCAAAGCGCCAATCGGCTTGTGCGACGTCGGGCAGTAGCACAGTCTTTCCGAAACCGGTGGTGATCCGAAAGGAAAGGATCTGTCCTTGAAGATTTTCCCTCAGCTCCCAGTTTTGACCCCACCTCCGGTTCATCATCGACCAGCTGCTGGCTCTCGAGCCCTTGACTTGAACAGCAACGACGTTACCATCTCCTCCAACATTGTGCACCAAAACGAGGTTGAACCACGAGTTGCCGTTCAGTGTGAATCTGATTCCTCCCTCCTTCTCACATGGCACTCTGCATTAGAGGCAATGATTGTACCTCGTTACCTCATTTGTGTTCTGCATCTCTCGAAGTCCGGACCAAATGTGACATTTGCAGGTCACAAATTGACTCCAAGTTATACTCGAAGGGCAAAGATAAGCAACCAAAGTAAATTCTTATGACTAGAGAGAGCTCGGATCATGACTAGCACCATCCATACTCTGAAAAATATCCTCGAATATAAAATCTCATACTTCTGAAGATACCACGTAAGCTTACTGTTCTGCATTGAAAGTAGGACTTTGGTTGCGGACTGACCTTTGATATTCAATAGGAATCAATCCGACCATGGGTCTGGCCAGCATTTGGAACGCGCTGACGGCTAGATCGAATTGCGGTTGGGATGGGTTACTCCGTCGTTCATCTTCGATGAGAGTGGCGAGATTCTCAGAGTAAAGGTCGGTGGCAGTCACCGTGATAGAACCAGCAGTTGCATGGCATCGCATCGACGAAGCCGCTTTACATCTGACCTTGAAACATGCTCCGCAGGTCAATCCACTGTTGAAAAGGGATGAACTCAGAGCTGATGTGTGCAAGCCGTAGCCCCTAGATATCAAATTTCCATAACCACAAGCTCCACCTGCCACCAAACCACGGCAGATCAGTGCATGGCTTTTCGGTTAGTTCTTACACAGAATGGTAATTAAGACTCAGTATGTGGGCTCGCTTCAATCGGTGTCCGTAGCAAAAGCATGCGGACGATTTTACCCATTGTGTCAGCGACGGCACTCCCTCCATGAAACGTTGCATGCGCATCCATCCACGTCCTCGCAGCGTAAGGTGGTTCAGAGCTGATCAACTCTGGGATGCACTCAACGCGCATGACAGTGCTCAGCGTACACACGATACCGATACCGATACCGAAGGTGAGCATGTTGTCGGGTAATCTCACCATCTTCCTGGACGATTTTTCCAGAAATCAGCTCAAATGTCTCCGTATGTTTCTAGTAGATAATTGAACAAGTTGCAACTCGACCTGAATTCAAAAGAAATTTCTCCTTAGACGAACATGAGAATATGGGGATTCGCATCGTAGAAGTTGCGATGCCTGAAGAGGATACTGGAACAATTGAGAACTACCGTGGCGAAGAGTGGGGCAGTCTCGACGAGTTGCAAACCAACGGCCCTACAGAACTCAGAGAACTCTGGAAGCTGAGGAAAGCTCGAGAGTCCAACGAAGAAGCGCTATGAGTTATCATTAGCTGATCCTCCAGCTCATTTATATAGAAAGTCCAAAGCTCCCTAAACCCTAGCTAGACCTTTTCCGCGAGTAGAACAGTTGCTCGTGCGTCTGGTAGAAAGTTCCACGGAGGTCTTCCGTAACAGAAACACAGTGATATCCAGGCATTTATAGCATGCAAATATCAATTCCAGATTACTCTGATTCTACAGGAAAATCATTTGGAATGAGATACCGTCTACGGTCGCCGGGCCTAAAATCTAGATACACAATCGAGTCGTCAACCTGACATTGGATACTCGGTACTGAATTCAGAATCAGCTTGTGTAACAATCTTCAAAACCTTGTGGCATTGAAGGTAAAGCTGCCAGTCATTCCACCTTACAAGATCAATAACAGTTCTAGTTAACGGTATGCTTTGGGCACTGCCTTCTAGCCTGGCAGGATCAATGATTTGTATTATTTTCTTTGCTGTGAAATAGTTGGTCTCCATTCTACTCAAATGCAGAGCGAATGCGAGGTCAAGCGTGTGGCAGTGTAATGACGATCATCAATCAGGTTAGATCGCGCCTGTCAACTACAGTAATTCTTGATTCCTGCGCATTATTTATTGTAGAAAACTCTAATCAATTCGGAGCAACCGAGTGACCCATACAGGATAGTCTACGTCTATACGCAACCGGTATATACTGAGAAAAGCTGACACAAACAGCAGCCGGAAGCAACATTCCTGTAATTGCCAATTGTTGGACACATCATTGCCAGAATATTCAGAAGCAAGGGCAGAATAGTTCCAACATATGGCCACGCGCCTGATCGACACTGATCCACAAGGTCTCCTGCAGCCAATGTGTGGACGATTCTATGTTACTGTGAAGTCAGGGACTGTAGCTGTAGGAAAACGAGAATTTGGATGCTGGGGAGTTTCTTCATGTGTTTAGTTTGAAACTTACCTACTGCTTTAAATTTTACCTACCATCTCTCAGCTCAGAGGTTCATCTACTCATATACGCCTTCAAATTCTGCCAGAAGCTCGCTAGATGTTCGAGAATATTGTTAATCTACGAGCTTGAAAGCCGCGAATATTTTCGTGGTGCCATGTCGCGAGGTTACTATCAACTGCAGTAACTGCCTTTTTGGATGCAGTGTTCTTCAAGTTAAGAGGGTTGAAAAATTTAGCCACAGCAATAACTTACGAGCGTGTGAGAGCTCTGTTGAATCGAGTAGAGTCAGCTAAAGACAGTGGCTGTGCTTAGATTCGAGGTTTCAAGTGGGATGCAAGGTGCTTCAAACAGTCCTCAAATTCTCTCCTGTTTAGGTCCAAGATTCTGCACCTCAATTCATTAGATGGATGACGATGCATCTAAAGTGAACGTCGTGTGCGCGCGAATGGGAGCCAGGTGAGGCAAAATAATACACTAAGATTTTCTTACCTCCATAAAGCATACGTGGTTGGAGATTCGTGTCCAATAAAGGACTTCGGATATTTTCTTCGACAAACATTTACATTATTGCCAATCGCTAGAATCATCGGGACCAGAGCAGCCATCGTCGAAAGCACAACTGCTTTAGTAAGAGACGTGGGCTCGTTTCTTCCATAGTTTGTGTTTCCCTTTTGCTTCTATGGCCCTAGGGGTGGCTCCATCATCCTTTCAATCTGCTTAGACACCAGATTTGTCTAATGGAGTTTTGCAGCAGTTTTACAAAGCACCGGATGCATCACAAGCATCCGGTCCTTCTTTGTAACTGATGTAAACGCCTCGCTCAACCGACCCGAGTCAACACTTAATTCTTGACATTTGACACCAATAATTCTTTAAGAAAGTTGAAAGGGCCCACTTTTTCACGAGATCTGCGATAACTAAGAGGTAAATAACTCTCCTTCAGTATTCACTGCAAACAGTTAGAGGAACTCGAGATTTCAGTGGTTTTTCTGAGCATCATAAGAATAGGCTAACACTTTTGAAAAACGAGATGCCGAAGATCAAAGAAGGCCTGGCCCCACGTGCATAATACGATGCATCCAAATACTCCAGGTGAGAAATTCGAAACAAGGAAGCGTTGCCGTAGAGATTCAATCTCTCATGGCCAACGACTTTGTAAAACTTCATCGCAGTCAGATGCACCTTGAGAAATTTTTTAAGTGTACACTGCTATGGCATCCGAAACACAAGGTTCATGCCCATTGATGAATTTCGTTCTCAAGCTTAACGCGAGCTCTCAAATTTACACGGTTACATTTGAAACGAGTAGGACGTAGTAATTGAATGCTTCAGGGTGTTGTTCCTCATTAAACCCAGCGCATGCTCCGGTTCGATTGTCATCTGTGCATGTGCACCAGAAACTTTACACTCGTTTCCCCGACGACCCATGACGTTACCGTACAATCTCACGACATTGATAATACATTGATACGTTACTCATACGTAGCTGCCTGCTGTACTTCAAGCCATGTCGTCTTTGGAATGTTTTGTGTATTTTTTCCATTCCAGAGTGATTACAGCAGCCCGTGTACAAGTGGCAGAAGTTATGTGAGCTGGGTTAGAAGGCCCTTCCTGCAATTACCTTCTGATCATGTTGTCGAACCCACGTGTTTTCTAAATGACATTGCGAGGAAATGGATACAACATCCCTCTCTTTCATCGAGCATGTCTCCTCTGGGCAGCATGTGCATTCCAATTTCCAATACCCATTCTTCAACCTCCTTGAAGAGTGGGCGACAGGCCTGGCTAAGCTTCAAATTGCCCACTTCATACTGTACTGATGCAGTGCATATCTCCATGCTCGAAAGTTCATACATATTACTGATTCTACGGGCAGGGAGATCAGAACTTCCTAAGTTGACTAGCATGACGCAACTCTCCTCTTCCAAACCTCTTGAATATCCTCGTGCTTCGATAACTTCCATCTCAGGACTTTGAATACAGAGGCATCGAAACTCATATCAATCTCAGTGAAATACTGCATAATTCGATTCTAGGTGTACTCGCAACTTCAAATGCAAATGCAAATGCAGAGGTTGAGGGATTTGACTTCGTCGGTCGGAGCTTCCAAGTCTGACACGAGAGAGCACGTACACAGGACGAGAATGACAACACATACAGCTCGTTACTACCTTGTACGCGGCTGACGCATGGTATCGAATCAAGAACGAGTTTTATTGCTTCCAGGTGCATGCACTCGCATGCACATGCAGCGATCACTGATACATGTTCCTGATCGAGTTTATGTTTCTACTTAATGCGGCTACTTACTCTACGTTATCTCACGCAGGAGTCCTACGTAGCTGTGCATTCCGTATGAATGCAGGTTATTATATGTATATACAGAAACCAGGTCTGCTCCGTATAATTGAGTACATTCTACTGCCTGTAGTATATGAGGCGACGTGTGGTACCTGAATCCGGGCTCCGACGAGCCACAGGACTTTCCTTTGCGCCTCTGGTGGATTGATGAATCCGTGAGTTGTAGTATTGCACAATGCAATGGTGAGGGTGGCGTCGTAGCTCGAACCTCTTCACCTTCTGAGCTGGGAGCACAATCTAAGGACACTGCCGACGAAGATCGATCGTGAGAGGGGAGCCGTGGCTTCCGACCTTCCGACCGATCGATCGATCCGTGTCGAGTTATGATGTTGGGTGGCTGACTCACATCACCGCAACCATCGATGTCGAACACTTGAATTGGTTTCAACAAAAATCTTTTTGTCAGCGGGCGTCATCTTGGAAAAACACCTCGGCTGATTCCCGTCGAGTTCATTCACCGTCGGGACATATGTTACATAAACTTACACATTGTGGTCGAGACGTCGACCATCCATGCATGGACTGAGGTCCCTCGGAATCCTGCAGCCTCGCCCAAAATCCGCCGTGTCAGGGAACTACAACCCCCCGAAGTTGCCGTCGGCCTCGTACGTCTGACCGAACTGCCAATTGGCAGCGGCGCAGTTCGTGAAGGTCATGGTCTTCCCGTATCCGGTCGTTAATTGGAATGAAAGGGCTTGACCTGCCAGCTTCTGCTTCAGCTCCCAATTCTGTCCCCAGTTGTGCTTCATTGGGTACCACGTGTTGGACTTCGAGCCCTTCATCTTGATGGTCACGACGTTTCCGTCTCCCGCGACATTGTACACCAAGACGAGGTTGAACCACGGGTTCCCGTTCAATGTGAATCGCACTCCTCCTGTTTTCACGCAGGACACCCTGACATTGCCACAGACAATCGATTCATCAGCTCTCATGCACAACAGTCTCGATGGAGACTAACCAATTCAGGAAGAATTGCATCGTGAACAGCAACATGTGAACTCTTATGGACCTGCATACTTTGATAGAGCTGGAAGAAGCATTCATGAACTAGCTCGAACGAGCTGGAAGGCCCACAAGTGCGTAGATGAAAAGAACTTGCTGACGATGATCGGTAGCAATTATTACCTCCTGTATTGGACGGGGATGATGCCGCCGACTGGTTTGGCCATGATAATGAACATGGCGTAAGCCAAATCGAAATGTGTCCTGGGCGGGTTGCACCATCCTCCGTTGTTGGTGGGTCTCGCTGGGTTTGCGGGACAAAGATTGGTTGCAGTGACAGTGATGGAGCCAGCGTTGGCATAGCACCACCTCGATTCTGCCACTTTGCACTTGAGCTCGAAGCAGGCTCCACAGCTCAAGCCGTTGTTAAAAAGGGTTGAACTTAAAGCGGCTGTCTTCAATCCATAGCCTCTTGAGTACATGTTCCCGTATCCACATGCTCCACCTGCTCGGACAACATCATCGTGCGAGTCAACATCACGGTCACTGCACAACTATAAAGCTAGTTGCCGGGAAACACACTAATCACATCAGATGAACTAAAAGGATTGATCGACAATTTTCCTCTTGATCCTGCATATAAATCTTGTTCGGGCCGCTTGAGGGACGGTTCTCTAATAAATGCTGAAATTCATCGAGGCTGCGGAGATCAGCCTCCAAACACTCGGGAATTTCACTCTTAAAAGAGATTCTGTCAAAATTCAAGACCTGCCACTCGACGAGAAACTAATTTCTGTCGGTTGTCTTACTCACCCATTGTTCCAGATCCATCATTTCCTCCGTAGAATGTCGCATGTGAATCTGTCCATGTTAAAGCTGCGAATGGTCCCCCAGCAGTTACAAAAGCTGGCTCGGACATCAGCAGTAAAGCACTCACCAAAATGCCAACTCCCAACATTTTGCAGCTGTCGAATAAACTCTTCATATTCCTGAAGCATCGAGTCAAACAGAGGCTTTTAGCTTCAATGTCGAGTTCTTCTCGATTGAATAAAAATACGCTGGACAGAACAGGTTTCAAATTCACAAGAGTGTATCTCAAGGATAATCGAAAAATCTGCCGGTTGATGTCTGTAACTGCATTGATCACTACCCTGCTCTAGCTTTAGCCAATTCGAAACAAAAACTCAAAAACCATTGACACCACGCATCTACTGCAATCTCACCTTCCAGAAAAGAAGCAATACACCTCTGCACACCAGATCAAAGAGCCTCGACACTGTAAGAGTGAGTACTTGAGGAACTTTTTGAGTTGTGATTTCATTATCGAAGAAGGTCGCATTTATAGAACTCCCGACCGACAGTTCCACAAATGTCGGACGTTTTTGGACTGTCCCTCTGACTCAGAACAGTGTGAAACGACGTTGTGAGCATGCATTATTCCATACCCTCCGGGCAAGCGATCACGATGCCCCGTGCTTACCACTTGTAGGACGAGGTCAAGTCATCGACCTCAAACACGCACGGTCCTGACACTTGGCTGGAATCTTGAGATGTCTGCCCGAAAATGGCTTGACACGCACAACGAATCTATCATCTTCACCTACATCCATATTTACCTCAAAGCGAAATTCTGTCCATCAGGTTACTGAATTCTCGTTCGATCCATTTGCCATGCACAAGGATATCACATACTTTATCTTACCCTTCTCTTCAATGCCGAACCATAGTTTATCTCACTGTAACTTGAAACGAAGAAGTCTTCACCAGGGGTATAATTATCAGCCGATAAAATTAAAACTCCAAAATATACCTCAGTCTCCAACTAACAACTGAGAGCCGTTTTGCCTCTACATATCATTTCCATGCGGATCTTATTTAATCCGTGATCGTAGTTGTAAAAGTAGTCTTTGGAATAATGAAGGCTAAACCTGCAGGTATCATATGGGTAACAACAGAATAGGACCCCATGATCCTGAGTAGGCTGAGTATTGGAGTGCAATATTCACCTTGGAGCTACTGGACTAGCCTACAATGGAACTTGGTCAAAGGTGTGATGCTCAACTGAGTTTCTTCAGCAACATCAGGATGAACCCATTGGTCGCAGGACTCAGCCTGTAATGACTCATGATAGACAGACAGGTCGACAGAGCAGTCATCTGAATAACAACATGGGTCTTCTGCGGAACAGGATATTGACTTTTCGCTAAAGGCGTCTTTTTGAAATACAGTAGCGCCAAGACAACAATTCGGTGCAAGAACGAGTCTCAGTCTCAGGCTCAGGCTCGCGGTCTGAAATGATCTTCGGTTATTTTCGATGGCTTCCTGTTTCCTGTTGATCACGATGAGTGAGTAAATGAGATAGATACCCTTGCATGGCACCAAACAAATTCTGTGACCCTTATGATCCGTGTGAGCCTGACCCGGATCTATACGATGCAGAGGATCTTGTGCCGCATTTTAGGACGCACAGTCTCTGAATCAGCGTCGTGTCAGGTTGGAGACGTGGAACAGGAAAAGAGTGACGGTGAAGCAAGAGACTCGGTGCTGGTCGCCACCTTGTCAGTGTGTGGGTAGATCTGATTCAAGATCTGAAGTTTGTATACACACTATCCATTGCCAAGTGATGAACGTCCTCTCAAGAAGAATCCTGCAAACTATTCAGATCCCGGTAAGAGAACTCTAAAATCGTCAGTGTAAACTCGCTGGTGGCAAAATCAGATCACGATCGATATTTTGAAAATGTCTGCTTTGGATTTTTTCGTTTATGAAATTCAGAATCATGATGGCCCACTCTTCGTGGCATACTGATATTTCTTACTATGCAATCTGTTCTGAGTAGCCGAAGAGACTTCATCTGGTACTCCAGAGAATGAGGGAGTTCGCTTTCGACTATAGACTATCCATCATCATCATCATCAGATCATTGCAATGCGCACGACGTTCACTGTCCGACGGCCTTGTGCTGAGCACGATCGACGCGGTACTACCGATACCCGATCGAGAGGATCAAGCGCCCCACCAGGACGGACAGCCCAGAATGCAGTGCAGTAGTTTATAAGAGAGTTGTCTGTGCATGTCTCTTCATGTCTCGATCTTTGGGTGCTTGAGTTCTCGAGGTTGCAAGCCCCTGGCAGATAGTTCATGTTAACAAGCGCATTTCTTTCTTGTTCCCGTCCGTTTTTTGCTCTTGTCTAGCATCGTAAATTTCATGCTTCCCGTTGTGAAAGTGACAGACCTCGTATAACTGTCATCCCATAGTTTGTGGCTCCACTCAGCATATATGTACCATTTGTGCTTCGTCCACCGTCGAGAATGGAATTTTGCAGAGTCATTCGTTGAGTTCATTTGAGAGAATCCGTCTCCTGGCTTCCTCCACGACAGCTTAATGACCTCGATTGTAGATCTGATCCCCCTAGTCCCTGTCGCCCTGAGCCTAGTGACAGTGATTGACTGCCGATCAGCTGCGTCGGCGGATCGGAGACTGATATTCAGTTGTGCCCGAAATCCACTGTCTGTAGTTACAGGCATCTTCACATTGAGATTAGTCTCTCTTGAACTCGCCTCTCCCCAACCTCCATCTCAATTACTTCTCCACGGCAGACATTCTTTCAATTCTTCATTAAAACCGCGATTTTACCCAACCCGCGTCTTTCTGTGTTTCAAGAGTTTTCGCATTCAATGTACTGGTCGAGCTCGATCAAGAGAAATAGGTACAGATTTCCTCCGCACTGGATCGAAAACTCAACCTCTCGCTGTCTTGAGTGCCCTTGATGGACGTTCTTGCGTCTTGGTGTCGTAGTATTGTTGAGAAGTTCCCGTTCTAGTCACTGCTTGGCGTGCAGCGAGAAGGTCATGTCATGTTTAATCCACAACGTGATGGTGGAAATCTTTAGAGCCTTTAGAGAACAAAGTGCACTTTCTGACCACTCTCACCTCTTCTGTGTCGAAATTGAATGTCAGATTTGTGCTCAAGTTCATTTTTCTCCATTCAAGTCGCTCCTTGTTAACATTGTCGGCCTATCGACCGATACAATATCTCCGAAGTAGTGCGAGAGTAATTCTCATCTTTAAATTGATATATGTTTTGATAATAGGAATTCGAGAAGTCAAGAACATTAGCACAGATCAAAATTTTCGAGAGTAGATGTAGAGCTAAAATACAAGTGACACTGACGTGGATTCATTCAGTTCTTCAAACTTCTCAATTGCTGCAAATTAGTAAGTATATCCGCGTTAAGTATTTCAAACAGTAATGATGTCTTTGATCATACGTCGAAATTTTACCGAAGACATAATCACAGATATAATTTGCCAAAACCATTCGATTCTTATTTTTCTAATAAGCTCGATGTGCTTGACGATCACCACAATTTTGTAATGTGCGTCAGTTTTTCCACCATCTCGTTTAATCATTATACTTTCTCATTCCACTTACTCTTGTGAGAACAATTACTTGGCCTAAATTTCACCTTCATATCATTGCACAAAACTAATGTAGTATATTATGAAGAAACATATCTAATTTTTTTACACTTCCAACAAAAATACTATGCAAATTTTTCATTATCTTACTCATATCAACATATATACATATGACTTATAACTCTGATGCAATGATTATGGGAGTGCGTTAGATAAGTTAAGATCAAGGAAACTTATATTTTATTTTATTTTAAGAATCAAGTAGATAAGTAAATTAAAGATCATAAACAGGTTTTATTCTTTTCCAAAATAATTCCGAATAGAAAATAAACCAATTTAAAATACCCAAAAATAGGATTTTCAAAGATATCAGATACTGCTTAATATATATTCCATGAAATTATTATGAAAGTATCACTATCTGAAAAATCAAAAATCTCTAACATTCAATATAAATTAAAAAAATCCCGAAATCCCAACAAAATATAAGAGCAACACTTAAACACATTCAGAAACGATTGAAATATTATTACATGTTTTTTAAAATCAATCATTATGTATAATGTCTTCAAATCCTCCTTAAAAAAAAAATTTCCCCTCAAATTAAATTGATATTATATCAATGTTAGCATTGCAACAACATAGATATTTGTTCTTCCACAGATTGTGCTCACCAGCTGGAGAAGAAAAAAAAATTGGCTATGTGAAATATCCCTGGTAAAGTAAATCTAATCTCTGCTCGAGTTATTTTATTTTCTCCTCCAGATTGCTCCATGTTTTTGTTCTGTAAAAGATTGATATACGAATTAATAGTCTTTCAATTATGTGTTTCAAATCCGATAATATAGAAAATATGATTATCCGCTTCAAAAATTTTTAGCTTTCATGGATATAATGACAGGAAATTCATATCCGACATGTCCTTTGTAATAGCATTTTGAACAGCTTTATTGGATTGAAATTTTATAATATTTTAAAAGATTTTTGGAATATTTATTTGAAACTTATATAATTAGTATACATGTAATTACTATGTGTCAGATTGAGAGTTTTAACATTTAGGATAACATACTACTGCCTCATACAAAAAACACGTTCATTTTTTAAGACATAATGAAAAAACAATATACTGAGAAATACTTCAAGAAATTGAACCGTGATAGGTTTTTGGAGTTCGAACGAAAATTAGATTGAGAATAAATTATATGAGATATATTAATGAAATGATATTAAATATATAGAGGCTTCCTACATTTAACCGAAATGGTCAGCCTTGAGTCATATTTGATATTAAACATTATTTAAGCTACCATTTATAAAAATCATATTCGTCTGATTTAGACTTAAGAAAATAAATTTTTGTAATATTTCCATTTAAAAAAAAATTATAATCGAAATATCAATGTTTCATTCTGATATTTTCACGAGCATGTCAGTGAAATCAAAATAGTAGAATATACAATATATGCTTGTATAAAATAATGTTTTGAATCTAGTTTCCAAAATGAGTATTCAATAGATGTAGATATGTATGTTGTATGTTACTAGTTAACTCCTACAAAAGATTTTGATATAAGATTGTAGTTTACATCTTTTTGATCAAATTTTAGACCTGAAATGACACAAAAAGATATGATCATATACAAATTGATCAAGATTGAAGTGTTACTGAAAATTTAAATGTTATTTTAGGTGTTAAAATCTTATTGATATACCTTCAAAAAATATGTTTTTCTATCACAATGTAAGGTATTGAATTCAAATTTTGAATAAGAATTCTTATCTACAGCCATAATATTTTTGCTTTTGTTCAAGGAAATTTTATAGGAGTATAAAAATAATTTCGCAAGGACTTTAAAAATTTCCTTGAACAAAAGCAAAATAATACCAATGTAGATACTTGCAAAATAAATCCAAAGCTAGTGTTACTACAAGGAAGTAATACCTTTTGAAAAAAATATAGAGACATTCATCTCAATGTGGGCTCGGACTTGACATTCAAGGACTGACGACAATGTCACATGATTTTCTAAATGTAAAAGAACCTTTAGGGACCAGCATACAAAGTAATATACAAAGTTAATGAACAAAGAGCGAAGAAGGACGCGGAGATCTGCATGAAACCAAAGCTGTGGCTAGCCCCAGGAGCATCCTAAAAATAAATATCCATTAAAACATTATATCTACGAGAGAGAGAAGCAGAAAAGGACCTGCTTGACTGAATCTCAAAATTTCACGAAAGTCGCGACGATCGTGGGGTGAACATGGTCGGGAACGAAGTCGTCCGCCATACAAAGGCGTTGACAGATGGTCGTGCCGTTGACCGGGGAGTGACTAAAAGGTCCGCATCGTGGTGGGCCAGTGGGGCAGGCCTTTAGGCAGGCAGGCCTTTAGGCAGGCGGGCATCGGCGCGGGACTCATCTCCAGCTTCGGGCACATGCAAAATGGCTGCTCTGTTGCTTCCATTCGATCGCTCCGAAGAACAATTTGGCAGATCGTGCAGGCCATTGCTAGTCACAGGCGCAGAGGTGCGTAGCTTCTGGTTTCGTGATGAGTCCCTCGCCCATAAATGTAGCGAGAAGGATGGGATCTGAGCGCCAATCATGTACGAAGATGAAACCAATTACGCGGAGCTGGATTTCTATACCATCACATAGAACTGCGAACCATTGAATCTGGTTCATATTAATTGTGTGATTTTATAATCCTGCATTCACCCAGAATGATGATCAAGCCAAATTGGCAACGTGGAACTGGACTTCTATTGCATCATAATAAGAAATATATGGACCAGTGCATATTTCTAATTTCTGAAAATTATGTAAATTCTGATAATTATGTAAACCATCTACAAACAAGAACGTACCTAAATCATGTAGAAGGATTAAATCCAATCTGGCAACATGGAAACATGGACCTTTGTATCTAGTTTATCTTAACTCCATAAGATCAACAGTCTACAAAGTAGACAATAAGCTTAATATCGTAGCCTAGCGTAAAGTGATTGCTAATTTATGATATTCACAAACTAGGACTGTTTATCCGCATGTTTAATAGATAATGACTAGGTTGTATCCGTAATCACATCTGCTATAATAGTTTATACATAAAAGCATCTTCATATATCGTAAGACAGTGTCATCTTGGTAGCTATGTGCATGAGTTTCCACTTGTTGAGGTGATCTTCAAAGTTTCAAGCCTTTCAATTCGGTTCCACTTCTGAATTTAGACTCCTCACAGATTCCTGGCATTCTGCCGCTCACCTGAATCGCAGGCACTGACTTTCTGACTGGATCTCCCAAATCAGATGATCCGAGATGCGGTGGCTCACGTGCACAGCCAAAGCACGTACATTCATTCTTTCACCCTCCCTGGTACTACATTTTGGAGGGTTGCAGAGCTTCAGAAATTGCCTGTTCCGGCAATTTATAATAATTACTTGCATCTTTGCAGCTTCAAAATGAATGCACCAGTGCTTCCATGCACCGAAGGAATTTTGGATAAAAGATGAACGAGCTGCATTGTGAAGGAAGAAATGAGTGAATGGCACGATAACGAAGACCAATATCGATAGTGATGATCCCCTGGAGGTCGGTAGACTTAGCCCATGCATCATCAGCACAGCATTTGCAAAGCAGGTCGACCCAGACAGGATCCAAGGTCCAGTGAGCCGTAGCTTTTGACGCAAAGACGCGAGTCCGACTGCTGAGGAGCTCTAGCACTATACATGATCGCCTCACATGATACGCATTGTTTAGTCATAGACCAGCCGACTAATCTTCGAATGTGGGGTCGAGACTTGCGTCCTGGCCTTTGATTGAGGAGTGTTCTTCTTCTGCTGTGCATTACTTAAAGGCCGAGTTCTTCCAGGAAAACCAGATTACCTTTCCTGCCCTTCAATTTTCTGTCTGAACTCGATCAGCACAGAAGCAAAGGTGTGTTCATCTGCTGTCGTTTAGCATGGTGCAAACGAACTGGAAATGTGCTCAAATTAGACTCAGATCTTACAAATGAAATCAATGCTGTTCAGCTTTCTGCGTCTAGTATTAGTATGCAAGTTACTTTGACCTTTTTTTTTAAGATATAAAAGCATTTTGATATCAGCATTTGCAGATGCGAAGCAGGAAATTGCATCTCGTATGAAGGCAGGGATTGAATCTCTTTGAAACGCTTTTGGGACCTGAATCTTGTTCATGTGTTTGTTTTAGGAATATGGCGATTTTTTCCAGAGCTGCGCTAGCTGCTGGCTTATTTGCCAGCGCTCTGGTCATCTTCTCGGAGCATCTGTCGTTTGTGAGTGCCTACGAGCCATATGCTGTCACATCTTGGACGGCATCTGATGCAACCTTCTACGGAGGAAACAGTGGAGCTGGAACAATGGGTAAGCGACAGGTCACATCACTTCTGCCTCTAGCTTCTTCGAGTTCAAATTCACATCAGACGACGAATATTGTCAAAAGAACATGATTTTGTGGTGCAATTCGGCAGTTTTTTCTTTTAGCTCTGACAATATGCAACGAAAGCAATCCGAAGCTCTCGATAGTAGCCCTCGTGATCAGTTCCATTGTCACTGCAACCCTTCACGTCTATCATCACCCGTCGATGACTTCAACTCCGTGGCGATAAATTGCAGGTGGAGCTTGTGGATATGGAAACATGTACAACACGGGTTATGGACTCAACACCGCTGCTCTGAGCCCGGTCCTCTTCAATAATGGACTGAGCTGTGGAGCTTGTTTTGAGCTTAAGTGCAATCTCACTGGTACCAAGTGGTGCTACCCGAGCGCAGGTTCCATCACCGTCACAGCTACCAATCTGTGCCCTGCAAACCCGGCCAGAACCACCGACGGATGGTGCAACCCTCCCAGGACACACTTCGATTTGTCATACACGATGTTCGCTATACTCGCCCAACCAGTTGCAGGAATCATTCCAATTCAGTACCGCAGGTGATTTGCAATCTGCACTCTCTCAACGTGCCCTGGACTTCGATGGATCATGACAGCGTAGCAGCAGTGTGGTAGAAACGACACCGGAAACAAATACTTCAAATTCTGACTCTCGCTCTATGAACTGAGAACTGGGCATTCGGAAGATAATTTTTCGACAGAAGAGAACCTCCAGTGGACGTGGAATTCACTGACTGACAGGCTTTTCATATTTGTGTCTGTGCAGAGTGTCTTGCGTGAAGACTGGAGGCGTCCGCTTCGTCATCAACGGCAACCCCTGGTTCAATCTGGTGCTCATATACAACGTGGGCGGTGACGGAAACGTCGTGACAGCCATGATGAAAGGAGAGAACACAGAGTGGTATTCCATGACTAGAAACTGGGGGCAAAACTGGCAGCTGAGCCAGAAGCTTCACGGTCAGGCCCTCTCTTTCCAGCTCACGACGGGTTATGGCACGACCTTGGTGTGCAGCGACGTAGCGCCAGCCAACTGGCAATTCGGCCAGACGTTCGAAGCCTACACGAACATGTATGACCTCTACTGACGAGATTCAGAGAACAAGAGTGTCGATTCATTCATTCATTCATTATTCAGGATATACGGAAGAGAGACTCGAGAAGCTGAGCAAAGCAGGTGTATGGCTGTAAACGCTCTCGGTGGATCCCCTCAGTCCATTCCCAATAACGGTCTGCAGATGCTGGCTACTGCTGCTGAAGGAGAAGGAGAAGGAGAAGTGCCAGCAGCAGTAAATGTGGTGAACTTTTTGAACATTGAAGGTTGATGTGCAATTTGACAGGTAGTGTGACCGTGTGGTCTCAGCAACGTGGTGACAAAAGGTCGTTTCAGGCCTACAGTTCTCAATAGCTGCGCCTTTCAAACTCAGAGGGCAACTGGATGTGGCTTGGCTTGCAATGTCGAGACGAGCGCATATGGAACATAGACTCTGTACAAATGCTAAAGTAGCAATTTTGTAGAAAAGAATTTTAGGGTGATGACCATTATCAGTCATATTCATCTGGAATTTCTAGATCCTCAAATTTATTTAACTACCTTCTCGGGACCTTGTATCCAAGATTCTCTTACATGGCATGTACATGATGGCACTTGTTCTATGTTTTTGAATATCATCAATCCATTACAAAAGCATCCTCGCAAGCAAGTGAAGAAATGATAAGTGCAACCAAAAGACAAGGGATTGCCTTCAAGAAACACTAATGGACCGATTGACCCAAAATAAGACCAATTTTTTGTTTAGAATCCGAATGTAACACGAGTGTTTGCTGCTTACCCGTCACTTTCTGGACAAGACAAGCTCGGCTTAAGAAAACCCTCAAAGACCGAGGGCTCCTCTTTCTGATAAACATCCTGTCTTCCTGCTCCGATCAATATTCTTATGATATACTGGATATTAAATCGAGCAGACCGTGCACTTGTGTCCAAGAGAGTGCTGGAATATAACAGTTAGAGTTCATTCATGATACAGCTTCAAAGGCTTGAAACATGGTGCAAGTGAACAGCTTCAAGCATTTGCTGTCGGTTACAGAAGTAGTGGACAAGCTAGTCAGTATCGTTCTGGAAATCTGGATGCGTCACTAGAAAAACTTGTATATACAGGCTTTTGTGTCCGGTAGGGAGGGAGCCACTTGGTGCATGAAGGCACCAAATGGCACTTTCTTTTGGAGCTTGAGCACTCTTCAAAGTACATCAATGCAGTAAAGTAGAAGGCAAGAGCCTGGAATTTTTGTGGCTCATACTCAGGAAAATTTTCATCACTCTGAACACCTATGAATTGTAAGCAGAGCGACTCTTGGCCTTCATATTGTGTTCTTTCATGGTAACTATACGTTCCTTCGTGACAGATCTTCCTACCTATTCGACTAATGTTTCTGACAGGATTTGTGAGTCCAATCTTTTAAAAACTCTGAGATATCACCCCCTATACCGTAAACTGTGTTCAACCAATTGCAACGTGCCCAATCCATTCTGAATGGTTGTGGCTGCCTTGAGCCCACGAGCAGTCAAACCCGTCACTGCCCGTGGTCTCAAGCCTCTCTGGATCTTCTCAATGGACTCGTTTATGAATATAGGATGTGTAGTTGACTTACTTTTTACTCAATGATCTGATTCAAAACTGCCGAACTTAATAATAGATCTGCATAGATGTAAGCTCTTGAAATCTAGATTTGGAGACGATGATTTGAGCACGATACATGATGACATATCATAAATTCTTCATTTATGACACAGATGGATCTACTTGAGATCAGAGCTGGAACAACGCTCTATTTCATAATATGAACTGAGAAATAAGGAGATAAATAATTGGACGCTGTAAACTCTCACTGTGAAAGTCAATTTCCCAATGCTAGAGATACATTCCCTTTAGCAAAGTAGAGCAGAAGCCTGTATCTCCCCAAACCAAATTGCAACGATACATGGGATCTTGCACTGTAAGCCTCTTTGCCCTGTCTTCTCATTATCTGGTCGGATTCCATCTAATTGCAGTGATTCCTGTGTCTATCAATTGATGATTACATCTGTGGATTGTGAAGTCCAGTACGATTCCATATAGGTTCTTCGGAGTGTAAGTTCCTATAAGTTAAAGGCCGAATGGCCTATAGATTACTATCATTATGATCAACGTTTTTTATCCCAGCGAACAACGAAGCCTCTGAAACATCGACATTGGAGACAGATTTCTCTAATAATTTGGATCCCATCACTGAAATTTCTCCAAAGATATGCTTCTAAAAGAGTGCTGAAAAGTGTACGTGGGTGGCCTCTAGAAGAGCATGCTTATGAATGGCAAGTGTCCAACAACTCGAAAGAGTTTTTATCTTACAAAAACGAGAACTAAAATTAATGATTAATCTCAATCAACCAATCCATCAATCAAATTCACCTTATCATCTCCGTTGCAAAATCTAGATTCAAATTTCACTCAGTAATATTTATCGAAAAAGTCTTCAGCATTCGATCTTCGACCTCTGATTTGTCGTCACCCGATCGTTGTCTAACCTCACCTATATGACAGTTACGTAACAGACAGTAACTTTTCTGTTAACCAGTTGAAATCATCATTACTAAAGTTAATTAAAGGACTTTCACACCTAACGCTATAAATAAAACGCTTAAAGCTCTAAACGCTTGGATGATTGACAAAACGCTACTATTCGTTGATGAAGCATATATACTGAAAAGTCGAGGCATCTGCGGGTCGATCGAGAGTAGTAGAAAGAGGATGATCAACCGATTGTAGTCGAAAGAGCTAAAAAGCTATGGTTTCCAGGAGGAGCTAAGGTGCTGTGCTATCTACCGAGCTGGACCTGAACATTTTGCGTCTAACACACACCAGTTCACAATTTCAAGCTTCAGACGAACGACACAGGTTGGCACGGAGGCAAAGTCCAGGTGTGATCAAATTTACCGACGGATGAAGTCGTATGGACTTTATTGATTAATGAATGAATCGCCAAAACTTGATGTGAATTAAGTCGTACACGATCGTAAGAAGGTTGAACCCAGCATGGTCAGAGTCTAACTACAGTCCTAACGGCGTCCATATATCTTACGTGCCAGAGTTGTATGTTCAGTTGAATGAATCTGTGAACCTTTAATGGTGATGGCTGGAATGCCTGTGCTAGTGCAAAGCCAACTGAAAATCTAAGAACAGAACAGAGCTGTCTGAACTGTCTGCCGGGCTTCTTAATGTTACAGGATTCTTATTGAGCGCACGCACGCTGATTGATTATCAGTAATAGATGAATTCTAATGGCCTGTTTCCTGCCCTATCAATTGATCCATACGCTTGGTTCCTTCTGGTTCCTACTCTGCCATTTCTGCTCACGCTAGTACCACAGCAATGGCTGAGGCCAGCGCAAGACCCGACCATGTGTACGGGCTCATCATCGAGGCGCCTGCACCGGCGGTCTGGAATTCACCAAGAATCGAGCCAAATCGTCAAATTCATGCACCAGAATGTTCTCAAATATATGAAAGAAAGAATCAGCTCAGCTCTTCATTCAAAGGTGAGTCGGATTTCGAGCACAGACCTGTGGTGAATCGACCGGTGCACTTGGAACGGGGGCTGGAGCAGGAGCTGGGGTGGGGGCGAGAGGAGGGGGAGGGGGGGTAGCAGGAGGAGGAGGGGGAGGTGGGGAGGGGCTCGGGGGTGGAGGAGGGGAGCTTGGAGGTGGTGGGGGAGTGGTCGGGGGTGGGGGAGCCAGGGGGGGAGATGGAGGAGGGGCTAGAGGAGGCGATGGTGGGGGAGAAGATGGGGGAGGAGCTAGAGGGGGTGATGGTGGCGGGGACGAGGGAGGGGGAGCTAGAGGGGGTGACGGTGGAGGGGATGAGGGAGGGGGAGCTAGAGGCGGTGCCAGTGGGGGAGAAGCTGGGGGAGGAGCTAGAGGAGGTGCCGGAGGTGGCGACGAGGGAGGGGGAGCTAGAGGAGGGGTAGGGGCCGGGGGAGGAGATGCCGTTGGGGGTGTAGCCGCCGGAGGAGTCGCCGCCGGAGGAGTGGCCGGAGGTGCTTGTGATGGCCCCGGCCCTTGCGCCGCCTGAGGCGCTTGCGCCGCAACTTCATTGCAGAGCACAACCCCGAGTAAGAGCACGCTCAGCAGCATGCTGCTGCTGTGTCGGGACGCCATGCTCGCTTGCTTGTTTCTGCGCACCTGTTCAACAGCCATCGAGTGCATCAGCCCGATTCTTCAGACACATAATCACATTCCTATAATCTCTGACGGCACTGAATTCCCGAAGGCGGATCAGAGTTTATGGATCATACAACGTTCGCCCTCCACATCACTTTCTCCAGTAGACAATTTCTCATTGCCAGCCACTACTTTTACTATCGACTGCTACTGAGAGAATATCAACCAGAAAGTATCGAACTCAAACTTGACGATGATATTGGACAATCTAAAAAGCTTGGAAGCGGCTGCAACCATCAATGTCAAACTGGCTGAACCGTCTCGTGTCCTCGACTCTCTGAGATCCAAATCACAATTCCTTGTTCAATATCTATTGAGCAAACTCGAGATCTCAATTCAAGGTGTGCACACACAGACGACATCAATTGGAAAAGTCAGACTAGAAGCTGAATTGAATGAGGATGAGGAGGAGCAAGACTGGGCATGGAGCACACCGTGTTGTGTGGTAGTATGCTCTGGTGTGCTGTGAGGCAGGTGTCAAATCCAAGTCCAGATGTTCCTCTGCAGCAAGTCCCTCTGTGAGGGGAAGACTTGTTGCGAGACTGCTCGAAGACTCGAATGAAGTTCCTGTCGCCCGAGGGGCGATTTATACAGAGGCATGGAAGTCACGAGAATCATAATACTAATAGACAACGGGACCGCAGATGTGCTCGGAGCTGGCTTTGCATGCAATCAATGATAGCACGCGCCATGCGTGGACAGTACAGTGGAGCTTCACTGCATCGTGTAAGCGAGTTTTATATAGTGGCGGCGAAATCATGCACTTTCTGAATACGAAGGAGATCCAGTACAGGTCTCGACGAGTGACGACACCGATAAAAAACTGGGTCAAAAACTTTGTGAGGAAGGAACGCCGAGTACACATCTGATGATGTCTGAATCTTTTGCTTGATTCATCTCGATTCGGCCGGTCACGATCGAGTGCGCGATTCCTTCTTCTGATTCGCCATGTATTTATTTACAAGTTCTGCCCGGAAAACATGGTTCTCTGCGAAGTGTACCGTGACGTGAACGGGAGCGGATCAGATGCTATCCGGAGAAGGGGAAGACGTAGTCATCAGCAGTAATCACTTTTTGCCACTAAGGTCTCCAATCTCTTCCCGACTGGAAATCCCGACTTCGTTTCTCGCATCTCGTGTCCCCGCTGGACTTCGGGCCGACGCCCTGTTTCTCATCATTGCCGATCATGTCAAGTCCGGATCTATTCCACATATTTTACATTCTCACATCTGTAATTTTCATGCAGGAAGGGAGGGAATTATGGATTTGTCGGATGAGCGTGTTGTTTAATCATATTCACCCATAATCCGTCATGCAATTGAGAATTGCAGCTTCCGGATAGAAGTTTCATGAGAGGGAGAGAGAGTCTGTCGGCGGTACATTGAAGGAGGACTCGCTCTGCTTGAGTCAGCCCGTGTGTTGATTCGGCTGCTGATTATGATAAGCGCCTGCAAGGTGCCAGCATTTGATGATGCTCCCATGATTAGGTGTGTGATACATTCGCCTGTAATTATGTTCGATTCGTTACAGTCGTCAGATACGGGTCTTGGAAGTTTGTGCAAAGAGGCAATTCACGTCAGGCACTTAGAAGACTAATGGTTCTATATGTCACCACTTAGATATTCTCATAGCGATGGGCACCTTGCACAGCAAGGAGCCTCATCATTGACAGCAAACGGATCCCATACGACAATGGAAAGTAGCCTCTAGGGCCACCACCTCTCAAGCTGAATATTGTAATTGTGTGGAGCTTTTTGCACCTCTGGAAAAGTGTTAATTTGTTCAAGCTCTCTGAAAGTGACGAGAAAAATGGACCAAGCTCAACTGCCAACTGCAAACCGCATTCCAAATCAGCCTAAACTGGAAACTGGCCGTTTTGGCAAGCTACTCCATTTAGTCATTCCGAAAAGAGTGGCATGTGCCCTTCCCTGTGAAGCACGGGTCACCAATGGGGACATATCTGCCCTGCCCATCATTTGGGTATCGAAAGCAGTGCGCTTGCTGACCCCACTTCTGAACCTGTGAGTCTGATGCCATTATCATTCGACTGCAAGAAAGGGCATGAGTCGCATGAACTCCGATTGCTCTACTGGCAGATACATGGACGTTAACCTACAATTTCAACAGGAAATTCCTCGACATCACTCTTCGTTCAGTCATGGGAGGCTGGACGGTGCTTAAGTTCAAACATTACTGTACAACCAGGATAAAGTTGTCAGCTAATTCTGCCAGTTTTATAACCTCTACCAGCACCTCCTGGTTTCTTCTGATTCTTCGTTTGTGGCCCTCATTGGGAGACCAGGAGACACTCCTTTATTACTTTGCTTTTACTTGAAAAGAGCTCCATGTGGGAATGGTATATGAGGAAGATTTATTTTCTTAATATAGAAAACTATATGATCTTAAAGACTCCACATTGAAGGTCTCGACTCTTAGATATGTTCACAAACCATTCAGTCCCCAAGATTATATTTCAGACAGCAGTCTTACTTCGGATGTGAAGCAAAACAAGTTCAACGCAACTATGGATGGCAAGCTTGTTCTAGCCTAACTGAAGCCCATCGAAGGTCCCAACTTCTGTGCTTACAAATCATGTATCGTGAAAAGTACTGAAAATAGAGTACTGTAACAATGCTACTAGGGAGGGAATCCTGGTGCAGATCTACTCCCAACTATGAATGAGTATCGAGGGAATCCTGGTGAAGATCTACTCCCAACTATGAATGAGTATCCTCACGCGCTAGTCGAACCGACGGCGCAGGAGGAAGGTTTAGAAGGTCAACACTGCCCCTCAAGCTCCAACAACAAGGAAACCTGTCGACACAGAAGGACCTATCATCTCTCCGAAGCTCTGCAGTCAGCATTCAGAGAACAAATTTGAAGCAGATGTTAGTGACAGCAGGCGGTTTCAGCCGTGATTGTTCATCTGGGTCTTTGAAGATAATACAAAATGATGCTGAGGTCCTCTTGCATACCATTTGCTACAGCTCTATACAGGCAGGCATTCCAAATGATTGTGGGAGATTTTTAGCAATGCTTCTCACCGTTGACTTGGAAGGTTCAGGAGCTGGTGCGGAGCTGCCGGGGGTGTCGATGAAATGGGAGTGTTACCGGGTGCAACAGTCGGGGGCACAGACGACGATGGAGGAGCTGAAACTGGAGCGGTTGTAGTGCTAGGAGCTGGAGCTTGTGCCCACGCTTGATTTGACAACAACACGATCCCGATGAACATCATGCTCACAACTGATGATGGCTGTGATGAGCCATCTCAGCTCCCGCATTACGTCATCAGATCGCCAATTGGATGGTTATCTCTGCAAGGATCTGCAGCTGTCGTTAAAAGCTACATAATGTCTCACGATCTCGAAAGTGCATCAGCAAGAACAAAAAGCGTCCTGCTCTCGCTCGATAAAGTCGAGAAACGTACCAGGATCCCGAAAACCGTACTAAACAATTCTCTAAAGGCCTAAAGTACTCGCAACTCGTCATTTAATGTTTTCTCGTGTCATAAATGCAAGCTACATGAACAGACAAAGGATGACTGTGCATACGTTTGCTACTCCTGGAGTTGACAATAATATCCTACGATTTTAGTGTGTACTTTTTAAGCATACTATCTTATTAACAGGCTGCTGATGGATGACGTTCTTCTCGTTCTCGATTGCAACTGCCGTGCTAATGTGGACTAAGAATGGAGGCAAACAGTCCCTTTGGCCCATGACCTCTGATGAACAGAAGGTGACTCAAGTGTCGTCCTCTGCAGGCGTGGACTTATCTGTGGACTAGATCGATCAGAGTCTGTCTGAGAGTGAATAGTTTTGAGGCCATTAGAGATTTTTCAAGTGACTCGACGAGAGAACTACAATTTCAGTCGTTATCGTTCAGTCTATGGCAATGCATGTCATTCCTAGCTCTAGAAATCCGTTGAGAATATGATCTGAATTCCCTGCAGTCTCTACTTCACGGACTGACGATTTTGTAAGGCGAAAGCTGAGGATGTTGCTCTGAGAAATTAATGGTCTTGGGAGGGCGGTGGATTTGTTGGTTATGGATCCGCACTGCAAAGCTCTAAAGATTCCAGATCTTCTGCAAGACGACACGATTGAAGAAAGACCATATTAAACGTCATGAGCAGGTAAAGAATGGATATCGATCAGCACCAGCATCAGCATCGCATACATCGGGCCCATCTACAGGGTCCTCGCAGCCGAGGGATCCAATACCGTTCCTAGTTGTGCCCAGACTTCAAGAAGCACTCGGTGGTCGCTGAACTGGTTATGATCTCACAACTGAACTACGAGTTTTGCCTTCGAAGTTGGTACGAGCTATTGCAACGGAAAACTTCATAAACTGGCAGTCGCGATCCTCACTGTCGCAGCGGCGGTACGCAAATCACAGTAAATCAGAGATAGTTTATTGCAGTAATTCTGATTTCACATCCAGCTACCTAATCCCAACACCCCTTGATTCAGGGGCTTGGATGCAGCAAATACAGCAAGTTTCTGGACGTCTACATCGACAGAATCGATAGACGGAATGTAATATCTTCTTACGAAAGTTATTTCATTCCGTACATCCAACTCTGTGACTGAATCTCACGCCTCCTTGTAAAAGGGCAGTGGTTTAGACCAGTGCTACATGTTGTGATGTTGTACAATATGTCACAAACCAGAGAGAAGGCTTAACCTGGAGGTTTCGCTTCACATGAATTACTAGACCATCCTGTGAGCGATGGTTATTCTGAGGCATGTTGAACTTCCAAAGGGACCAACACTTGACATTGAGAGGTTTGTGAGAGAGATTTGAAGCTGGAATTTTAGAATGATGTTGGCTGTTGTATATAAAAGCAGAGTCTGTGACCTGCTTTCCGTATCCCTCCTCAGGGATAAGGGAAGACATGTATGACAGGAATATGTATTTCACCATTGTAAGGGAAGATTTTTTTTTGGAAGAGAGAATGGAGGGGGAGAGATCTAAAAACTGGGCTCACAGTTTCCTCACTCTGATGTGGGGATAATCTCCTTCAGCAAGACGTGCCCGTTTTCTACGCACCTGCTCCAACTGATTCTCAATCTTGGTGGATATACTCCACCGAAGCAAATTAATTTTTTACTTAACTTGATCAGACATTCAATTCAAGGTCGAACAAGTTCTTTTAAACCTTTGAACGGGAAATACATCATTGCAGTCAATTTTGTTTGGACTTTGGCTCTGTCCCATAGATCGGCGGGGATAAAATTGAGCATCAGAGTCATTTTTAAGTTAACTCTCCTCCACGTTGATTACCCAGTGTGGCCCAGGTAAGGAGACTGGTATTGTGTACAGATTGCAGCTGCAAGTGTGTACACAAAGGCAGAGAGAACGTAGACAACAAAGGATTTCAAGCTTTAACTCCAGATAAGTTAAAGCTAATGAGAGAATATTCCCTTCTAGTATCAGCGTGCTCTTGCTTACTCCCAAGTCTTGTCTCGTCTACTGGACCACATGGACACCAAACACGATGGAAGACCCCATCAAGCCGAAGAAGGAAGAAGACGAACGGGAGACCAGGGTCTAGGCCCCGAAGGCAAGAAGAGTGAGAGGACCTTTTCCTGGGGGAGCAGAAGACGACGCGCTATTGTTCAGGTTTCGGCGCTGGACACCAGAAATTACTTTTCGGGAGGTCATATGCGTTTCTCCTTCTCCAAGTGCTTGAGTAAACAATTCTCTATGCTCAACAAGTAGAGAAGAACTATAAATCCTCACTCCTCAGAGCAGTGGTCCAGTGTTGTTTGCTTGCCCCTGCATCGAGAACCATCAAAGCACACATGTCGAATATGTGGACTAAGAGAGCGACTAGAGCTTCCCAGTTGAGAGAACCTTCAATGGTAGAGGTCCCACGTTCTCATGGAGTAGCATGACTCGAGAAATAAGAACTAGTTACATGCTCGTGTACGTAGACAGAAAAAAAAGGGTATCAAACTCATGGCCAATCACTCAGCAAACATTCATTCGATCACAGGACACAGCTCTTCGAAACAAGCTACAGAAGTAGCACGTTACGATTTTCTTATTTCTTTTGTGGCTTGAACAATGTATCCAAAACCGGTTTCTAAATCTACACTGAAGTCTAATTCTTCTAAGATGCCTGCACCCATGAAGGAAGAGATTCTACATGTCTAAAATTCCTACAGGTCGATGTCTGCAGCTTGGAGATACCCTTCAATCGCAGACAGACCGTCTACTCTACTGCAGTTTCGCTTATTGGTCCTGTGATCTCCACGACTGCTGCTATCTTGCACTCGCTTCAAACCACAGAACAAAGAATTGATGTGTATATGTACGCCTCGACGTCATGTTGAAAGAATGGCTAAAAAAATGCTACTTAGATCCACTTAGATCTACTCATACTTAGTAAGCCAGAGCAGCTACAAGAGCTGAGGCCACAACAAGACCAGTCCATGCGAATGGGCTTGTCATCGCTCCAGCGTTGTCCTGAAATCCAAGGCAATGACACAGTTAGAACTTGCTCAGATGACATTCCCAAAGCTTGCAGCCAAATCGTGAAACCAGACTGGAGTGCAATCCAATGTGCATTCCACAACGAGAAGGAAAGCTCGACAAATTGAATAGAGTGCGAATGGAGATGGTTACCTGGTCAACGGGGCCGGGTGCAATGGCGGAAACAGCAGGAGGGGAAGAGATGGGGGAGACCGTGGGTGCAGAGATGGGAGTAGCAGTGGGGGGAGAGACTACGGGGGTGGCAGTGGGGGGAGGGGTAGTGGGGGCGACAGTGGGGGTGGTGATGGGGGCAGTCGGCGTAGTCGGGGCGACAGCGGGAGCCACAACGGGAGCAACTGTGGGCACCGTAGCAGAGGGCGGCGAAGCAACTGGGGCGACAGTAGGGGTGAACGAGACTGATGGAGCCGTTGCCGGAGCCACTGCAGGTCCTTGAGCTTGGGCGGTTGCCACTCCAAGCACAACCATGGCGATGAAAAAGCACGCGCTCATTTGGGAAGCCATGGTATCAGAGATCTGCACACATTGCCAAACCACCCAGATCAGATCAGAACCCCTTCCCAAGTCTCAATGAGTTCTCCTGCATCTTCTGCACCTGCAGCTCCTGCCCAGTGAGTCTCACTATGGATCCCATAAAATATTCAGATCGCTAAGCCTCATGGAGACTCTGAGAATCTGTAGATCCTCTAATGCATCAGAATGCAAGTGGCAGGCCTACTACTGACGGGGAACCACTCCTCAGCTACAATTGTCCGATCGAACTACTGCTCTGGAGATGATCTTCACCTGCGATGGAAGCTTCGAACTCGATTCAGACGCTTTGGTCGACCTGACCGAACTTGAGCTTGAGCTGGAAATTAGAATTCGTGAAAGCGAAATTCAAACTCGAGTTTTGATCCTGCAAACCAAAGAACGAGAGAACCAGATTAGAAAATGCCAGTGGAATTGCCCACGACCTGACACCATCAGCACTTGAAAACAGCTTGACAGTGAATTTGTGCCAAGGATCAAGGATCACATTGCGTCAGTCAATCCGGTACAATTCAGATCCAGAGACCAGGAAACCTCGTCTCCAGATCTGAAAGCTCAGATATGCATGCTCGGTTCTCACCCTGTCTGCTGCTGCTGGTGTTGTTGTTGTTGTACGTTCTGTCTGTTCTTCTTGTCCTCTGATAGAGATGCTTGAGATTGCTAGGCGCTGTGGGTGGGAATGATTTCTCCATGGGCAGAGCCGGCTAATATATCAGCTGACACTCGCCTCGGTCGCAGGCTGCTGACGAGGGCGAGGGGAGGCGAGGAGCCGAATATTCGCAGCACCTCACCGAAAGCCTGAGGGTGGGGGAGGGGCCGATCTGCGAGCACCAGGTCACACCAGTGCGAGACTGTTCGGACTCGATCAGCTCCATCGTGTTGTCGCCAGCTCCAGTTGGCCGTGGACTCATGTTCGGGTACGGAACCTCCTCAGCGGGGGCGGCTCCCCCCGCATTCTCTCTCTCTCTCTGCCATCGCTCACTTACGCGGAAGCTGCGAATGCTTCCCCGTAATTCTCCGTCCCTTTCTTGCCCCTGAAGTTCCCTCAACCCAATTGATCCAATTACCTTCACTGCTTACCTTCTTCCTTTCCTCGGATCGACATTTGATAATATTATCAGGACCAGTTCCCTTTCCCGATGAGATGACTTGGTTGCCCTTCGGTTTCTTTCCCGGGAAGACTTGGTGTGATTTCTCTAGTGGGGCTTCCGAGTGGCTTGACTTCGTCGGCGGGGCTTGGCTTGGCTTGGCTCTTGGCTCTTGGATCTTGGGGTGTCCCGGTCAGATTATTACAGAATTATTGGGAAGAGTTGCCGAGTCCCGTGACCATGTGATGGATGGGGCTGACGTGAAATTACTTGGCGCGTGGCTCCGTTGGGATTTCTGGCTCAGCTCGCTTTGACAGAGCCTGAAGTCTAGGAGGGAGGGAGGGGGGGAGGGGGGGTGTGAGCGTGCCAGGCTCACGCGCTGTTCTGGGGCCATGGCTATTAATGGATCGGCCTGGTGACAGTGGATTCGCTCTCAAGCAAAGCGAAGCCAATAGTCGTCGTGATGTGATCCAACTACGAGAATCGTGCACCGCGTTCGGCCCATGATTGCCCATTCCACACCTCCTCCTCCTCCTCCTCAGTTCCGGTGCGAGAGACCATTCGAGCCCGGTGACCTGCGAACATCCGCCCCCCCGCGCCACCCCCTCCACGAGCCCTTCCTGTCTCTCGCTCGCTCGCTGGCAGGCAGCTACCGTCCAACGGGTCCCCGCTCCCCCCACCCCAGTCGGTCCTCTGCTCAGCTCAGACTCATCCGGACTCAGACTGCGTCCGAAGCGTTCAGTCTTCCCCCCTTTCGGTCAACGGGAAATATGGCGTGAGGAGTACTGTAACGGCGGGTGAGTGTGGGGGGTTAGGGGTAATGTTGCTTGCAGGCCTCGCGGTTGTCGTTGGAATGGTTGAGGCGTGAGGAGGGAGATCGTCGCGTTGGAGTGGGACTGAAGTGAGTTCGCTGGGCCGGTGCTGGAATGAAGAGTGGAGTGGGCCCGAGGCTCTGTGGGAACATCCAGCTGCCATTTGCAGACGATGCTCTTGCAACAGTCTGTGCAGCACGTTCGGAGAAAGGCGGACCTCGCTGGTCAAACTATTTTCGTGAGGGCAGGACTTATTCTGGACCCCATGCGGCACCTCCGTTTCCTCGACTCTCCGCGGTTTCTGCTACGATTTGCCACGATCTCGACTCCGAATCCACCGATGCAGGACGCGCTCAAAAGCTCGACGAGTTGTGTCTTCGGGTAAATGAATGCCTGCTCGTCCTGCTTTCTCCTCATTGCAGATGAATGAGTTCGTTGATAGACTTCTTCGGCGAGAACACGACTGCAAGGGCGGACAACGAGTGTATCCCCTCATTCTTCATTCAGCCTTGCTAGAAATCGTGGAGGACATAATTCTTCAAGTACTTGCACACGCTTTGTGAGTCAAATTGACACTACACGTCTTTGTGAGTATGCAATCCACAGAGCCCGGAGTCAGAAGGCGGGGATCACTGAATAGGGAAGATGCAATTGCTGCTGCTGCTGCTTTGCCCTCTGGAATTTTCTTTAGTTTCATGAAGACTGAAGCGCCCAAGATTGAGCGAGATCAGACAGAGCGTTGGGTCGTGCAGGTCCGACTGACTCCACTGATGAACAGACTGAAGCATCCAGAGCTACAACACTGCGACTTCTCATGATCCCGACCCTCTCGAGTTCTTCGGAATCTCGAAGTTTAGACATCCACTACTTGCGCCAAGGGATCATTCAAACCTCCAATACAGCAACGAGTACTCGGCTACTAGAAGAAGCACGTGAACACACGATGAGACATGCTATCGATCTCGGCATTGGATCTGCTTCTAAACGCCTTCTCCTTCCTACTTTCCCAATCATCCGCTCGCAGTGCTGAACCTTTTCAAGGATCTCTGTGCTTTTATGCAGTCGTGTGCAGCCGGGTTTCAGATTGCAGTGTCTCTGAGACGATTATAAGTAACAGCTGCCGTCGGTGTGAATGTGCAAACAGAGCAATTTTAATGGGCAGATCGTAAACCGCTACCAAATCCAGCGACACCATTGTGAGATCTCTTCGAGTTCTGCGAGAAGCCAAAACTCCGCCTCCAAAAATGACTTCAATTCCATCGTGCACCAGCTCGACTTGATGAACGATGTCCGGAGGTGAATTGTCCGCAGTTGGAATCGCTGCTGCTCCCCACGTTTTACAACTGGGCCTGTCTTCGACGACAAGTCAACGTGGATGTAGCTTCCGGATCCCAGCCTTCCAACTTCTCTTCAGGCATCGGGTATGATGTAATCGTTTTCCTGTTTGCAGCGTAAGATCTTAACCATCAGGATAACAATTACCTCATCGTCTATTCCCTCTCTTGGATGGCATATACTGCATCTCATGGCAGCAACCTTGCAGAAAAATATCGAATTCCGACAAGAGGAAATTCGGGGATCGCTGGAAGCGGACTCGATGTGGAAGGCGAACTCGAAGATTGGGCCACCAGTCAGTGATCGTCGTTCATTGATCGTTGCGTTGCCTCTTGAATTTCTGCCAGCAGTGTAAGATACGGGGCTTTCACGTAATCCAATCAAATTCAGCAAATGCAGCAATTCTATGAGCCTGACTGTCATTCGATTGCAAGGTCAGTGCATATGATGATTCATGCGTTGTCCGCTGTTTCCTTTTCCACGGTCCTCTGAACATTCCGGATAGATGCACATGGAATCATCCACATGCAGCTGATTCCAAGTACGATTCCGTAATCTAGTGCTCATCCTTTACTATTCCCTCTGTTTGATTGTCCCCAGGCTCTGTTCTCTGCCATGTAGAATTGCAGTGAAGATGCCTTCAACAACTCCTTGGATCAGATCGCGTGTATTTTACTATGCACGTTGAGAGATCAGGACACAACATTATGATTCTTCACCGCGCCATCTCAACTCGAATCTTTTCGCTGAAAGAATTGTGTTTGTGACAAACGGCAGAAGAGATATCCGAGTGCATATGGTGACACCGCTAATCGTATCTGCAGCTTTCAATCCCACAAATGTTTCGATGCGCTTGTGGGTCGGGATTGCCTGCGCAACTCTCGGAAAAACAACCACATACTCAACATTGAATTCGGGTAATCTACGGCTGTGCACGGTCGGAATTTGTGCAGCTGAAGTTGACAAGTTTATTCCTCTATCGCGATCTGTCTTGTGATTCAGAGAACCTGGTGCCGAATGAATGAAGTGGCAGGAGTTCCGCATGGCAAAAACAATGGGAATACACATTAAAACATGTGAGAATTTATTTATAGTTAACCAGTGGATAGACTGTAATATAGGCTAACAAAATATAAATATTAATATAACAGTAATCAAACTATCCACATCTTGATATAAACCACTCATTTCTGTCTTTGAGCAATCCCATATTACTCTCTTAAAATTATGAAATAAAAAATTTGTATGTAAGATAATTTTTCATAATATTCATTTGATATATCTAATTATTCACTTTAACTAAATCTATTCACTCAATACTAAACAAGTGTCATCCTGATCTAACATGTAGTGGATAAGTTATACATAAATGGAGCATATTAATTATGATGATAATGATAAAAAAAATTAGATGATTTTTGTTGTATATAATAAATTAGTTTGGTCTTATTCTTCAAATCGGTAACAAAAATTCATACATTTATAATCAGAGATTGAAAAAAAAAATTAATTATTTCATACTTTTAAACTCAAAACCAAATTTTGACAATTTCTTGCATTTTTTTTTTAAATTATGTTGATTTTATTTCTATTCGTACTGAATATTATAAAACCTAGACAAAAATATATGTGCATATTTTGAAAAAAATCATTTGAAGATATTTTTTCAATATATATTGAAGTAGATGTAAACTATGTAAAATATTGTCATCTTAAACATCTATAACTCAAACAATATCATGAAGTGAGATGCTCTTCGGACTACATATGCAAATGAATTATAGGCAAGCATGTGTTTTTAGAGCCAATCCACATCTCATAAAATTTAACGCCTCCTACTGAAATATCTGTTGTCTCCCTCTCCGTAAACTTGCGAACTCTCATTAAAAGCAGATGATTCCATTAAATATGAAAATAAGAACTTTGATATGACATTATTGTTGTTAAATTCTTTCTTCATCATTTTGGTATGATGAATGTCAAATTGATTGAATACTTGGATAATTATAAAAGCATAGCAAATCAATTAGATAATAGTCCATGAAACTAATATCTCGATTCAAGTAGTTTGATCGACATGAACTCTTTATTCCATCAATGTTTTCAATCAAATAGTCAAAAATTTAAAAAATTTGAATATCGGATATGCAAGTAATATTGAAATTACTAATGAAGTGATTTGATAAATGTAGATTTATATAATACATGAACAGTAAATAAGATTAATCATTTTAACAACGCTGTTGTTTGAATAAATATATTGGTTTCCTAATATATTGATCCGCTCAATGCTATGGAATATATTTTTAAAATTCTATGAGACTCTTTTACAACATGATTCTTTAGACTATCAAATCGATATAATAATTTACCGATTCAAGTGTTTATTTTCAAATCTAGAGTATTCTTAATGCTAAATTTTACTTATGTCATTCTAAATGTATATCAAAATAATGTATCTATCTTTGACATTGCTTAGTATTGAGAATAACTTAGCATTTGACTTTCCAATGCTTCCCAAAATTTTCATAATGAGTTACTGTTTGTGAAATTTCCTTAATATTTCTCATTCCGATGCTTTAAACAGTCGAAAATCTTCTTTGAAAATTTTACGAAGAACTGTAACTTAAGTTTCATACATTTTCACATATAAAAAATTCAAAAAACTTCTAAAAAATTTGACCATCAAATATTTGTGAAAATATTTGATGAATTATCGTTTATATTATTTGTGAAAATAATTAATATCTTATAGCAACTCATACATAATCTTAAAACTGATCTACTCAATCGATATCACGTTTTAAATTAACATGCCATATAACAGTACGTTTTTTATTCAAAACTTAAAGCTATCATATAAAATCTGTTAAAAATACATGCAATTAAGAAATTTTAATTCCTAAATACAATCTTCATTTTTATTTTGCGCTCAAAAGTACTTCAATTTTCATACAATGTTTAATAAGAAGATAGCTATAAAATCATAGGCTCTCTAGCAACAATTCTGATATTTCCAATTGTGATAAAACTCCACCACTAGTCAAAACACTTATTTAGATTTGACATTAGTCATCAAAATCATCAAAATATTCTTAAATAAATATTTTTAATATTAAAAATTAAAAAATTACATTAAATTTTAATTATTGTGAAAATCCACGGAATATAATTTTTTTTAAAATATATTTTAATTTATCATTAAAATTTAAATCTTATTAAGAAATTTTTGAGGTTTTTTCTAACTTTTAAATTTTTTAAGAAATATATCACAATCTTTGATGTCATGTTTATAATATTTTTATTTGGTAACATTGTCATAAAATATTCTTGAGTAGTTTGCACAAACACAAAAAAAAATTAAAAATTATGCAAAAACTCTATAATAAATCAAACTGTTTCATCAATGATAATAAAATTATCAAGTTTAAATACAATAATTAATTTAATATAAATAATTTTTAGAAGAAATTATTTTAAATCACAATTGTGAATCAGCCAAATTTTGAATGAAATTAATAAAAAATGAATAATTTGTGACTATAAAAATAACGTTTGTTGTTCAAAAGAATAAACTAAAATCATTATACATTATATCAGTTAGCAATTTAGCAATATTTTTTACTTATGATTTTATAACAATCATAAGTAAAAATACAAAATATTTCATATAACTTATGATTGTTATAAAATGAGTCAAACTCATAATAAGTAATTGTTAAAAAATGATTCACAATGTATTATTTGTATAATATTATTTAATTTTTTTATAACATATTGAAGTAAAATAGACAAAATTGATGATAAGATAATGTTTCTAATTAAATATGAAGTGATATTAGATAAAAATTAAAAAAATAATCCAAAGTAATGATAATGATATTCCAAAGTCAAACCAAAAAATGATTCAAAGCAAGATATAAAATCAACAATATTATTGATACAAATAAGAGATTAAAATTTTAGAAATAATTCATTTGAATTTGAAATTTTATGTGAAATTTAGTTTTATGCATAAAAATTTAAAAATTTGTAATATTAGCAAAAATAATTTTCATATATATCAAAAATGACAAGAATTAAGTATGTATACATGGATATATTAAATAATTTTGAGTGATTATTAGAATGTTGAGACTTTTTTTATAATCTTATACTATTGTAAGAAGTTTTACAACTTTTAATAATTTTGATTTGTGAAGAATTTTATTTAAATTGATTTTAGTTGAAAATTAATAGTCGTAAATTATTGTGAAAGCAGATTGTAAAATTCTAATCAATTGTCATAATTTGAAAGTGAAATTCAGATTTATAAATAAAATTTGATGGATTAAAATGATTATGTTGAGATTTATTAGCAATTTCATCTCATTGTTTCTAACATTGGATTTGAAAAACTAATTCAGTTGACAAGTAGAGATACCAACAATGGTTCACTCTCCCTTGTATAGATATTATCAAGAAGTAGAAGAAGATAAGACGTCACTGTCATAATTCATTCCACTCCTAATGAATTGATAACATGTCGGATAACTCTAACGAGCACATAGATTGGCGACATGACGTTCTCAACTAACATACTCAATCTTTATCAAACTTGCACACTAATTGTTGACGTGACGTTGTCAACTAATATAATTATATTTTACTTATAAAGCACACAGATCGTTGAGTTGGCAACTATGAATAATGTATTCCATGGTAACAATAATTTTATATTGATTAATCTCCATTTTAGTTTTAACTAACTAAAGATGAAAACAAAATCAAAAAATTTTCATTAGAACTTTATTAGAATCTTTTAGATGACTTATATACGTTAATTTTTATTTTAAATTGATGATTGTAAATTGATACACAATTGCAATTGATTATTAGCATTTGGATTTTAACAATCTTGAAAACATTTTGATATTTTTGAATAATCTATTATAATTTTCATAAAACTTACTCCCTCGCATTTAAGCGGAGTACAACATTCATTGCCCATGTCCAAACTCACCCATGTTCATGAATTTTGAATGACATTATTTTTTGTATGCACATGCATAAATAGTATACACTAGTAAGTTTGAATGGGCATATTTTGTAAATGGCTATAAATCCATGTCTATCATTACTTCTTGAGATACAGACATATCAATATGTGATAGCATACAACTTGAAAATTAAAATATACAAGACGGTGAACGGCAAAGTTTAGATATTTGCATATTCAAGTCTAATATCTTGAAATACATGCTACGGTTTTTTAACTGATCATTAAAAATACATAATATTCTTCCGCTAGATTAAAATAAAAGCCAAAAAATATAAGTATAAGTTGAAATTGATTTGTGAAATGCATGCACAAACTAAATTGATCCAAATCTAGAAATCACTTAAGAAACATGTAAGGAAATCAAATAGATTCATAAAAATTTTGGAAGTAAGAATTGAACTCTATATCTTATTAGTGAAATTAGGATCTTAAAGTAGCAAAAGAGACATGGAGAATAGAGTACATCAATTGGAAATATAACTACTGAGAAAAAAAAAGACAAAGAAAATTTACTACAACAGAGGATTATGTTAATTTGCTTAATATAATGCACTCGGTATCTGTATACTAATGACAACCTTTTTCAAGTGTAGTACCATAAAATTCTAATGTCATCACATCACACACTAAAAAGATTGTGTGCTAGCTATGGCACTTCTTTGCATAATTTTCTAAGAAAAATGGAACTCTTGTATTTTCCGTCAAAACTAGATCTCGTAGAACATCTTCAATCCATACAATATTTCACCAAGGAAAACACACAATCAAACAAAGATGCTAACTTTTTTGCTATCAAACGTCGCAAATTTCATGCTCATTGCACTAGTGAGCTCAACATTTCCAGTAAATCGGAATATCTCTATTAAATTCAGTAAACTCTTGTGATGGAAGTAAAAAGTAGTCTTCACATTTCCCATCATGTTGAGATTGAAGCGTTTGATTTTGTGTCATCCAACTTCATATCGGAATCAAACTTCTCTATGCAAGGAATACAATAATCAAGAAGCGCTTCAAGCTAAAACCAACAACAATGAATGATCTTTTGTTTGTCATATCCAACTAAGATTTGGTGTAGAAGAATAATGCACATTATATAATTTTTGAATACATGGCGTAATTTGAATAGCATGGATGGACACATGCAATGCTATGGGTGGGCATAGTTAGCTACTTATGATTATGGTTTGGTCTAGATATAAATTTGAAGTAAAATGTTGTGCTCTACTCTTTTAAGTGAATTTTCAACATGTTATGTTTGGATTTGAATACAAGTTAGTTGCTTGAAATTGGTACAAAACTAGATCACAAGATTGCAACCACATATTCCAAGTAGATTAATAATAAATCACAAAGATTACATGATACTTCAACATCTCAACTTGTATCAAATTAATGGTTAAACCATTTCTTTCGAAACAGTAATATTGTATTATAATCAATAAATAATAAATAATATTTTTATATGCATCGTTTCAAGAAAAATTCATGTTGATTTGTGATGAATTGTAATGATTATAAGTAAACCGTTTATGATTACATTATGTTTTGAAAAAAATTAACTGAAAATTATCTATTATAATATATATGAACACAATCTACATCCAGTAAAAAGAAAAGTCGTTTCTGAGTCTCAATTTATTCGAAAAGAATACAACATTCTCTCACCTTCCGCTCGCTCGGCTTCTCTCCGAACTAAATCAGACTCCAAACTTGGAACTGTGGCTAGAGGATAATAGCCCCGCAAAGAGGTGGTAACAGAGTAACAAGCAAACGAGGAAATGTGGTCACAAGGGGAACGCATAGCGGAGCGATGGTCGAGAAAGTAGGGTACAGTGGACATGTGGATAGAGCTCGGACGAGGTTGAGAATGTGGAGACTGTAGTCGTCCACATTTGTCGATTGCAGTGCGCCATTCAAATGTTTCGACAGGGTTTCGGTGGAGCGCAGGTCCGAATTTGGCCGCGCCTTGCCATTGCGGAGGAGTTGCTGAACTAGGAGCGGAGCGGAGCGGAGCTCGATGGCTATGGCGGTGCGCATGCACATCGGTGTGCACAGCGTGCCAGCGGAGCGTGGTCATGGAGTTTCGCTCGCCCCTTCGACCTCCGGTGTCTCTCGAAGGTCGGCAGCTGGACCTCAAGGGAAGAGTTCGGTGGAATTTCGAGAATTGCCTCGGCGTCCTCTCTGTTTACAGTCATGGAGGATTGCGTCGGAGGTAGAGAGTGGACACTTGCGTTTTCATGGACAAATTGGTACGAGGACCGTCGCGAGGAAGAGGCATGGGCGAGTCTGCACGAGCTGCTTCAATGGGAGCACCGGGAACCTTTCGGATGGTTGGTACGCTTCTCTCTGATTTTTTCCGTTGTCAATTACCTGTCGTAGAATGTTTGTTCATTCCACCTCTTTTTTCATTCTCATTACTTGTCAATGTGATGAGACATTCTGACCTCTCCTGTATCTCTCTGCCCTCTGAGCTAGTTGTCGTGTAGGATTTTGCAGCCGGGCTCGAACAGATAATCTTAACGCCGATTCACTTGTGATAACAATAAATGTAGTGCCTGATGAGTGGTGATAAAAATCCTCGAGAGTTGTTGGAATAATTCTTGAGCAATACATGCATGTCGTATCTGAATTGCATCAAGCAGATTGTATTCAGAGTTTTATTTTCTGGCCTAACAGATCTTCACACATGAGACTTGCTATCAAAATTGCGCCATTCCGTTTGGATGCTTTTTACTAGCTGACGTGTCTGCTCAAAATTGATATCGCCAGACACGCTGTATGCAAAGTGAATGCTGATTTTTGCCTTTTCTGCTATTGAAGTAACATCTCCCTGTGGGTCTGTATGGTTGGGAACCAGCTATCATCGTTGAACTTCCGTGTCTACCTTTCTCCCCTGCCGAGGTATTTTACAGAGCATGGGTATAATACTTAGTATGTATATCAGATCTCCGTTTTCAGTCCCTCATCTGTTTTATTTAATCGTAAATCTGATTAGCAAAGAATGTGCTTACGCTTGTATATCTGATTTAGCTAGCACTCCATGGTCAGACTGGACGAGGAGCGATCTGTGTCCCTCCTCTCTGAAATGATTATACCAAACACTGAATCAAATAGTAGGATCTGAACGAGTTATGGGCTAAGTAAAGAGAATTGGTGATCTCATCTGCGCAGGTCTTTGTGCCTTCGTCCACGAAAATTTTACATCTATACGAAGCACGATTTTTGGCGCTTCTAGACGAGGTTTGATTCAGTCTTTCCTGTTTCAACGTTGTCCAATTTCGTTTCGTTTTAAGCTCTGCTTCTCAGTAGTGCCTTACGGCCAGTCATAAATGGAGGTTAGAGGGGCTTAAGCTCAAGTGGTCGGTCTGTTTGTCGCAGGTCATGGGGAAATACAACAATCTTTTTGCGCACATCATTATAGAGCCGATGGGCCCTGGACGAGATGACGAGGATGGCAAAGGAACGGCGTCCTTTTTAGCGACTTATGGTTGCTTGGCGCGAGTTGAAAATGTGAGTAATCGTTCATTCTACCGGCATGTGTTCTTTCTCAATTTGTTCATTCTTGTGTGCTGATCCCGACCCAACACCTTGCTTTTGGCAAGAACTAGTGACAATCTCAACCACCTTGAACTAAAACCCTCAGAGTGACTCCTGTGTTACACTTCAGTACTGTGATTGTTGTCCCATGCTTAATGCACTCGGTTCTTACCTTTTGGTTGTTATGGTGGGTATTCAAGTCTGTATCTTGCCTTTCAATGATCAAGAAATTGGAGATCTCATCCATAACCCTTTTCTGTTAGATACCCGCGAGAAAAGAGTAATGCAGATGTGACCGCCCAGTAGGCCCCGCAGAGATGTGCTAACCACTTAAGTACGGGGCCTCTTGTGTGCAGGTCAGAAGGCTGGACATAGGAGCGGCAGTTACCATTAGAGGCATAGGACGGATAAAGCTCGTCAGTCTCACTCAGGTATTCGGAGTTTGCGTTGCGCCGTCGGCTTTACTCGATTGCTCGATTGCTTTGAAGAGTGTATGTCCATGGTGGGGTAGATACTAAGAATCTGAAAATGTGGATTGCGCCCTTATGCAGCTAGAGCCCTTTTTGAAGAGTACAATCGTCTCACTTAAGGACGAGGTACCTGAAGACGAGGAAGCTGTATCATCTGCTTTGGACCAGCTCCAGACCACTTTACAGAATGTGCAAGATCTTCAGATAAAGTTGAAGGTTAAAAACCGTCCCGTGATTGATCCTATCTTTCAGGCAGAAGTGAGTTCTGAGTTTACTCATTGCCACGACCCCTATTCTCGAGCAGAAAGGTCTTTAATTCTAGCTATTGAAATTGATCATCAGTATAAGTATGGATTTCATGAACAATGTTCTGAATGGCAAGCAGGTCTCCGAGGACGAATTACTACAAACGCCGTTGGAAAGAGCTCTCCAATGGGCAAAGAAAGGGGAGCCTGACGATATTGCCGAAGCGTACGTACCCACTCGTGAGGAAAGGCTCTCGTTTGCCGCTTTGCAACCGGTTGCAGGTGCTTATCCATCTACTCTTCCATCCTAACCTCGATGCTGAGAAAGATTGAGGCGTGAGAATAGCTCCCCCGGTCACTCAGATGTTCCATCGTAAGAAGTTGAATCTGGGTCGATGTATTTTCTGGACATTTGAGAACATGTTCGTTCGTAAGTTGGACTAATTGTGTGCTATACTTGCTTGGGAAAGGTGCAAGCCCCGGAGAGCAACACAAGCTTCTACAAGAACGTCTTTTCGCAATGGAGGCAATGGATACTCTGCAGCGGCTCAAGCGAGTTGCGCCCTATGCTGAGCAAATTTTGGCGTCAACGGCAGCCAAGGTTGCCTTGCAATCCCTGAATTTGTAAAATACAGTAGTCAAGTTGTCAGTTTGAAAGCTAACTCATAGAAAGTGTAGATGGGTACAGGCCTAATGTGTACCATGAATTTGACGCTGTAAATTTACGTTACTCCGATACAAACCTACCGACTTCAAATTCTTTTTTATTTCGCGATCCGCTAGAAACCCACCGCCAAAAAGATTCTTCTACGTTCATGAGTACGGAATTATTGATCAATGACACTTCTCACCATGTCATAGCGTGTTCAAAGGTATAATGATGCCGCTTTGTTAGTGACGCACTTTTTACAAAGATAATCAAAGATGACAATTCTAAGTTCTCTCCATAGATTTTCCTCTATTCGAGTAAAAGTTGTATTCCCTCTGCACAATGATGAGGTTGTAACATATACTCACTTCTCCATATCCTAGAATGATAATTTTTAAAATCTACAGGGAATTATCGGAAGTGCAACGGCGGCAGCCAAACTTGCAAGTTTTATCTTATTTCACTCATGCTTTTTTGTTAGCTCTAATAAAATATTGCCAAACTTTTTACACTGTCAAGAGCACACGAAAAATAGTTCAGTTATCCAACTTTGTGTGAAGAAACAATCCAATTTTTTCCCGTCGTCACAACTCCCAATCAGTTTGATTCTTTCACGGGAACATTGGCAGCTGTGTTCCAAATAATTCACAAGGCCATGAATGAAGATATCACTTTCCAGACTACCTTTGCGGTAAGTCTCAACCTGTCCAAACGCCTTGGCATTTTACCCAAACAAAAAAACGTGCACAGTCCCGAAACAAACAGTTCTCCGAATAGCAGCAACAAGTAATGTAGTACTCGTTCCTTCATAAGAGTGGAATATGAGATTGGTCGCCTGTGTAATTTTTACTATTGTTGAGAAGTATATTTTTCACGTTGATAAAAATTGCTTGCAAAAATATTGAATTTCGTTATTTCGTAAGCTAGCTTGCTGAAGAGACGGGACAGCAGAGATACTCTGCAACCGTTCCTCCTAATATGGTACATTTCTGGGCAAGTCCCAGTTGACATTATTCCTCATACCAATCTGTGTACGCATAAGGTCTAATCTGGAATGTCTAGTTTTCTTCCCATCTGCACTCTTGGGATATTTTGCCCCTGGTTCTCTAGTTGCTAGTCCCATACTCCGGTATCTGAAAATTGAGTGTCACGAATTAGTAGTGTTCAAGGAAACCAAACGAAATGTTTTTCAATAAAACGGAACGAGCAGTACGGAGAATCTACGCTATCTATAGAACCATTTAAGACAACCTAAATAGAACATGCAAGACAGACGTCTTTATGGCTGAAACCGTCTGTAAATTTCATTAAAAAATTATCTAGTGCCAGCCATACCTTGCAATAACTGCGTTGACGACCATTCCATCTCTTTGATCAGATGGTTTGGGCTTTTGTTTGTAGTAGCGGAATAACTCCCTCGAACCAAGTGTTCTAGATGCCTTTCCTTCAGCATCATCGCCCTTCAACATAAGCTCAAGGCCACCACTGGTTAACACGGCGGGTGCGTCATCTCCATCTTCGATTTTCACAAGCTGTTTCCCGTCTGCGCCAACATAGCTGATACACATACACAAAACAGGTCAGGCTGTGAACGGCGGTTGCTAAACGCTCCAGAATTGTCTGTAATCAGATGTGCCAAGTGGATAAATAAAATCAAAGACAATTACACATTACCTGCTACTGAAATCGTAGTATTCTTCCAGTTCTTCCTCTGCTGCACCTTCTCCGTCGCCATAACGCAACTTGCAATGACTTTTAGACACCATATGCTTCCGCACTGCTTCTAAGCTTTGGAAGCGCTTACCTCTATCGTCACAAAATAGGCACATGAATCCTTTCGTTACCTATGTCAGGACAAAACACCTTCTCAGCTGAGCAACAATCCGCTTAAACAATGTACACCATAGTTCTTCCACTGTGACGACTCTTTGAGTCCCTTCGAGAGAATGTTCAGACAATTAGTCCCCTTACTATTACAAACCTCAAACCTGAACAAGAGCATCTGATGGATCATAAACTCGCAAGACTTAAATCAAAACTCCTGGACATGATGTCCTTCACAGACTGGACTTAAGAGCATGATATAAGCGTACCTTGAGACCAAGGTAACTAAGCATTCCTTGCGGATCCTTCAAGAATTCGGCATCAGGGAGGAAAAATCCATGGACTTTGTGCATGTGCTCTACACAACCTTCGATACTTCCATCTGGCTGGAAGTCACAAATAAAACAGCGGCTTGCGTCCCATTCTTCATCAATTACTTCACCACTAGATCCAGCCCTGTCGTCAGAACCCTCCTCATTGCCCCGAAGCTCCATGACAGCATCCTCGGCCTCATCTCCATCAACTTCTTCCCATTCCTCATCGCTGCTCTCGGTCTCGGTCTCTTCGTCTTCCTCCTTTGCTTCGACAACGGGCACTTGCTCCTTCACTGGCCGAGCTGGTGCGGGTCTCACAACAGCAACAGCTGCCCCTGACGAATCTTCAAGACTGGCAGCCTTGCTGATATGGAGCTTGGACTGCAAATGCTGAATGTGGGCTTTCTCTGTTGAATACTCTTTACCACAAAGTGAGCACTTGTAAAGCAGACGCTGTCCTTCCGCCTTCTTCTTCTCTGCAGCCAATGCCTCTAACCTCAGGTTGAAAAGTCCTTCAGTAACCCCGGGAACTCCAGCGACCTGCAGAATACAATTTGATGAGCAACCGCAACCAAAGGGCCCGACAAAAAAGTTCAATGTGTTTACGCTGTGATCATGATCTACAGATCTTAATCCAAGTTGGGGGGTAATTCAATGCTAGTGAACTTCCACTCCTATCCATTCAAGCTTTGTAATACTCTGATGGTTGATGGTCTGCTGTGCGTGAAAAGAAGGAATGAAAATGACATTTCATTCTAGACTGGCACTGCATGACGATAAGCTACATGCTCGTGGACCCAGCCGATTCAAACTGCAGCGAAACGCTCAAAAGCTCAGCCTTCCACATAAAACTTCAAATCGAATTCAATACTTGCATACTGCACAACGAGTACATATCCAAAAGCAGCACTCCGCTATCAAACAGTAAAGCGCCACCACACCTCAAGCTACAAACAGAACTAATATGAGATGAATTCCCTCGGCATTGAAACGAGGTACCCCAATAACCAAGCCACAATCTATCATAACGTGATTCTTATCACAGTTGAGTACCTTTCTCTTCAAATTGTACCGGTGCCAGTCAGACCGATAGTGAGATTTCTGCCCTGTCTCATCCTGAAACTCTACATTACAAGCGTTGCACGCCAGACCCGGCATCTCAGCGACCCGAAAACCTCCCAATTCGCAGCGACTTAAACCCTAACAATAACTCCCTGCCCTGCCCTGCGGTGAAAGTTCCAACGCTTCAAAAGTCGAGATTTCTCGACACCAAATTCCTCCTCCCGTCCTAAAACGCACAAACCCGTCGAGCCGCAACAAACGATCCTGGACCAAATCGAGCGAGCGGCCGAGGTTAAAAAACAACTCGAAGCCACAGACGTACGTGCTCCACCACGACTACGACCTACACCTACAGAGGCAATGTCGCTCTCGCTCTCGTGAAATGTGCCTGAAGGCGGACGCGACCACCTCTGGCAGGGGAGGAAGTCGGCCGCGAAACAGGTCAGACGTTGCTGCCTCTGCGCCTTCCTTTCTGCCGGATTCGAGACCTATCTTCCGGCCGGATTCACATTCCGTTATTTGGCAGTTCGGCCGCGAAACAGGTTGCTCCCTCTGCGCCTTCCTTTCTGCCGGATTCCAGACCTATCTTCTGGCCGCATTCACATTCCGTCATTTGGCAGTTCGATTGTTTTCTTTGTTTGGCTTTGCGGTGGAGGCGAGAGACGGATTTATTTCCAGCCTGGCCCCTTCGCTGGAGTCTCGGCAACAGCTTACCTCTTCGCTTGGCATTGTTTTTTTAAAATTCATTAAACAGAACCAATTGTTCAAATTCCACGAATACATATTTCTTTTCTACATGTGTTACTTCACGTATCTTCCCACGTGGCTCTTACTTTTTTAACGTTTATAAATCTGACTTGTAAATGTAGTTGAACAAAGAGTCCAACGTTGAGGTTATAATTAACATTATTACATTTCAAGCAAGTTTGTTGAACGAACATCATTGTACCCCTTCATTTTATCCTCCAACAGCCTGACGATGTCCTACCATCCTTTTTGCTATATAACTCAAATGAAAAATATCACTTCAATGAGCTTTGATTTGAACTTATGTTGGACATTTATACGTCGGACTCACAAAACATAGTCACCATAACTCAGAGCAGAAAATATACTCCTGGAACATCTTAAATTTTACTTTTTAAAGTGTTAATATAGTACAGTGACAGTTTATCCTAAACTCTAATTAGAACTAGACTGAACTAAATTACCATAATATATGGATCAATTTCTAACACACTTCAATATTTCTAAATAAATCATTTAAAATAAATATATATACTAAATTTTGAATTTAAGATATATTAAAATTAATGTCAAATAATGATGAGATTTTAGAAAATCTTCTAAATCTTTTATAAGATAAGAAAAAAACTAATAAAAACTAACAAATTTTCATTTACACTTTATTACTCTACACGTTTTTATAGGTCAACTATAGATTTCACATATTAATCTTAAAATTTAGAGTAAAAATTTGCTGAAAATCCTACCACAACCTATGATTAATCGTTATGTTATATTGATATTATCATTCATAATTACTGCTAATTATTGTCAGACTTGTTGCAGTTTATGAAAGAAATGGAAAAACTCGGATGCAGTGATACCAATAGCATATTTTATTTACAAACATCCACACTATAGATTTAGGCAGGTTACACACACACATACAACATATGAGAGAAGGGATATGTAGGTCATCAACTTTAAATGAAGTAATCAATATGCAATTTACATCAATGTGCAAAGCTGTGTTTCTTAGTGTGATTCTAATTTTATTACTACATTATTTTATGTGAACTTATTAGTGTAGATAGTAATGATGTTGGAACTACAGATGTGATAACAAAAACATGTTACAACTTGAACTATGGACTTTGATCACATTAATTGATTTGTTGTAAGTGACAATTATGATAGAGTTTAAGCATATCAGATCTAGAAAAGTTCACATCTTTCAACTTTTATCTTTATTTTTGAAAAATTTACCAACGTTTAAAAAAATCCTACCATGTTATAAAGATTGATAAAATACAAGACCTGCAAGTGTGATAATTATACTCTATCAGGATGTATTCAATTTTGAACATCATTGGATATATAGTTACCACATTATTCTATGTTTTGATCTCCATCCAATCTTATAAGCGGAAAAATTCAATTCAGCTTTGCAAAAGGAGTAATTTGAATGTGCAAGGGGATGAAAGATTACAAGTTTTTAGTTAGATGTTAAATCATGAGGTTGATCTTTAGATGATATATTTTGTTTTTAAGTGACTATGATTATTTATATGTAATGTCTTCAGTTATTGTTTGAAAAAAACAATAACTGTTCCTCCTCTTTGAATGGTAGGAAATCACAAACAGTTGATAATCCTTATATACGGAAAGATTAGCAATTCATAACATGCTTGGAGGAAGGCTACAGTTGTAATCTGAATTATATAATTTGAACTGTCCAAGAATGTTGTGACTTGGAAGAATTAGATACACAATCTCCCATCTACAGTTCTTGTTTCGCTCGTTCAAAGGATATGGCCATTTCCTAAAATATAAAACCTCAGTATTTTATCAGCTTGTAAAAATGTCATAGAAGATTGGAAGGTTTGGAGAGAAGATATTCATAAGGATGACCAATAAAAGCGGAACAGTTTAAAATAAAGCACGGAAAACTATGAATTACACATACGTAACTTATAGTAGAATATATCAAGATTCATGATAGGAAAAAGCTCAATACGTACTTCGATGAGCAAAACTTGAAAAGTATCAGAACTGCATCATTACATGTGCATTTTGAAACTGATCATGTCAAGAAAGAAAAAAGTTCGTACAAAACTGATCAAAGGACAGTGGTTACTCTACCACGGTCAAGTCTAACCATGATGAAAATTACGGGCCAATAAACTGACAGCTATACTCCTTCTGATTTAAACCAGACATCTTTGGCGCGAAGTGTCCGTCACACCTACCGTAGAAGTCATTCTCTTTACAAGTACTGCTGTAGGTGTCCACTCTGTCGCACCAGAACTTTGAGTTGTTCTACGGTTTCCGTGAGTCTCTGCGCAAGACGTTACGTAAGTTTGAGAATATTTATGATGCAAAAAAATCTGTACTGCTACGTTGCAGCCGTCTTTATCTTCAATGATCTGAACTTTCTTATACGTTCATATTCTTGATCTGAACTTGGGAGAAGGTGAGACTGTTGTGATCTCTTTACTGGCTGGAGTAGTGTCAGTTTTTTTAGTGTTCTTCCAAGAGTTATAGCCCTTTTTTCTTGAAGACAGCGTGGGTTTGTAACGGTATCAGTAGTCGTTTCTAGCAAACTAGAATGAGAGAATCAACGTAATGACATCGTCACAGCACCACGTTAAATTGCTCCCTCACAGAGCCTCAAAGGGTGGTATGAGAGATGCTTCCAGTAAGAGTTGATGTCAAATTCTTGACCACTTCTTCAGCTCAGCGATATTTGGGATGTGCCATGCTATGCGAGGCTACCGAAATTGTGTGATGGATCACTCAACTTCGCGTCGGACTGTTTTTCTTATGCAGGACATGGTACAGTTATAGGCAGATCTTCACTGATTCTCTGGATCTGAGAAGGATGGAGAAGTTCTGCATGCTGTTGTAGATTCTAGAGATCTAATGCATACAGTTGTCTGCTAGAACAGCTCAGTTTCGCAGGACTTCAAGAAGTGGAGTAGGTCCGCGCCTGGTCACTGTGTTCTTTGGGGACTGCAGTGGATCTTGTGTTCTGTGGCAGCAATTGGAGAAAGCATGGGGCTGGATGATTCTGCTGGTTTTGAAAGATTGAGGTCTCCGGTGCTAATTTATCTTGTACACAGAACACAATGGGACAAGTATTTCACTTATCGGAAGTGGAGGTGTGACGAGAGGACAGAGCTCATGGGTGCACATACTACACTTGAAGGAGCTCATATCGCAGTGGCTAAAGACTTCAAGTTACATGCTGAAGCAAGATTCCCCCGCTGGGTACCTGAACTGAGGAAAGAGCAGATGGAAAGGAAATTAGATTGGGATAGATTGGCCGCGGAGGAGCACTTCAACTACATCAATCAATTCATGGCTGAAAAGAAAATGGAAGACAAGCAAGTGGACGTGGGATGGACTTATCATGTCACGCAAACTACTCTTACCCCTCTAGAAAGGAAGAGGAAGCTGAACTCTGAGATGACGGGAGATGAAGAGATTGTAGACGAGGAAGCTGTGAGATCGAAAGAAAAGGTTTTCCTTCTTGAAGACAGCAGAAGCAGATCCCTCAGGGAAAACAGCTGTCTGTCTTGTAAAACAAGTTGCAAGAGAATCATGGAAGAAGGTCCTATGCTTTCGACTGAAAGACGAAGCTTGGGCTTCTACTGTCAAGAGTAGATCTGCCATTGTTGTGTACATTTACTTTTACAGCTCACTGTACAGAAATGAAGATAGAGAACTTATAATTTTGTAGACCATGTTTAAGATCCTACTTTTCTATTATCTGTAGAGAAGCAATATGGATTATATACTGTCAATTCAGCGAGGCAAACCTTCACTGTTTAGATCTGAGAGAAGGATAAAAGATTCTGGTCAAGCGTCATCTGAAGGCTTCTATGAAAAGTGTACATCTCTAGGACCGGATTGAAGAAAGCGTAGTTGTGTCTGTCCACAATCAGAGATGCTCTTCTCTACACATCGGAATGCGAAATGTTCTCTTGTTTGGGATAAAAATACATGATATACATTCGAGTACAGCAGCAGAGAACCATCTTCAAGAACGGCGAGTTATCACACTTGCGAAATTACAAGTACCATCTGAATTTTGGGATCGCAATACTTGTCTTCAGACCTTTTCAGACATAGCTTGCTTGGTCGGATTGTAGCCAGGATTTCTTCTTGAATCTCAATGCACACTATGGACTTATTTTTTTTCTTTTTCTTCACATGAAATTGTAACGGAGGACACCAATCCGCATCACCGTAAGATTCTTTATCTTTCAACTGTTGGGATACTGATGTTTTCATGAACAACAAGACCAACGTTTCAGAGATTGAGAATTCTTATACCATTGTGATCAGTTGGTATGATCTTGCAGGAAGAACGGTGATATTTGATTGGCGTCAGAAAATAAACAGGTGGTCACACAGAATAATTCGCTCTATACGGTACGCAATTTCACCGATTTCGATTAACGTCGCATGGAACTCTGTTCTTCAGTAGTAAATGAGTTGTAACATATAGTATACTATAGTAGAGTTTCTTAAGCATGAACGTGTACTATGGATCGAACTGTGGTCGTGATCTAGAGACTGGGCAACGAAAACTATGATTGTTAAGAAAGCTGAGTTGCTACGAAAGTGTGGAATTAATTGCTCTTAAGGAGGATAATATCCAGTTTGTATGCTACAGATTGATCACCCAGCGTTCAGACATCTTGAGGTGCAATTTATTGGAATTTACGGACAACCGTCGATAAAAGAGATGAACTGCATACTAGTTTAACATCCTCTGGACATTCACCGTGGGGCCATTATGATTATTTCCAAAGCCACAGAGGGTACCAGGACGAATTCATGTTTGAACCTGCTTTTCGTTATGGAAGAACTTGAGCAAAATAAGACTACTGTACTAACTGATCCATCGAGATTGTGTGGTGAGTGGAAGTGGGTCCGGAGTCTTGGTATACCTTTCTGAATTTAATGGTAAAAGGCTGCACTTCTGTGTGTGGTCAAAGTTCTAGTAGGTTGTAACGTGTATACTGTTCATAACAGGTACAAATTCATGGACAGCTCACATGTAGTCTTAGGGTGGGGGTGTTGATTTCCAGTATATAAACGGAACGCCTGTACTGAAAGAGGCCATGGTCATTGCTTTATCAAAAAGAAGATAACCAACGACGAAAAAAACTAGCGAAACAAAACATTCCAAGGAGAACAAGTGACGTGTGTCCGCACATAACTTAAGCTCACGTCCAAAAGCCAGATTCTCGGTGATCCATATTGTCAGTTGATTGAGTATGTTCTTTGAGTGGGTGGGAGTTCTTTTCGCAACGTGCAAAAAGGACTCTCCGCAAGACCCCTGATCAATCAGATTTAACAACCTTATGCAGAATCAAGCATGAATTGTGCAAAATATAAGTCAGATAAATAACACTTCGACTTAAAGGTCGACATTACAGAAGAAAGTGCGCAAAGACAATCATGTAAGAAGAGAAATAGAGAGCCAAACAAATCACTATCACCATACGCTTCCGTAGAATTCTCTATAGTCGAACAATTCGTCGATGAAACTAAATTTAAAAATATGTGTACAAAGAGCTTTCCCTGCAGAAAACACTGCAAGAGCACATAATTGTCGGCAAGTTTCATAAAAGAATCAGAGTGAATATGTGTGAAACCCGATTGGTTGAAACCCTACGTGTGCTAGGGTTTTGACTTTTTAGCCAAAAGCGTAGGAAGGATAGACTCCTCAGCAGTAACAGAGAAGTGACTTCTAATCTCCGAATTTTTAATGTGGCTCACTACTGTGATGGACCGAAGGGTGCAACCTTCAGGTTCTTTGAAACTATGAAGAAGACCTTCTCCGGCTCATTGTGTCAATTCAACATATACAAGCTGCCTCAGTTACCTTCAAAAGCAGCAAAGTCCATGGTTTTGAACATGAGCAGACATGAGGACCAGGTCTGCACTGACAAGTTGGTTGATAGATCTGACAAGCAGCTCAGCCCAAGTTGATACGCATCTCACAGGCCTTAGCTCGTACCCCTTCCCCCCTACAGATCTACTCAACCGATCTTAACTTTACAGGTTCTTGTCTAGCTCTTACGTGGTTCTTACACTAGCGGTGGCGTCCACAGTGTTAACAGAAGCTTCTTCTAAACTTCGCCTCTTGTCGACCTCGTTGTAGGCTTCAATTCTGTCTCCTTCTTGCCACTCGGCGAATCCAGTGACACCAACTCCACATTCCAATCCAGCGGCTACCTGTTCCAGCAAAATGAGATACGATGGGAACGTTACAATGGGAACGTATATATTCTCATGGGTCCACCTCAACGAAATTTAAAGCTAAGTGTCTTTCCATACACTTTTTTAATTCTATACTTCACGAGTATGTAGGAAAATAATTACCTCCTTCGCCAGCTCCTTCACCCTCTTCAATGAGTCCAGCGTTCCAGTGTATACTGCATTATTCCCCCTCATAACACGCACACCACATCCCTTGACTAATTTCCCCTCAGTGACCATACAACCGGCAACACGACCACTTCCGCTTCCGAAAACTGCCCTAACATCGGCTTGTCCGATTGGGATTTGTTCCTGAAAGAGTATTGAAACCATTATAGTCCAGTGCTGCATTTCAAGAAAAAGCGAAGGATACGAAAAGCTGGGTATAAAACATGTGTATCACATCAAACACTCAGTAAATCCCGATTGACAAAAAACAAGGTGGTGGTCATCCATACCGTGACAACTTCCAATAAACCCTCCATGGCTTTTCGCATGTCATCCAAAAGCTCATATATGACATTGTACTCGCGTATTTCCACGCCTTCCTTTTCTGCCATGGATTGTATGGCGGATGGAACGCCGACATTGAATGCAATAACTATAGCCTGACTGGCTATCGCAAGATCAACATCGCTGGCACTAACTTCTCCTGCTGATTGCAATAAGAAACGAAGCCCCACTGTATCTTGAGGAAGCTCTTGCAATGCCTCCCTGATTGCCTCGACAGATCCCTGTGTGAACAAATGAAATTAGTAAACTGTCAAGTAACCTTCGACACTGGAAAACGACACGTCAAAACCCTCGACGGCGACGGTTCTGATACCTTCCAGATCGATGAGTCCAAATCACAAAATAAATATGCAGACTTCATATGCATAACGAAAGGAATAGTCACGGTAAAATGAGTTGCCTTGAAATATAACTTCAAGCGATTCAAATCCAGTTGCACACAAGATTGAAGGAAAATTTTACCTGGACATCGACCTTCAAGATGATATTCAGCTGGTGATGTTCGGTTCCAGATTCTTGCCCTGCTGCCACTGCATTGGCGAGTGAGGCAAGAGTAACTTTGCCTTCGCCAGCTCGATCTGCCAGACGTTGTTCCCTGATCGCGATGGCTCGTTCAGCGGCTCTGTCTCTTGCCGCATCAATAGAGTCACAGATTTCAAACTCATCTCCAGCTACGGGTACATTGTTTAATCCAATCACCTGCAAGACATGTCGGCGTCTCATGAGAACATAACGGTGTCTGTTCTACAGTTCTAAAAAAGATCCTGTTAGTGCTCATTTTTCGAAACCCACAAAACCTTTCTCAATTGCTAGCAGATTCTTCGAGAAGTTGGACATAAGGGAGAATGCATTACTGTTTGAGAACTATTGAATGATAAAAGATACTTCTCAATTGTTTGACACCGAATGAATTATGGTTCAACCCCCTGGTTTATTCCCGCTCGAAAATCTGTACGAGAAGATTCGTACCTGGACAGCAGTCGATGGTCCAGCTTCTTCAACTCGTGCACCGGTGTCATCCAGAAGGGCTCGAACCTGTAGAACACAACCGGTGAGACCAATTCTTCGAACATCATACAGACATCTAAACAGAGTCTAGTGGTAGTAAACCTTGAACTTCTCAACAAAACTGACCTTCCCGTATGATTCGCCACATAGAACAACGTCGCCCTTCCGCAGTGTACCGTTTTGAATAAGAAGAGTTGCAAGGGTTCCACGTGTCTTGTCAAGGCAAGCCTCGATGACCGTACCCTTCGCACTGCGATCAGGATTGGCACGGAGATCTGCGATCTGCAACCGTATGATCTGATATCAGGACGGGTGTAGAAAGCTAATGTCTAATGGGCTGATGTTACAGCTCATCATATGCTTCAACGGAGAGCGAGGGAGGAGGCATTCTTAGACAGTGGCGTGCTCCCTAACCATGGTACCATAGGCTACACTCCGTATATCAACCAAATCTAAGCTTTCAAGAGTCTTAATGCTTACCTCAGCTAGTAACATGATAGTTTCAAGCAGGGAGTCCACGTTTTGCCCGGTCTTGGCAGAGACCTGGGGTAAGGAGTATCAAAGAGATGAGTTTCGAATGATTGAGGTAATCATCAAACGTTACGTAGTGGTTGATACATACGATTGTTGTAATAGAAATAAGTTCTAAAAGACGAGCAACTTAGACGAATGAACTCGAGGTAGGGACTTCTTGTGGTTTCACAAGGGGGATCCCACACAACGAGTACCTGGACTGCTGGCACATCCCCTCCCCAATCTTCGATCATCAAGTTATTTGATGCTAACTCCTGCATCACACGCTCCGCGTTTGCTCCATCTTTGTCGATCTGTCACATAGATTGAAGATTGAAAGGCATCAGATAACCTTCCGCAAAGAAGAAGGCAATAAGGCAGGACAATAAGGCAATAAGGCAATAAGGAAAACGGTGAATCTTAAATGACGGCAAAGGACAAGCTAAATTAATCACCTTGTTGATAGCAACAACGATCGGTACGTTGGCAGCCTTAGCATGGGCTATGGCCTCTAGAGTTTGAGGTCGGACTCCGTCGTCTGCTGCTACGACGATCACAGCAATATCTGTGACACGGGCTCCTCGAGCACGCATGGCACTGAAAGCCTGTAATTGTCCCCAAAAAACAAGTCAGATCTTTACTTCGCCCCTTTTTTTCTCGGTACAGTGGCAGAACGCGAGTTGAGCCACCAGGAGTTATTTCAGTTGATTGTTCTTGAGATAGAGTTGCAAGTGCCACATGGCTCCAAGAAGATGTCTACCTGATGTCCTGGTGTGTCCAGGAAAACACAGGCTTGCTTCTCTTCGCCCACCGGTACCAACACTCTGTATGCACCAATTCCTTGGGTGATACCTCCCGCTTCCCCAGCAGCGACCTGATGACCACACAGAGTCTCAGACTATGAAAATAGATGGACTGCTTCGGTCAAGACAGACACACAATTCTAGGAATCAAGTGAGTGGAGGTCATGATTCTCATTGTGTGCTCTAAGTAACACAGCCACACCAAACATGGCTTTACAAATGAGAGACCAACACTCGTAAAACGGGTTTCACAGATAAATTTGTGGGCGTTGACACAGCTATCATGGACGCAGAAATGTCGCTTCAGAACTAACAGATTATGACTAACAGGCAACGACCTAACTCTGCGTGTAAGGACACAACTGTAATTCGATAAGATGTAGAAAGTATTGTGAAGTTAAAAATAATATCTCACCTTTGACTTCCTGATATGGTCTAGAAGAGACGTCTGAAATGGGGAGCAAACAAAACGTAATGTTAGCGATGTGAGAAAATGCTTCCTTCGGTACTTCCTGAATACAAGATCTGATGAACTTCGTGAGAGGGCAAGCGCGAATAAAAGTTGAAACCCCAAGAAACAGCCTTTTCGGTAGGATAAGTACCCATCAGAAATGTTCAATTGTTTCCAAAACCTAGTCAGAGGGAAGAGAGAAGGTGCTCTATATTCCGTACGCAAACGTTACATCCATTTAGCAAGGTTCAACTGAGATGCTTCACAAGAGACGAAGAGAGTGACAACTAGCGTATAATCCTCCTCTGGCGCTAGTCGTTGGAATGGACACTTGCTACAAAGCTGAGAAGAGTTTACCTTGCCGTGATCCACATGTCCCATGATCGTAACAACAGGTGGCCGAATTTCCAAAAAGTCTAAGTCTTCCTCGTCCAGAAATTCGGTTAACTTCTTCGCCATGTCTTCCACTTTCAGTGTTCCGGCTTCTACAACTTCCACCTCGAACTCTTTACACACCAGTCGGACAGCTTCCTCGTCTAGAGTTTGGTTGACCATGGTCGCTATGCCTTTCATAAACAGCGTCTTCACGACCTCGCCATCATTTATGGCGAGCTTGGCTGCCAAATCCTGTACAGACATACCCTCCTTTCCGACTTCGAGAATCTCTACCTTCACGGGTGCGGCAGCTCTTGCCAATTCAGCTTTAGCTGCCTTCCTACTTGCTTTCGTGAACTTCCGACCTCTTCGACCTGAGCCGACTCCGGGAATTGCAATGTCAAGGTCACCAGTTGCAGCATCTGCATCTTTGCTCTTGGAAACCATTCTTCGTCTGGATCCATCGGAGACACCAGCTGCAGCTTTCTTTCTCCAATCCTCCTTACCTTTGATAGGAGCAGCTTTCGTGAATTTGGGCGGGGCAGTGGTGGATGCAGGAGCGGCTGAAGAAGAGGGTCTAGATGTCCTGGGTCCGGCACCGACGTCCCTCAGTATTGGACCCTTCCTCGCCGGCTTGTCATCAGTTGTAGAGGCACCTGCTGCAGGCTTCGGTCGGACGGTTGTAGTCCTGGGCTGTGCTCGGAAGTTAGCATCGGGGCGAAATGACTGAATCATGTCCCTTCCAGCTCCGGAATTTCTACTGGTCTCTTGCCCAGCTTCTGGAGCCGGAGCTGCAGCTGGTGTCTGTCCGGGTCGCCATGCTTGTGGAGAAGTTGCTTGTGGGGTAGTTCTGGAAGGAACCCTCGGTCGGTTTGAGGGAGTAAATGCAGGCTTCCGAGCTTCGGCGGGGGCATCTTTCTCCATATCCTCCACCTTTTTCAGAATCTGTCCTAGAGATTGAACTGAGTTGCCTGGCTCAGATTTCTCGGATGGCCTGTAGGGAGCCTTGTACGAAGAGTCTGCGTTAGGTCCATCAGAAGTATCCCTGTCCGCATCAGAGCCTTTTAGAGTGAGACGGTTGGCGCTGGTACCTTCAGAATCGCCATTAATTCTACCAGATTGGGCAGGTGAGGAGGGTGCAGAGTTCCGGAGTTTGAGCTTCAATGGAGGTCTAGGATTTGGCTTCAGGGCGGGCACACTGTTCTCATCGTTAGTAGTCGGCTTTACAGGTGGGCGCATTGTGAACACTGGCTTGTTCGATAGAGGAGGAACCACTTCGGCTTCATCTTCTTCAAGTAATGACCTCACGGTCACGTCCTCGGTCGAAGTGGCAGCAGTTGCCACGCATTTAGGGACCCCCTTCCTACAGGTTCTCCTAGAAATTGCTTTGCCAAGCAAGCTTCTCCTTCCTACACCTCGGAATGAGATCCGCATTCGTGAGTCAAAATGGGCATTCAGCAGGGACATTCTAATTAAGGGTTGGACATTTCCTTGAGCTGGTGACAATAAATGGACACATTCGCATCCCGTGCACAAAACGCTAACATGTTCAGTGCCCCTTCTCCTCTGGAAATTCACACCCGACCCCAAACTCGCACCGCTCTGCGCATACACTGTCGGCAAAAATCGTGAAGTCGATACGCAGTGAGCTGAATTCACTCCAGCTGTCACTGAAAGCGCGGCCATAGCTACGGAGAGTATGACGCCTTCAGTTCAAATTCATAAAAACGCTCCCAAAATTGTCCAGGCCGGCGTCTCCTCCACCTAGCAAACCGATGTTCCCATGTTCCAACAGAACGAAGTCGGGCAGCTGCACATTCACGAGAAATGCGACAATGCCAGAGAGTGAGACCAACGCAGAAACCCTTAAAACTGTCACAAAATTCTCCACATGCCATTCTTGCCTCCCTCCCCTCCCGGCCATGCCATGACGAGACACATTCAAGCGAAACACCACTCCCCGGACCCCGCAACCGGAAAACAAAACGACATCATCAGTCCAGCGAGAACTCAAACGATTCCCCACAGCAACGACATGAAATCCAACAAACGTACGAGGAGGAAGATGGGGCTCCTCTCAGAACCAAAAGCGGAGCAGAGACCGACGCCCTGTACAGAAGCGGCAGCGGAACACGGAGACGGGAAGAGGAGGAGATGAGAGAAGATCACTATACCTTCTTGGTCGCTGCTCGGCCTTCGGATTCTGATTCCGCAGAAAGGGACTCCCGTCACCAGAGCTCACGGGAAATCAAGAGCTCGTGTTTGAGGGACGAGCCAAATCAGTCCGGGAAACCGAGCCCTCCGCCAGCCACGGTTCCCACGGATATGGTGCCAAGCTAAGAATGTCCCCGCCCCATGCACATCACCCATGGCCATGCCCATCCTCATCATCATCATCACCACAGACAGAGGACCGCAAAAGGATCTTTCCAGTAACGCAGATCCGAGAGCGAGAGCGAGAGCGGGTCCGCCCCGTTAGCGATCCCGGCGATCGGACGGTCCGGCGGAGGCCACGAGAGCGGCGCAGTCGCGACGGGCGCGTCCACCACCTGGCTCACAACGGGCCACGCCGCAGCGGCTTGTGGCATTCGTGGACCGGAATCGAGATTTTTGTTTCCCGGCGAGTGAAAGAATTATCGGGCTCCCGATGGCCTCCCCGCGGGGGCGAATGAACGAACGAAATCCCATGTACAGGCCTTGGATGGTGGTCACCCGTTCATTGGCCGACCGAGGATTCTGTTGATGTGGTGCGTGTGATCATCTCCCGCTGTCGTCTCGCCAAACCTTCCTTCTTCTGGCGGACACCGCCCTCGCTGCTGAACCACGGCGGCCGCCCAACCGTGTTGCTCTCGGCTCGAACCTGGTCGACTTCCTTCTCTTGACGGCGTCCCTCTCCTCACTCCGGTGGTGGGGGCTGGATGTGGATAAAGATTCGAAACTTGTAGGGTCATATTTTGACGCTTCGTTGTCGTCGTGCCTCTAATTTGGATATCTGCTACTGTGGTTGTCAAATGCTGACAGTGCGTAAATTTCTGTGTCTTGCCGCTCGTTGAAGACGCGAGGTGTTGACTGGACGTGACCTTTATCACCGACTTTGCTAAATTGGGAGGCGATAACTTTCGTCCCAAAACCGATGATTGGGTTTCCTACTTTCATGTGAGCAAGTTGTGTCTCCTGTCTGTATGTTAAACCTTTGCTACAATAAACTAATGAAGTTGTGTAGAAAGTTTTCAGTTTTAATAATTAAAGATACAGCGTTCTCATTACTTTAATTTTTCTCTCCGATCAACTGGTGAGATTACGTAATTACTGATCAAAACCATCAACTTTCAAATATATAGAAAAGAGTATCAATCAAAAAACAAGAATAATAAATAATTTTTCATGTCTTTAAATATAAAGACATGAAAAATAAGTTTGATTAATTTCATTGAGCTAGATATTTTGCAAGTTGTTTGAGTTTTGGTAATTTTACCAAAATTGATCATGAAAATCCATCAAACAAGCTTTATTCCATCTCATAATCATGAACACCTTCATCTTCTAGCATTTATATATTTCTGATTTTATCATTTCGTTTGAATGTTTCACCAACCCACATAATGTTTATCATAGGAAGAAGTGATACTCTCTCAAATCATCACAATTTTGCTGTCAAATTTCATCCAAACTTCACACAAAAATCACATTGTGCCCATGAACCGTTTTCTTTTATTATTTATGAATTGTATCAATAAAAAAAATTTCACACATGTTTTTCACAAGCATGCATATTGAACAGAAAGGCATTAAAACAATCAACATCCAAAAAAAAGTGCAAAACCTATTTTTTGGATATAAATATATTTCAAGTATGGTTTCTAAAAAATATTTATTAATCATAAAAATTGAATTAAAAAATCTGGATAATTTTTCATACATGTATAAATTTTTTGCTTTTGTTTTGTGCCAAATTTTGTCTAAATCAATTGAAAAATCAATAGATTTTTTGAAGAATAATATATATTATTCAAATAGTATATTGTTTATGATGCGTAGGAGCGGAGCCAAGATTTTTCTGGAGGAGTTAGCCATGGAGCTAGCGCCGCACGTGGACATTTTTTTGGTTAACTTTTTTACAAAATTATGTTTGACCAAAAATTCTTGTCACACATGATAGAGAATTCAAATAAGTAAATCCATATGTGAAAATAATAATAATTTGTGTATTAATCCAACTGAAAACGTCAATAGCTCAACGCTTGAAATATCTCAATGATAAGATCGATGGTTATTCCTTGTGCTAATTCTCTTTCAACAAACAAACTGGTAGGGTTAGCAAGGTATACGTCGTCCATTTTGTTACTCAATCACATTTTGACAATCTTTAGTACTAAGAACAAACATTCTATTGCCGCGATGCTGACAAATAGAATTAAAACCAAACTCATTAATGAGAATACAAGATGCTATGTTATGGACTTTTTAAGTTCAAACATCTTGATAGCTAAAGCAAAGAGAGATCAAATTCAAGAAAAAGTTTCATTTGAACTCAACTTTATGCAGAATTGAAGAATTTGTTGTTTAAACATCACCAAACCATATTGTTTAAAGTCATGTGGATACATACGCCCAACTCAACTAGATTTGGGTCATTTCCATGAGTGAGTAGATGGTATGGGCATAGATATACCATCCATTTCAACAATACAAACGAACATTCAACAAAATGTTTATCAAGTTCACTTAACTATGAATTGATGATGTTGAATAATATCTCCACACGATAATAATGATCATAAGTTATGTTGTGATCATTGCAACAAGGGCGTTTTGTAAGTTGTAACTTGATTCCATATCAGGGCAATGATATTTTTTTGCATATAAAAAGATTAAATCGCTCAATGCACCGTCTTCCATTCTTCTTCCGATCTCATATCATACAATTAATATTTTTGTAACAACAATAAGGTCCATAGCGTTGAGTATGTCTTGGTCTTTACGTTGTAATGCTTCTGAAAGAACAACAGACTTGCTTAAAATTGTCTTCATAATGTGTATCATTATGAGAAAGTCAAAGCTGCATGTCACCTTTGACAATCTTGACGCTTCCGTTTACGAATCTGTTACAATTGCATTTTACATAATAATTACAAGAACTTTGACAACTGAAATATACTAATCAAACACACGACAAATAGAAATAAAATGAGTTTTCCATCTCTCTTGGCCGCTAGAGTGATTTTTTCTGATTTAATTTGCAATTTATTATGGTTTTTTTGCCAAAAATTGTCTCACGCATATTAGTTGACTACAATTTCCAAAGTTAATATGCACTTTTACAAAAAACATTCATCATGACACATAGTGTGTAAATTTTGATATGATTTTAGATGTTGACATCAAAGCAAATTGAATTCGGTGTGTGAAACAATGCACATAGTATGCTGAAGGTAATTCTCTCTCTTCTTTCACACGTTGAAACTTCCATGCATATAAAATACTTCATCGTATCCTTGTCTTCTTACAGGAGATAGTGAAAGATCATTTCTGCTCAAAGTGACAACAATGACAACCTTCAACGATTTTGAACGTGTATTGTCAATAGATCTCACCAAGATAGTATAACCTTTTGCTATTTTTCGTAAAATGATGAAAGGTAAGGGTAAAATGTAAAGGTTGGGCTAAAGGTAAGATAACAGTTAAAGTAAAAATAAAGTTGAATGGATTACTTGGTGATTATCAATTACACCACTAAAATGACCTTTGCTCATTGCAAAAGTCCGCCATGGAGTTTGTGGCGCGGTTGTGGAATCCGCAACGGACTTTGAAGTTCCAACTCAGTTCCAAGTTCTAATTTTCTAAAGTTCTCCAAATGAGTCAGAGTCACACTCATCAAGCATCAAGCTTCTCCTCAAGCTGTTTGAGGAGGAGCAGGGCGGCTGGAACGAGTAGATTATCGAAGATGTTGTCATTGTCATGTTTCACTTCCAAAATTTTGACTAAAATCACATTTGTTTTCTGACTTATTCTGAAGCGGTACAATAATTTAAAAAATCTTCATAGAGAATGTGTATCGGGTAAATTACCATTAGGTAAAGGTATAGGTAAAAATAGATGTAGGTGGTGCAAATAAGGTAAAGGTAAAGATCCATGCATTACCCATAACCTATTACTCTACCTTGCTTAGGCCTAATCAGCAACATGAATCATATCCGGAAACCTCTCCTAAATTATTCTAGAACTGTCGACAAACCGTAGAACTAAAGAGATATACTCCTTCGTCTATTCATCTCGAGCCTCATCAATTAGCACATAGAAAAAGCTATCATCGATCTGCTTCCCAATATGTTTCCGGACACATGAAGTCATGGCTCTTGGTATGTACTTCTGGATGTCTAGAGATGTCATTGTCACATTCTTTGGTACACACAACTTCTGATATTGCCGCCAGTACGTCAAGTACTTAACTTGAACACAGCGTTGCAAAGGAAATTGTGTATTGTTTTTCTTGTTATTCATTTGCGCATGGTACGCAAGCTTCAAAGCAATTTGTCAATGAAGTTGTTACAAGTTGGAACAAAATTATTGGAAAATACAGTAAACATGCAAAACCTATCGCTAAACACACTTCATCTCACTCTTTGCACTTCATAGCTTGGAAGTTATTACCAAACCAACATTTCTTGATTGAGGTCACACTAAATCGTCAATATGAAAAACAAAAAATAATTCACAGACTTCGTATGATAACATATATCGAGATAATGCAATTTTTGACACATCAAGGTATTGCTTTTTGCAATCATGACAAGTCTAGATATTCATTTAATCGTGGAAATTTTCTTGAAATACTTACTCTTCTCAATCAAACAGACAAACACAATTATCATTGTGTTTGTCTCAATTGTGTCTCAATTATTATCATCGGCCCAACCGTTTTGCCGCCGGGTGCTACCAACAACGGCCGCACAACCACGATGTCCCTTGCAAGTGCCAGGTGACGTCGCGCCCAACCTCTTGCATGCAGTTCACGGCTCGACAAATTGCACAACGCAAGGCATAAAAACTCAATTGCACACATTTTACCTTCCCCTTGTTTCCACTTTTCACATGAAGGTGCAGGTGTCCTCGATTTTGTGCATCAATGAACAACATCATCGCCCAGTGATTCACTCAGATGAAAGCAAGGACAACCTTGCACCCTCATCCTCGACGTACTGGCGGCAATATCAACGTAGAAAGTATATTTCAACATTTGTGGTTGAAATGATCACTTAGATATGTAAGACTTTTAAATTCTAAACCTCTTAGAGCTTAGGTGAGAGGAAATGATTGGTCTCAAATTTGGATAGCGTTCCAATGCAACCACAAACATATCTTCGATACACTGCTTGGATGCAAGAAATGTTAACATCACACTGAAAAACTCAACTTCTTGTACCACAAAACAATAAAAAAAAAAGATCAAATTGCCATACTTCTCAAACCATGAAACAATCAAAAGCAGAAAAATGAAACGTTAGAATTCTCCAAGCATAAAATAATCAAACACACAAATGATGTTTTTCTCGTCCGTCTAATCTTACCTCTTTGTTTTCCTTTATCTCATGCAAGCGACCGCAAAGACATAAAGGGAGTGGAAATGTTATTTGTGGTTGAAGAGATTTAGTTTCAAACAAAACTTGCTGAATAATCATAATCATAATAAAGTTTATATGAATAGTAGAATTTTATCACCATTATCACTATCGAGCCTGTTTAACGTGAATGATAATCCATAACGGATATTGAAAAAAATCATTAACGTGGATGTGTCATCATTCCGCATGATATCTTTCTACATTATCATGAAGAATGGAAATTATTTACGGGAGTTGCTAGTTATCCCTCACATGGCGATTATTAGCTCTCACCTAAGTATACGAACTCAAATCATTAGGCGAATGAGGCTACAGGGTCCGTGTGGAAAAAGGTGAACTTCGCGATTACACTTCTTTCTAATGAACTTCAAAGATGCCATGGTGTCACCTGCCATGTAAGAAGTAGACTGCAACCTCTGCATCCTAAAAGTCACGTTAAGATTACTGGCAGTGAAAACAAGCTCGTGGATGCGAACAAGAGAATATGTACAAGTGGCAGATTAGACGTTGTTGCTCAATGCAAATGCGTCGAATAATTCAATAACTGCACTAACCCTCTCGCTAGACTGCACTACACATGCTTTTTGTCATAGTTTGATGGAATAACTCATTGAGATATAAATACTGTGGCTATAGCCGGATTTTTGAAACAATCAAGAGTATAAGCAATATGTTGATTTTTTGTGCATGATCCCGTTTGTAGTGTTTAAGCTATGATGTGATTGTTAGTTTACGATAGAACGTTCCAATAGTACAATTTTAGTAGATTTTCATGAGCTTGTTTGGTCAACATGCTAGTACGTTGATAGTCTCGTAGTGATTCGCATTTAACACCAACTTATCATAACACCACTTGTGACTTCACCAAAAATTTGTACCCACTAGTACGTTTTTGTAATACCTTCAAACCTTGACGTGGTTTTAAGATCGCGGAATTAACAGTCAACTTCTTACGTGGCAGGTGACACCATAACATCTTTGGAGTCCATTAGATTGAAGTGTAGTCGCAAAGTTCACATTTTCTCACACGGACCATTTAGTCTCATTCGCCCAATGACTTAAGTGTATGTACTATGATGATGGCTAATTAGCCCCATGTGAGGTATAACTAGCCGCTCCGTTGTTTATTCTATTTTTTTGTTTCAGAATCAAGATTTGCAAATTAAAGGAGTGAAAAGTTCGAGCAGATGATGAGAAAAATTAATTGCGAAGCTTGCATTCAAGGTGATGAGTTGTGAATGCCAAGGATTGGTTGTTTTTCAATCGTCGTGGCTTGAAGAGAAGATACTTTGCGATGACACTGTCTGCGCAATCGTAAAGTCCGTGTGCTTTTTCAATCCCGTATTTTAAGGATTTGGGTTTGTTTGGGGGAAGGGGCGTGTCCCCCTTGCCCTAAATAATAAAAATTGGTTGGTAAATTATAAATTGGTTAATAAAAATTATATTTTCAATAAGTTATTTTATTTAAAGACTTCATTATGTGTTTTTGAAAGATCAAAGTTAAATTGTATAAATATGAAGATCACAAACCAAAAATTTCAAGTAAAAATGAATTAGTAATTATCATGCAAAATAAAAGATAAATCAGAATTGTGTATAAATAAATAAATAAATATATTGAATATCTTAAATTTTGCATAAGGTATTCATAATTCATCCTTTCTCATAAAATATATGATTTATTTTTTTTATAAAAATCATTAAAATACAAAAAATTGCATGAATATAAGGAGTAAAAGAAATAAAATGTATTCATAAATTCAAATGATATCAGTGTATCATACAAAGTTGACTTTGTATACATGATCTACAACCAAGGATAAGTATTTTTAGCCTTAATGAAATAGTGATATTAGCATGTTATTTAAACTTAGTTGTTTCCAAGCAAAATTATCATAGAATATATTGCAAGAAAATAGTTTTCATATGTGACATTCGACAACTACATCAGAGCTTGATAATCAAGGAGTTGGGTTGTAAATCAAATCCCAATGTTAATGTATCTAAAGAGTATCTTTTACAACAAAAAAGTTTCACCTCCACAACGTGGTACTTTATTTGTCAATCTTACTGAACTTAACTTGATGTACTTACTTACTTACTTAACCGCCATTAAGTAAGATCATCAAATAATTCTTGAGGTCTAGACATGCAATAATAACTTACATGAATTTTGACGCAATTTTATTTTGTTGAAAATATAATTGTGTAAGGATTACTTGAAAGAAAATATGATTGATAGGCTAGTGAAATGAACAGACATTGTAAAACTTTCAACAACTATTGTAGTATCGATATAGCATGAATGAAGATATAAAGAGATGATTGGAGCTTTAAATTACATCACAATTGGCAAGTTTATATCTAGCTCTTTTCATTCTTTAACAACGGTTGGTTGGATAACATGAAGAACATGCAACTATTGATAAGACAACAATTTTTAATACATAAAACCTCTTATGACTCACTTTTACTCTTTGTGGAAGATATCCAGGACTTACAACCTTGAATGAAATCAAGGGTTGTGATTACTAGATTATAACCCTTGATATTTTTCAAGAGGGATTAGAAATCTTATAGTGAACATTGAACTTGGTTATATTTTAAAAACGTATCCACAAATGTGATAAACTTTCAAGTAGTTGATTAATATACATGTCTCAAAAGTTATGTCTTCATGGTATATTATTTTCTTGTATATGAGGATCAAGTGCTAGTTGGGCACTTGTACATTCAATGCACATTGGTGTACAATTTATAGTTTTGGTTTTAGAAGGATTATGAAGGTAGTGAACTGGATGTAGTTGTGAGTGAATGATATTATGTGCAGTTGTAGTGATATCCATGACAGAGTATTCTGTCAAGCTATTCTGGCTGAGATGCTTGACCATCGGATTGTACTTTTCTCGTTTGAAATTCAGGGCGGATAGAATTACTTCAATGTGTGTACATAGGCTATATGCAAGTCCAATAAGAATGCTTTTCAAGAAGAAATTTTTACATCAACATTATCCGACCGCCAGAACCTGTTTAAAAAAACCTCTTAATCATTATGGCTCAGCATCTAAAAATTCAGCAAAATCCAGAAGAGAATTTCGTGGTCAAAGATGAAATGTACATCCATCCAAATCATAAATCCAAAATCCAAATCATAACACTGTAGAATTTTTATCGATGGAGGCGATGTGGACAGAAGTCCAACTATGTACTAGGGTTTTTAGCAAATTAATCGGAAAGCAGGCGTAGAACAAAAGACAGGGGATGGTGGAATCAAAGTGCGATATTCCAAAATCATATTCAAGACCAGGGGTGCCTAATTTCTGCATATTTCTCCAATTTCTTATGATCATAATCCTGTTACTGCTCAGCTTCAGCTGCAGCATTGCTGATTCTGGAGGGGAAGCCTATCAGATGTTGACTCTGCATCTGCTGAACAGCTTCCGCAATGCCAGAATTACAAGATCCCTGCTAAATCGGAGGCACATCGGCTGAACAAAAACATCTGCATGCATGAAGCAGTGATTCAGGACCGTCTTAGACGATGGAAGGGCAATCGCCGCACTCTTCTGCAGCTCTACGTGTTTCCTTGTAAACCATTGAATTTTTCGCTAGTTCAACAATTGCATAAATGGCCCGGAAGAAAAGGAACATGGCTGAATTGAAGAAGGTAACGACCAAGAACGCAGCAAGCAGGAGCTGATCCTTATTTTGAGGGCTTTGGAACACGGCTCCAGCAGACGGACCACTGACGCTGGTTGAGACGAAAAAGTAAAGTGACGGTCAAATGTTTTATCTGAATCAGAAGAAAACTCTGGAGCAGGGCTCAAAATCGGGAGAAAACAGAGCAAAAAGCGGAAGAATCCCCGGTACTGAAGCCGGTGGTATTCGATTTTGATCTGATCCAGACACTTTTGAGTGGAAGTGACCCTTCTAGATTTACTGGTACGCATTTGATTACATAATTAGGTCTGGACATTGCAGTGGGTGCGTGAATTTCACGCATGGAATAATATCGAATCATCGCCAGAAGAAGACTGTTTCTTTTGCAGAAGATTTCACTCCTTCCATGTACAGAGAGCGGGGAAGAAGATGTTCAATTCAGGAATAAAGATGCGATCGCGTGTAACAGCGCTACACAGATCTCTGTTCCAAGTATTTGTCACTCAGACCGGAGATGGCAAAGCAATCTGCGTTCATCACAATATCGGACTTCCAGTTTACATTCAGAGGAGGAATGCTCTGTCACCAGCGACGCGAATTCCACCGGGTTAGTATTCTTATCTTCGCAGATTCTGGAAGGCATCTGCTAGTTGAGGTCATCAAAATGATTGCTTAAATTCCCGATATCAGACCCTCTGAAATCGTTCCCATTGAGCACGATATTCACTCAGTACACGTAAATTTTCCTTCAAACCAGTTATCACCTGAATTCTGACGTTCAGTTGATGACAGCGCAATGTGAGAAGAAACTAAGATCTAAGGTCTGCTCATACTAATAAGGATTGTAGAAGATATAAGTCCCTTACATGCCTTGACGAAGAGGATTTTGTTATTCAGAACATATACAAGGTTGTTGGCGTCTGATTCAGTATGATGCATAATTCATCATAATACTCATATCTTCGTATTCTACCATTTATACAGAACACCTTTGGCCGCTACAGCGGTATGAGTGGATGGTCAAAGAAGGCATGCTCCAGCATGATGATCAGCAACATACAGTGGCCGAGAAGCTTGATAATCTCTTAAAACATATGAAAGGTTACCAGAAAGAAATGGAAAGTTATCAGGTCCGTCTTTCTTCAGTTTGCTGAATCATTTTTACTTTCAGTATTACATTATTCACCTCATAAGCACAGTTATCATCCGAGAGTAGCTCATCATTCTGATAAGGATAGTATTGAAGTTCGCGATTGTTAAATTCACGAAAGTGGATGAACCTTTTCAATGAAGAGCTTTTAGACTACTTGCTTTAGAAAACATTACATAAGAATTGGTTGTGGAGTAGTTCCATGTTTATGCAGTATATTTATAAGGGCCGAGGGTTTCATCGATTTTCCTCAACTTTATCGGGAATTAAGAAGAAGAGGTTACAGACGATTGATCTATTTATTGATAGGTGGGACTCAGGAAGTGGTCAGACGAAAGGGAGAAACACAAGAAGGTGCTTTTGGCAGAACAAGCGGTGGTAGAAGCTCAGAAAAGACTTGAGTTTTTAGCTTCTCAGAATCAGACGGGAATTTTTGCCTGGTGGTCGAGGTACATTATGGTGTCAAATACGAGAATTTTTTTCTTTGCAATTTGCATAGCACTACAATTTAATTCACTGAAATAACTTCAACAGTTTTGTGGTCAACTGACAAGTCTTTAAGTATTGAAAAATCAGCACTCACAGTTCCCAATGATATGTATGTACATATGGAGTTCAGAAAAGTGAGACATGTCAGAGCTGAGCCTGGAGCTGGAAGAATGGTAGCGCGACTGAAAAGAGAGAAGAAGTTGTCTTCATTGATGGGTCCTCCACCTCCTCTGCCGCCTCCTCCCCAAGGGCTATATCTATATGGCAACGTTGGTTGTGGTAATTCGGCTTTCACCTTGCCTTCCTGTATACCTAGTTGATATGATCTTGGGTTAAGAAGATCCACTGATGAGAAAGTTATTACTATCTATACCAGCAGTATTGTGCATCACAGATTGAATCGTTTTTCTCCATGTGTTTGAAGTACTTTGGAGTAAAAAACTCTCCTGTTTCTGTCCAAACGAAAGAATCTTGAATGTTAGGAAAAGTAGCTGCTGAGAGGGTCCTTGTCCTCATGCTTATTAAACACATGATAAATTGTCGTCCTTAACCCACAAAAGAAGAACCTTCTACTGCTTATCTTTTAATTCATTTTTTGAGTCTGCCATCGAACTTCTATGTTACAATTCTGTGGTCTTGGTTCTTGTCATGCACAGGGAAAACGCTTTTGATGGACATGTTCTTCAATGCTTCAAAAGGTGTGGTGAAATATCGTCGAAGGGTTCATTTTCATGCGGTAGGTCCTTTAAATTTGTCCACTCCAAACGAGTCATTTGCACCTTTTCAAATTTCTAAATACCTGCCAGCCAGTAGTCAAGTTGGAAGTATTTATGGAGGAAAAGACTGGACCGTTGAAAAGAACAAAACTGTTCGGAGCAATATTTTCTGAACAGTGTCTGGGTTCCTTCTGTGTTACAGGCAATGTTGGAAGTACATGATCGTATGCATAAGTTGTGGAAACAGGGAAAAGAGAACAACAAGGAGTATGGCAAAATTGGCTCCAGCACTTCAGATCCAAATCAACCATTGACCCTGGAGATGGCAGTGAAAGAATGGCTTGATGAAGAAGAACAATGGGAAAGAGACCTTCAGACAGAAATGGGAGTGCTCAGTGCCGTTGCAGATGAATTCTTCGCAAATTCTGATGAGTTCCTGGACGGTGCTAGTCTTTTGTGCTTCGATGAAGTGCAGGCAAGTGTCTGAGTGAAGCGATGCAAACCATCTCATCACACTAGTTTCCACCATGTTGTCATGCGCTTCTTTCTTGCCGTCAATGAGGGCTACTATTTATGCTGGCGAACAGTTACGAACAAGTTTCTAACTCCTTGACGTACAAGTTTCTATCTACCTTCAAAGTTTGACTTGCGATTTCAAACGAATATTGAGTGATGGAAACAATAACTCTGTCCACCACAGGTGATGGATGTGTTCACAGCTATTGCTCTTGCTGGGATTTTGAGCAGACTTCTAAGTAAAGGCACAGTTATTGTATCGACCAGCAACCGAGCTCCCCGGGAGCTGAACAAGGTAAGTTTTTGTTCCTCCTATGTAAGTTCATGACCAAGAATTTCCAATGATTAAGCCGTTCTCTGATCACGAGGTGGTGGTTTTGCAGGGTGGGATGCAACAGGAACTATTTGAATCTTTTCTAACCAAGTTGGAAGGAAACTGTGAGTCAGTGCTGGTAGGATTGGAGAAAGATTATCGTCGTGTCATCGCCTCGATGCACTCTGTGAAGGTGAGTCTTCATTTCAGTCAGCCACTTTTCATGTACATTCATGATGAATCTCCTTGATCCAGCTCCATCTCAATGCATGTGTTTATCACTCAACCCTTAATGGAGGTGAAATTATGTCCTTTTGATTTGATCTTATTTTCCCCTACCAGAACTTGCATTCTTCACAATTGCATGGTTTATGTATCACAAAAATGCATTGAAAGTATTGAACTTTTGTAGGATGAACAAGTGCACTACTTTTGGCCTTTGGGACATCAATCTCAAGACAAGCTTGAGAAGCTATGGCTTGAGATGGTATCACCGTTAACCCAAGCAAATCGCAAGCCCATCTCTTCAACATTACCAGTGATGTTTGGAAGGTGAGTTCGAAATCTTGATCGGCTTGGTCTTGGTTCCATCCTAATATCATACCCGAAACTTCATTTCAACTGAATGAATTACTTCAGATAATTTCCATCCGCGGTCTGTTGGTTCCATACTCTCGACCATGTTGCAAATGTCAGGTCACTCGAGGTTCCGGAAAGCTACCATGGTGTTGCTCGCTTTGCATTTGAGGAGTTGTGTAACCGTCCCGTAAGTAAAACTTTATCCCAATCCTTAACGTTCAGGGAAGAGTATAGTAAGAATGTTGTTTGATGCAAGACACGGCCAGATAGTAATAGAGATTTACTTTCTTTGTTGGAATTTTTCAATATGAACTATTTCTCTAAGAGTTACTTTTCGTTTTTAGATGTTCTCTTAAAGGATACTATTTTCCTTCTATATATCCGTAGGTCTGCTACTGCATGTTTCACAATATGGTTGCTAGCAGAGCTATTATTTCAGATTCTCTTTTCCAAGGAATATCGCTGTGATTCAAAAAATCTTGTTGTTCATCATTAATAGAAGTCATTGTGTTTGCAGCTTGGTGCCCCAGACTACGTTTCTCTTGCTCGAAGTTATCATACGGTGTTTATAACAAACATTCCCGTGATGAGTATGCGCATTCGCGATCAGGTGAAACTTTCACCTTCGTCATGAAGAAGTGTCGTGACAAGATGATTCTCCACGCCTCGTGTGTTCATGTTTGTGAAGTAATTTTGCTAGTGCAGTAATCGTGGGCATTGTTATCTCATACATTTTTTCAAACAGGCAAGAAGGTTCATCACCTTAGTTGACGAACTTTACAATAACCATTGCCGGCTCATCTGTACGGCAGCAGCACCCGTAGATGAACTATTTCTCGGAACAGAGGAAGGGCCTCTCATTGACCTTGAGAGGTGTGGATTTTCTTTCCATTCAATATACACTTCAATATTTTCACCGAAATTTATTCTGTATTTCTTTTCTCTTGCTGCTACTGGTTTTCACTTATTACTGATATGTGTCTATCTACTCGGTGTTGAGCTATGGGATCGCAGACGAAGACAATTACCTTTGTTTGCATAGTACACGTCGTTTCTACAGTCCAGTATTTCTAGCCCTTTCTGAACTGTTTCTGATCCACCAAACTTTTTCTCTCTCTTAGTCTGCAGTTTGAAACTGAAGCTGAAGGCAGTCGACTCCGAAGAGATGTGCTCGTCTCGGGGCACGTGGAACCGTTGGCCGGTACCAAGGAAGCACAAGCCAGTATTCAGGGTCTCCTTTCTGGGCGGGAGGAATTGTTTGCTTTTCGTCGTGCTGTAAGTGGCCTCTCCACGCTACTTTGTCTCGCCATGACTGTTTGCTGTCGGACATTTTGGAAACCTGATGACTCTTATGGGAGCTGGTTTCTCTCATGATTTTTTTCAGTATCATCATAACTGGAATGAATGAGAGGCGGTTGTTTTTTTCTTATAGCATTTTATTGAGATGGAGTTGTTCATTTTTTTATGTTCGTCTGTTTGTGTCTACAGGTTTCCAGATTGATTGAGATGCAAACCCCGATTTACCTTCAATCTCTCAATTGCCATCCCAGATTTTCAAGTTAAATCTCACTAGTGGGAAGTTAGTTGTACATTTCGCATGGGTTTGGCTATGCAACGAAGCTCTCTTACATTGAGAGAGGAATGAAATTATGACTTTGCCTTTCAGGCTCGATCTTAATCAATATAGAGATTCATTGCCGCTCAGTATAGTATAGTTCAGTCATACTGTAACTGAGATAGTAAATCTCGATCAAGAGAATACCCGAGCTTTTTGTAGATTTGACAGCATACATTTTATGCCCTTACCATGGTGGTCGGCTGATTGCAACCACTAAGAACCTTTTGGCCTGTAAAGCGAGTAAAAACGAAGCAGCTAACTCAGAAGATGTCGGCGGTGACACGATCTACGTTGTATGTAATCATTGGCGAGGACCTTGTCCGTGAAGCGTCCAGTCAAGCTGAAGCCTCTCTAAATTTGGGAATGCAGTGCATTCGTCGGACCATCGATGTCAACGACAATCACTTGTGCTTCTAGAGTCTGGTCGAATGAAAGTATTCAGATGGGATTCAGTTCCTTGAATTAGTCTCAGGCGCAGAGAACTACTGAGCAACTCGGAAGTGCACAGTGTGACGACAGGATCTACCCGAATCACTGCTATTTATTTTGCAGCTAGTTGAGTCCAGTTGTCTTGGGAACGCTAATGCCGTACCAGGCTGAAATTACTGCGCCGACTTTTGAAGCAGGAAAGCCTGTCGGCTTTAGTCGTGGGGCCGTTTCTTGCTGGTCATCGATGCATCGCGAGTTTTATGCTTCAGTCAAATTTGGCGTGCCGACATTGTATCTAGCGACATGGCAGCTCAATCACTTCCCGAAGTTGACCCATTGGACGGACCAACGAATGAATGTGGGCAAGGCCTGCGGAGGAGAGGCGAGCAGATCGGATGTCTGGGGACTTCGTGCAATCAATGAGTTCAAGCTGTAACTGGGCCGAAGCACTGCCACTGCAAACATGATCGTTTCAAACTCGAAGAGCATCCGCAGAGAAATCTCGAACACGTGCCGTGCCGTGCCGTTTCATACTACACGATCCACAGCTCGTCGGAATGTGATGGCGTCCTACTTCTGGTCGACTGCAGGCAAGTACCGTTTCATTCTAATCCGGAACAACATTGCGAAAACTCTCTTCTGGCTCCGACAAATCAAACTCAGAGCAGCAGCCCTTGCACTTGCATGCGAGGCACATTGTGAAGGAAAGAATTGCCGACCACAACACTTGGAGCAGTTCTTCCCCGTCAATGCGATATCGCCGAGAACATGATCGTTGTCGAGGTCAGAGTTTCGGGGCTTCCAGAAGCCAGGATCGATTGGGTTGTTCAGATTCGCATCAAAATATGAGCGCGTCAACATGTTTCCATCGCGAAATCTCGGGCAGAAATAAAGGAGAGATTCCGGCTGTGAATTTGATCCTCAAAATGCTGTACCAGAGTGGTATCGCACATTGATGAGTGGGTATTCAAGCGGCTGAAGCTGGCACATTTGGCTTAGAGGCAGTCGATTCCGCAGTCGGAACAAATGGTACCACGATGGGCGGCGACATCCACTTCCACCCTCGAAAAGGCTGCAAGACAAGCTGGAGAACCGAGCATCGATCATTCACATAGTGTCCACGATGTCCGAGGCATTTTGTTTCTCGTAGTGTTCTGTGAGGTCTCTGTGAATGCTCGTTGAGTCCCTGTGCGCGTTCTAGACTGTTGATTCTTCCAGATTTTGTACCACCCAAGCAAAGGAGCATTGCTATTCCTGTAACGCGCGTACTCGTTTATGCAGAGAAGCTGTAACCATAATCCAAAAATTGATACCAGTTCACGCCGAGGAACTAGAATTCCTCGAATTGTTTCATGTTCTACGGTGTCCACTCGGTCGGCAAAAGGTAAAATAGATCCGACTCAGAAGACAATGAATTATTAATCCGAAGTAGAGGCATGTCAGAACGGCATATGAAAAAGCTTGACAGCCCCATGTTTGGTTCTTAGGCTTCGGAGGACGATTTGGGCTCGGCCCATGCCCGATATCTCCGACTCGATCAATTCCCACCCACGATCAAATCTCCGGTTTTGCGAGAGTCCAGATCGCTTACAGCGTTCTCAAGAGCTAGTATCCGAATCCGAGGAGAGTCGCGATCGATTCCGAGCTGAAGAAATTGCATCGAGATAAAATCCCTGAAAGGTCGTACCTCTTCACTCGTCAATCCAACGCAAAATTCTTCACTTTCGAAGCTCGAAGCCCAGCCATGCTCGACTCCCCTCCCCTCCCCTCTTCGATCGTAAGAAGCAGCGAAGGAGGTAAAATCACCGCACGATGTCAGAGACGGGGTCTCGTGAAAGGAGGTGGAAAATCTCGTGAATATAGAACACGAGATTGAAGAGTTGAACAAATCATAAATCCGCCGTCAGGAGATAGACAATTTCCCGTGAGAAGGAAAAATGGTGATCACGACGCCGCACGTGGTGAAGTCGATCCTGGACCTGAAGCCTTACAATCGGCTGTTCAAGGCGACGAAATCGGACGTGACGATCACGGTGCAGGAGAAGGGCGTGCGGGACAGCTGGAGCAAGAAGTTCCTGGACGTCGAGTGCATGCAGCGGCGCATCGCCATCGGACGGACGCGCACGAACGCGCTGCAGATCGACGACCGGAAGGTGTCGCGGCTGCACGCCGTGATCGAGTGCAGCCTGGACGGAGTCTGGAGCTTCACGGACGTGCAGAGCCTGAACGGCTCGACCGTGAACGGCGAGGCGCTGCCGCCCAAGACGGCGCACCTGCTGAAGGACGGGGACGAGATCTGCATCGGCAAGATCCGGTGGCACCTGTGCCACAAGCTGAAAATCCGGCTGCACTACGTGGCGGACGACCTGCCGAAGGAAGAGAAGCCGCCGCCACCTCGGAAGCTGACCTGGCGGCGGAGCCTGTACTGCAACGGGTGCATGGGCTACGGCCCGCGGCACAGCTGCACCATGCGCGTCTCCGTCCTGCGGCGGCTCATCGTCGACGCCAACCGCAAGTCCAACGTGTACGCCGTGCGCCCCGGCAAGACGCTGCTGCAGAAGGCCGTCATGAAGCGGATGAGCTTCTGGTGGCCCAAGAAGGAAAGCGAGTACGCGACCGCCGAGAAACTCGTCGTCCCCCGGCGCTACGAGCCCGACAGCGGCGGCCTCGTGCGCCGCCTGCCCGACTTCGACGACACCGCTCCGCCCTCGCCCGTCCAGTACCCCGTGTTCACCTCCAGCTTAAGCATTTGACCTTCGGTCTCTTCTTTCCTCTCGAGGTTCGCCAACATGTGACTGCCGGTCCCTTCTCCTCCGGCCGGCCTTCTCGACACGGGCACCCTCCCTCCCGCCCTCCTCGGGACTTTCCGTTCGGCTTTCTGCAGCCATCCGTCCCGCTCCGTCCGTTGCTGTGGTGATCGTGCGACGGCGGGGGTTTAAACCCTAAACCCTGCCCCGTCCCCTTCGTACGTTGCCTTCTCCGTCGGTCCGTCGGGGGGCGACGTGCGTGTACAGCTCCGGGAGCTTCTGCCGGCTGGATTTGGAATTCCGGCAGGCAGGGGGTGAAGCCCGTACGTGTGCGGTCGTTAGGATGGACTCCGTTCCGATTTACAGTCCGAAGGAAGGGTGACGGTTGTTCGGACCCCTGTTCGTTGGACGTCCCAGTGGCAGGAAATCGAAGAATTCATCGGCATGTCTGTGTCTCGATCGACATCGAATATGAGTGCGAGACCTGCCAGACGATCGACGATGCCGTGATTTGTACAAGATCGGGAGTGCAAGAGAGACATTGGAATGAATGTGTGTCAGCTGATCGGTGCTCAGTACCCCTGCGAGAGAGCCGGAACCAACGCCCGTCCTGCTGCCATCTTGGACTCGAGACATCGGACACCAATCCATACCCCCCGATCTCAGATACCTCAAGCTCTTCGTCGTAAGCATCTGCTCGTTTGGCAACCGAGTCGAGGCAGAAGCGTCAGCAGTACCAGTGGCAAACGAAAACTGCAGACTTTGAGTACTTCTATAGGATTAGTTTTGGAGGGCAGACGACGCATAGTGACCGTGGACTTTAATAAATGTGATACACTTGACGTAGAAATTACATGCTTGTTGAGGCCTTTTCAGTTCCGACGCCACACAGGTGACCAATAACCTGGCCCATGATCCGGAAGTCCATTTTGAACATTGAACTCTTACGTGCATCCAAATGAACAGAACCTCCTGCTCGGACTTGCGTATTCTCCTCGAGGGTCTCTGTGAACTAATATATAAAAGGCAGGTACCAAAGGTCATGCATGCATGAGTCTCCAAGAGTTTGGAGCACGCTTCAGTGCTCTTGCGTTCCATAATGGCAACGATGTGGGGTGATATGTGAGAACCCGAGCTCAGCTTAAGCTTTAGAACGTCCAGTTCTCGCAGTGCTCTTGCCATTTTGTAGAGAATGGAACAAGCATAGCAACTTTGAGAATTTCCGTCATAGCAAAATTTGATCACTTTTCTGTGCACGCAGAAGATCGAGTCATCAGGGAGAGATTAATTTGAAATAGAGCGAGCAATAGTTTTGTTTAAGTTCCGAAATGAACGGTGACAATTGCAAAATTTGCAAACAGCACACGTGAAAAATCAATCTACCATAGCTCCTAATCGAGAACTGAACATTATGACCTGGATCTATCAAATCGGTAGGTACGAAGGAGGTGCAATTCGATGGAGTTTTTTCCGCAGTACTCAGCTGTACTCAGCTGCTGCTACTATAGGTCCCTCGGTCTACTCGAGCCAGTGGCTAATAACACATGGCAATCTACCTGCTCACCTTTTTCAATTTGTCTTGGCCAGTCCAAAAGTAGGCAAGCTATATCGATCCAAATTCTAATGAGGAAGAACATATTTCGCTGTCCAAGATCGCCTGAGCAGCGCATCAGACAAGGGGATAAAATTTAGCAGACTCAGTTCGTGATTCCTGGAAGAACCTCCTAAACCCAGGTCGAGAGGACAGATAATGAATATACAATAATGCCAGCCCCTCTGCATCTATCGGGCTTCGCAAACTGAAGATCCTCGTCGATTGTACAGATCTCTTCTCAATCTCGTGCCATAAATGCTGCACCGGTCACTTCGTACCGTCGCAGTAGGTGGCAACGTGACACCGAAACCGCTTCATATTCGATGAGTCATGAGTACAAAGCAGTCTGTGGAGATGATCTTGTGAATTCGACAAAGCTTGGTGAAAACAACTGACTACGAGTTTGGTTGATGGAGTTTCGCAATCACTAAGCGCTGGATCATGTCTGAACCACTTCAGACTGGGTGCTTACTTTGGTTGGCTATGTAGCCTAAAATTCATCCACTCTGGTTGGAGAGTCATTATTTGGACCTGTTGGGATCAGATGATGGGGGAGCCGCTGATTGCGAATGGAATCTCATACTCCGGTGATTGATAAGGGGATTGGGTCCTCGTGCGCGTTCTCTTGTGTCGAGGCTGGCTGTGTTCGATGGCAACGCTTTCATCTCGAGATATGGGAGACGCTCCTCTGAACTGGTGAGAATCTTCGTGTTCCCCACTGATTCTGCCACTGTTTTCAAATGACATGGCTGTCAGCGAGAGCATACGCTTGATGTCGGAATATCGAGATGCATTCAAGCAAGGGGGCGATGGAGGCGATGGGGGCAGCTTCGAAAACGATGCAACTGTGCTCTGAGACCGTGCGTCCGAGTCGTCGTCGTCGGACAGGTGAATTTCTAGTTCCTCATCGGAATCCAAGGCTGCCTCTGCTTTGTACTTATACCAGTGCGCACAAGCCACGAAGAGCACAAAATTGACGGAGCTGACAATCGCCAGCATCCAGTAGAAGTTGTACAGCTTTCCTGTGTCGATATCGTCGGGCAGCCATGCACCGGAGATGCTTCCATCGGCATTCGAGTGTCCGGTGACGGAGTTCACAAGCGAGACTAGCAAGCTGCTCGTGTAGTAACCGATCGACAGGGTGCACACGCACAGCGCAGCTCCCATGGATCTCATGGCTTTAGGCGACTCGTTGTAGAAGAAATCCAGCTGACCAGCGTAAGTGAGCCCTTCCCCGGCACCGACGAGCATGTACTGAGGCAACAGCCAGAATATGCTCATACGCACAACCTTTTCTTCGGCCGGGTCCAGGCCCAAATGCTGTTCGTGCACATGTTGCATCCTCTTCTTCTCGACGAATCCAGCGATGACCATCGTGACGATGGACAACAGGAGGCCATAGGAAATTCTGTGGAGGGAACTGACGCCCTTTTTGTTGCCGGTGAATCTTCTGGCGATGGGTATGAACGCTTTCTCCCAAAGGAATAGACTCAGAAGGATGCCGCCCTGGAGAAAAGCGCCCATGGAAGGGGCCGGGAACTCGAAATGCCCTCCCATCTTCCTCTCCATGCTGCGTCCTTGCGCCACCGAGAAGGTCGTCATCTGAGCGTATACTGTGTAGAAGAGAGAAGTCGTCAGAAGGATGGGCAACAACCTCAACACCATCTTCGTCTCCTCGACACTAGTCACTGTGCCCAGCCTCCAGGGACTCCTAGTCTCAGGGTCATTCAGATCTTCGATAATCGCTGCCTTGTCCAGAAACCTGCAATAAAACAAATATCTTCAGCAATACTGCTCCTCATACGAACCCATCCGTTCTACTATTTCATGTCCTTGTAGCATATGAAAGTGGCTTGTATCGATACAAGTATACAATCTGAAAACTTTAGCGCCTGTAAATATCAGAAAATAATTATCGATACAAGTATACAATCTGAAAACGTTAGCGCCTGTAAATATCAGTAAATATTTCTGGATACAAGTATACAATCTGAAAACGTTAGCGCCTGTAAATATCAGTAAATATTTATCGATAGAAGTATACAATCTGAAAACGTTAGCGCCGGTAAATATCAGTAAATATTTATCGATAGAAGTATACAATCTGAAAACGTTAGCGCCTGTAAATTTCAGTAAATATTCATTGCTACAAGTATACAATCTGCAGTCTGAGGCTCACTTGAATTGGTTGCTGTGCTGAACGGGCACATAGTCTTGGGGACGATCCTTGGAGCTCAGCTCGTAGAGTGAATCTGCGTCAGCGGGGAGCGGGAGTTTGCGCTTTTTGTAAGCGGAGACGAAAACTTGGGCGATAAGGGTCAGAGGGCTCCCTTTGGGAGCCTTGTATCTGTACAGTCTGCGAGCCATGATGAATGCCACGATCACCAGCAGCATGCAAACAGTGGGAATGAGGTAACCCCATTCTCTGCCGACATGATCCTGGATGTAAACCAGCACCGTCACTGCGAAGAAGGCCCCGCATGTTATGGTGAAGAAGTACCAGCTGAAAAATCCGTTCAGGCTCTTTTTCTCTTGCTCGTGGTGCGGATCGAACTGGTCCGCTCCGAACGGCGATGCGCAGGCCTTGATTCCTCCCGTCCCCAGGGCTATGAGGTACAGTGATATGTATGTCACGATCAATGGCGTCCCCGTCTGAGGCTGACAGTTGTCCCCTGCGCACTCTTTGGGCTTGAGAAACGGAAAAGTTGCCGACAGCGTCAGCATCAGCAGACCCTGCACATCACACAATAACAACCGTCCAGTCAACAGTCCAGATCCCCATCGCCCCCATCCCACATTCCGAATGCTTGATCCCAGAACTTGTTTACCATTTCCTATTTTTCATCCGTCATGAGCATCATCGAAATCTGAACGAGGCCTGATCCAAACCACGAGGCTTGCGGGTTTGAAGCATTTGGATCGCAACTGATCACTGAGGTCGAAGCAAAGGCAGAATAGAGAGTCAGAATTCACGCTTATCCGAACACTTATGCAGTTGTGGGGAGTGTGAGGACTTACGAGGAACTGGATAACAGAAGCGCCTGTAGTGACCAGAAAGCGGCCGAGCATGGCATCGGCGACGAAGCCTCCGAGGAGTGTGAATATGTACGACGTACCCTGGTACGTCGTGACCAAATTTGCGGAGTAGGACGACGACAGATGAAGTTGGCCGGTAAGAAACGGCACCAGGTTGATGACGATTCCTCCAACTGCCAACTTCTCACATGTCTCCGGCCCTGCACATGGTTATGATGCCACAGGTGCCACGTGAATATCGGAAGGTAAAGACTCTTCTGTTCTGTACTGCATGCACAACTCCAGTCCTCGAATTCCTCTATTCAGCAGTACAGATTGTGAACGAGTCGTTCAGCCTCAGATTGATGAATCACATGCAGCAGTCTGATGCCTAAACGTGCTCTTCTTCTGTGCTTTGAGCAGTCTGTCACTCTAGCTCTGCGGCAAGAGATTAATTTCGACATACCTTCTCCTCAGGCAGGCTGTGAAATCACCGGACAGCGGTCAGAGCATTAATGATCGATCGGTCTTCAGACGACAGTGTGTCGTCTGAAGACCTTGAACACACGTGATATTGATTGACTGCTCGAGACCTCAAAGGTGTGTGTATGTGTGTGTGAGAGAGAGAAGGTTGGACAATTGGTGAGGTACAGCTTGAATCACCTAAGATGAATGGTCCTGTTTTCCAGCCGCCAGTAGTGTTCCTCCTGGCAACCTGCCCACAGTAGTCCATTGATCCATCGCCCAGAACGTTCTCGTCTTTTGTGATAGTGTTCGAGGCCATTCTGATTATGACATGGCGCGGTTGCTGCGATGACAGACAATGCCGGGGGGTTTAGATCAACCTGTTTCTTTGTTGAAAATCTATTACGTTGACTGTCGTCGACTGTTGAAGATACAATCACGTAGCAACAGGATGTCGGGCATACACACTTTGATCTCCGATATCCACAAGACCCTTCCGTTCCCATGTCTCCGGGCAGCTTGAGCTGCGAGGGCAACAAACTTCCATCCGCAGTCATGGGACAATAAGGAGACAGGCCAGCCACAGTGATATGGACGTCATGGTTCGCAGACATCGGCATCCTTTTCCGGATGGAAGAAAACGGACAAAACTTACCCATTAATGACATTGATCTTCGCAATTTGGGAGCTCGTATGCAGGTAAAATTCTCTCAGAAGTCATGGGCCTATACTGTGAGAGCTATGAAGTTCATGCTGTTGTGAAGACCAATCTTTGCTGATCTATGTCCACAACAGCTGACAGCGCTGCCAGGCAGAATTATAAAGCTCGGAAAGTAGATAAGCGACGGGCATATGACTCAACTGTTCTGAAAATTCGAGCCACAGGCGAAACCTGAATATAAATCCTTGAATCTACAGGCCAGTTCCTGGAGAGAGGAAAAACAGAAATGTAATGTACCTCGTTGCGGTGGCCGTTCATCTTTCGGTCTCCTGCCATTTCGCTTTCGCACGAGGAGATTTTCGACAGGTTATAGCAGCAGACTGCAATGTTTCGTCTCCAGGAAAGGAACGAGGTCTTTTCACGATGTGCTGCAGGCACGCAATCTTACAGACAGCTAGAATGACCCCGGATTTTAACACATGGCCAGGCCTCACAACTTCCCTGAGCTTGGAAACGAACAATTGGATCCCATTCGCGTATTTAGAGATCTTGGAGAGTGTGATGATGAATTCTAAGAGGAGGAGGTCAGGTTCTCGGCAGTCCTGTGTGCTGCAGCTGCTTTCAATGCTGAATTTTTTGAACAAAAGTAAGGAAGAAGTCAAAGTCTTCAGACATAGGTCTGCGTCTCTGAACGCATTCCGATGGATGGCTGTGAGCTAGTTCTCTCGAGCTACGGGAGCTTCCGTTCTGTACGGGTTTACTCTCTAAGTCTTGTGGAGTTCAACAACTCTGATCGATCGGCCAACTGCACGGTGACGAAATCAACCGTTTCCTGCTCGCTCTCATCACCATGCGGTCGGGACTCTTGATCGTATGAGCCCCAACAAGGACAGCAGCATGTGCTTTGAAGTAGATTACACGATGTAGGCAGTCGGCCTCGCAGGCTGTAGTAGACAGGAGGAGAAGGCGCTCTAGCCAGCACTCTCACAGTCCCGCGGAGCTACTAGTTCTCGGACGTGTACCTGTATCAGGCCCTCAGCTCGCAGCTCGGCAGCTTGAAGGATTCTTGTGAGAAAGGTGTGAATTTGTACTTGTCTGCTGCTGGGACCTCAGAAGTTACGGTCCAGTCTCGTCCAACCACCACCTTTTCGTCCAATCGTTGCTGCGTCCAGGTCTCTTCCTCTGAGCTAGCTCAGCTTTCCACTTGTGTCAGAAAGCCCGCAACCTCGTACGCGATCGATCGAGCGTAGTCCTTAGCTGTAACCGGAGTCCTGAACGTGAAAGACATTCATGAAAATACAACTAACTCGTGGCCCTGGGGCCGTAATCGTAATACCCAAATGTTACAGTTATCTTATCCAAATGTGCAGCTTCAGCCTTCCACCAGCAATATGTCTGTGACTCACTAACTCAACTCATCACGGCAGCGGTGTCACTGGAGCCTTTACAGCACCTCGTAGCTCCGCCGCCTTGCTGGAGCCACGGTGTACGGTGGATGGAGGTGGAGGAGATGGAGAACGCAACCCCTGACTCGCTGCCTGCCGATGGACACAGAGATATTGAGAGAGAGATCGAGTGAGAGCACATGAAAATTCTCCAACTGGACAGTCCTAATGAGAAATGAGTTCTCGGGGATCAGATCTCTCGTCGACGGAAGTCTCTGGATGTGGACAGTGATCTCGAGCTCGAAGCCTGGCAAATGAGTCGATCTGGACTCAAGAGACTGGCCGAGATCGAGTGAGCGAGGAGGAGTCCATGAAAGACTGATCGTCTTGTGGCGGCGGGATGCTCATATTTTGATCTTGTTGTTTCTATCATTTTTACTTCCGTGTTGGTACGTTCATTGAGGACTGGAGCACCGGGGCCTCGCTCTCACATTGCCCCCCGGCCCCCAGCAAAACGTGCAGCCGAGGCAGAAGTGCTGAACTCCGCCTTGTCTGGTTCCGGTAGAAGAATATGAGCACGGTAAATTTTTGAGATTCAGACTAGAGGACATAAAATGATGTAAATCAAGTTGAATGACTATATTCGGTCCTGAATGTCCAGGACTTGAACTGTTTTTTCGCCGGCCCTTCTTCGCAAGTGATTATCTCTTGAATCAGGAAGACTGGAATTTGGCCTCTAGCTCCGAGGCTTAGCAGAGGTTTAGACTATTCTCGATCTGGCGTAAGAAGGGTCAACTGTACTCAGTGGAGGGTTGACCCAATTCGTTTCTGTCGATTGGAATGTTAATGTCCCGTAACACTTTCCAGGATATGACCAGCTTAGAACCCCATGCCTTGTTTGCACTGGTCGACGCTTGAGGATTCCTTGCCACGTGAAAATCGTAGCGTCATTAGTTTAGTGAGTTCAGGAGACTCAATATTGCAAAGAGTTACTTCTCTTTCAAGTTCTTCGGAATGGGGAGATTTGAAAACGTGATTTCTTATACTATATCAACTTCAGTTTTTAAAGTTTGAAATGAGTTCAGATAAATTAACATATCCTTATATGTTATAATTATCAACCAAAAGTACATCAATAGATATAGATAGAAACTCATCTATTTGTAAAGAAGAAGTAAAAATACGTTTATATCAACTCTTAACAAGTCTTATAAATCTAACTTTGCTAACATAACAGTGGGTGGGGCATCAGTGTGGCTACGGTTAATGGTGGCAGCATCTGGGCTCAAATGGAGTGAAGTAAAGCCCTGCTATGCTCCTGCTGACTGGGTAGATGCCACATCAGGAATGCCCGTGATATAGCCTTCTAAACGGAAGCAACAAGATGCTTTCAGTTTATGACGAAAGGGCACGGATGGCGAGTGGAGAGATATCACGATAGCCAATTTATATCACATTCGGAAAATATTTATGAGTATAAATGTAGTAGATGCCGCCGTGACCTTGTTTCTTGAACATGAGGATCAGCCAAACTGTTAAACTCACATTTAACACTTGGGCTAAGATTCAGTGTATCAGTACAGCCAAGAAGAACACAATCTAGATTGTAGACAGATTCTAGACCGGGGGATGACTTGGCATTCCTCTGGAGAGTTTCGGATGTTTTCAACTATCAAGTGATAAAGTTAGGACCTGGTCTTGTTCTTCGACTTCAACCCCAAGTTCCTTAAGAAGTCTCGCCAGATCCTCCATCCTCATGACACAAATACTACCGCTTGCTGCTTTGCGCTGGGGAGGAGCTGCTAGTCACTGGTTTAATATTCTGTTTTTTCTGGTGAATGCGCCAAGCCTAATGGTGTTGGATTTCCTCGCTTTGGGAGAGGATGAATGTCTCTTCCGCTTGCCTTGAATCCTGGGCCACATGATCTGGTGCGCATAAATAAATGTTCAACTTTTACAATGCCTTGTGAAAGGGATACTCATTGTAAGGGTAGTACAAGATGTACACTAGCCTCCCGCCTAAGTAGCATCCCGGTAAACTACTACCCATTATTTTCCAGAAAAGATATGGTTCGGATTTAATTAGTCCAACATGTCATGGATTATCATTTTGAGCAAGTTTTGAAGATCTTTCGTTCGGTTTGTCACCCATGTCCTCAAGGACGATGAAACTATGAACAGAGAATCGAAAAGTCTTTTGTTTTTAAGCTTCATCACAAACATCGAGGCAGCTCGTTCTAGAATTTGCTCGTAACTTGTCCCACACCTTCCTGATACCTCCTTCACTAACATCGTACTCGCGCAATATAGCCCTTTTACTCGGATATCGTCTTACATTGCAACCAAATCCACCGATTAGAAAGTGATTTGTCTAAAGTGCGCACCTACCGGCTCAGTACGCAGAATCCTCTCAGGTTCAATTTGCGTACTTAGGCGAGAGGCTACTGTACGCGTTTCTCACTGGGGACAGTGGAGAGTAATGTACGAATTAGATCCAGGAAGGACGTACGTACTACACTTCGTTGAATTTGAGAAGAATCACGTTCTGAATCATTCCCATACACCAAACGTATCACAGAGACAGATCTGTCCTTCCGAGAAATATCCGACTTGTGAGTGTCGACAAGGAATATTCAACTTATGAGTGACTGTGGTTTCTGCAAGAATCAGAAAGGATTTTTCCATGTCTGCAGTCCCTGTTTCAACACTCGATTTATTGTATCTGAAGCTCACTCAGTATGAGAAAGTTGGAACTTCCGAGTGTGTACGGTTTCAGGTCTCGTCCCACTAGATTCAGTTCTGATCAGCGTTGATCCCCTTGGAATGTCTGGTCACCTGTAAACATGTTAACGGTCAACGGCTGTATCTACTACAGAATATATCCGGGAATAATGCTCTCCTGAAGGTTTGAAGATACATCCACCTGCAGTGACACATTTTCCCCCACTGCCCGGACACACCATTTGGAGCCTCTGTCGATGAGTTGGCTGGAGAAGTCCTTTGATTAGAAGACCTCGCACATGAAGACTCTGTAGCTTATTTTGTAACTGCAGCAGCTAGCAGACGCTTGGGAAGCTTTTAAGGATACATCTGACTTTATGTGAGGGCTAGATCCCCACTCTGTCCGAACTCGTTCAAGAAATTTCTGCAAATAGAGATTCTGAGCAAGAAAAGAGAACTCACAGTTGAGGGATTCTGAAACTGAATGCGTAGCTACAGGACCTAGAACATGGTTTTGATACTTCCCATACATGCTTATTGACAGTTGCTGTGTGGATTGTCCAGTAGGACGCAAGTTGTGCGAAAATATCAGTGTATGTTAAAAACTGTCACGTATTCCATAAATTTGTTCCAAAAGATTGCATGCACCCGCCCAGCCGTGAAAATATTTTTAGATCCAACTAGAGCCAAGTAAAGAGAAAGCCCGCCTATCCAAAACCATAAAGTAACGATTCAACTATTGACCGAGCTCCCTTCAACGATTGACTGAGCCTCAACAGAACTCCTGCATTATCGTAAATCATTTTACGTCAATCTGAATATCATTTTGGGACTCAAATTTCAGGACTGAGGGCTGCCAAAAGAACAAAATTCGAATATATGCTGGTATACTTGGCGTTTAACGGATGTCCGTGTTGCCCGAGACAATTACTCAAACAACCGTATTCGTAATGTAACTTGATCCTTCGACTGTTTCTGATTCAGATATGTTTCTTTCTATCGTCGTGTTTCGTTTTCGCGTCTTTGTTGGAGTTTTTGTACAGTCTGGGTTACATTCATGGATTCTTCAAGGAAGCAGCCGAAGGGACACTTTTTTAAAACGTAGGCGGGAGTATCAGTGGCATGGAAACTGCCGCTGATGATGAGCAAAGCGAAGTGCTAGTTTCTTTAGATGGTATAGTTTCGTGTGATGTAAACTTCTTCACCAAGGTCGACGTAGGGGTCTCGTGGGGCCCGCTAGTTGTATTTATGTCCTCTTCAACTCACTTGAGTCATATGGAAAGGAAAAAAAATCTGATATACATGTCTGAAAGATTTCTGTCTGATGTTTGACATGAGAAGTCCTTTTCTCGAATCACATTCCACCTGTGTACTAACAGCTGTTACTGACATTTCTACCTCAAACGAAACTCAATGCCGTACTTCTAATTGCATGTGGCATGTTGCAGACTGTGGACCTACTACAACGCCTTGTGACAAAACATGTACAGCTCTCATTGCAGAGCGGTCCTCCACTGTTCCACGGATCAGCTGAGTTATTTTACGTAGAAAAAGTACAGTTGGATTCAACCTGGAAGACTCATGGATTCGAGACTTGCACGAGGACTTACTAGATTATGATTCAAAGCTAAAACGATGTAACAAGATGATTTCTTCAAATCGCCGGCCTCCATATCCACCTCTGCAATCCTCCTTGTCACCTCCTGACCCGTTGGACCACTGTATAATTATAGATGTCGTGTAAAACTTTTATAGCCAATCTCGTTTCGTTCATCATTCATGTCTAGATCTTTGTTCTGATGTCAGAACGGTATCAGCAGATTGGATTAAATGCAGTCGTAGATCTAACGAGCCATGAATCTTACTGTGACCTACTCTGTCGATAACTCCAACGATTTTCAGAGTAACAGTTCGATCGGGAACAATTTCGTATACCACTCTTGAAGAATCCTGGCTCACCATTTCCAAGAGAAAACTGAATCACAAAAAAGCAGGAGTGAAATGCCATCGTGATTGTGATCAAATCTTAGAATCCCTCAGGTTATTAATATTTGGATCCTTCGTACCCTGTTACACAGTTCAACGGACAGCTCCATGATATGGAGCGGGATTGAGTTCTTGCATCATTTCAAAGAAGCTCATTGTGCCCAGTTCTCCGTAATCTGCTTAATCAGAGCTGATCGCTCTATCAAAACGAGCTGGTAAACGAGCCTTGACTATCTTTATCACAAAGCGCATATCAACTCCATAAGAGTTCCGTCAGATTTCAAAGATCGAGTACCCTAGTCTCGGAAGAAGGTGCTATTCATGCAACCTCAGAAAATTTGTCACATGTGGCTTGAGCTGACTTGTAAGACAACTACAGCAAACTGTCTAACTGCCTCATGAGGCTCCAACTGGATCATAGATGTTCGTATTGGTCCGTCACCTTCTCCACATTCGTGACTGATTCGTAGTATTTGTGAGGGTTCCTTCGTTCCATTCCGGTCAGCATTTCTCTGTGTTGTGGATAGCACATTTCAGCTCGGGACAATGGTTTCCAGTCAAATCCATGAAGTTCCTTCCTTCAGCTTCTTAGTTGTTGATAATTGATGGAAGATGGTCAAAGCTCGCCGATTTTCTTGCGAGGCTTGCAAAGCTTGAAGATTGGAGTGATGAGTTTGCAGCTGGTGAATGGTCGGTCGGCATCCAAGTTTGAGGAGTCATTGAAGACTACCCTTGTTTGATAGTGCTGTTAGTTCAGACTCGAGAGAATGGCCCTGTCGTCGTTTGCTGCACGTCTGAACCCTCTCTGTACGCCGAGACAGGGCCCAAAAGTTTACGAAGAATTACAGCCGCACAAAATCCAATCCGGAGTCCATCACATGCGGCTCGAAGAATACCGGAAACGCAATCAGAGCCTGCAACGTCGCCGGAATGGGCAGAAAGAGCTCAGACAGCAGGACCTGAATGTATTGCGAGCTCACTGAACGGACGGACGGTGCTCGGATGCTCATCGATAGCATCGAGGAAAGCAGCGAGATTCGAGAAGAGGCAGCGATTTTGCAGCTGCTGCAGCAACGACATGCGAATGGCTGCAGCAGGGGAATTGAGGAGGCTGGCCCTGGCCTGTTGCAAGCTGTACATCTCGGACAGCAAAAACGTGAAGGCCCTGGAGACGATAGAGAGAGCTGCGAGAAGCCAGAGGCTGGCACCTCTGCTGCACATTTTCGAGGACAAGGAGTACAACAGAGTCGGTTACACATTAGCCGGACCCATCCCATTCCCTGCTCATGATCAAAAGAAACATCCGTTCGTGCCCGAGAAGACTCTCCCGATTCGATCTGCGGTGATGGCGATGGTGAAGGCAGCGGTGGACAGCATCGACCTTCAAGAGCACGTGGGCTCCCACCCTCGCCTGGGAGTCGTGGACCACCTCTGCTTCCACGCCATAGGATCTGCTTCTCTGGAACAGGCGGCCTCTTTGGCTCGCACCGTAGCTGCAGACATTGCGTCTGATCTTCAAGGTCCGTCTCCTCGTTGTACCTTCAATTCCACCATCAGCATCGTGCAATGAAATCCAGAAACAATAGCTCAATTTCAGAACCTTTTCCCGATATTGTGCGTAATGTTCCTCGAAAGCTCAGGAAAGAACTCACTAGTTTAATCCTTGCAAGCCTCGTTAGGGAAGCGCACGGTGCAGAAATTTGATCCAACTGACAAACAGCGAGCCTTAATTTTATTGGGGGCTGTTCTGGCCATGTGCAGTTCCTACCTTCGTGTACGGTGCAGCTCACGAAGACAGAAGACCCTTGGATGCCATCAGAAGAGAGCTCGGGTACTTTCGATGCAATTCGCTGGGACATTGGGAGGGGACACCCGAGCTCCCGTCAGAATTGTCACCCGATTTCGGGCCCAGCATAGCTTCCCCCAAGACGGGAGTGGTGGTTGTAGGTGCTTGTCCTTGGGTGATGAACTACAATGTTCCAATTCAGTCGACGGATTTGGTGACAGGGCGGAAGATTGCGAGGAAGGTGAGCGAGAGAGGGGGCGGTCTTGCAGACGTCCAGGCCATGGCTTTGTTGCACGGAGAGGCCAGGATGGAGATTGCTTGCAACCTTCTCGATGTGCAGAAGTCCAGTCCCCAGATGGTGCAGAACTTGGTGGCCTCGCTGGGTGAGAGTGCAGGTGTTGATGTCGGTCAGGGGTACTTGACAGGGCAGTCAGACGAGGAAATCTTCGAACTGGCCTTGGAGAAGCTGTTTACGTTTCAGTAGCTCTACATTCAGGGAACAGAACTCGATACATGTGCAGAGGGGACTTCATTCACATCGGGCACTCCGTTCGACCACCGAGAGAAACTAATTTCTGCCAGACACTGTCCCACAGCGGATTACATTGAGATGTGAGGTTTCATGTGTACTTAGAGACGCATTTTTCTGTATTGGCCTTCTTTCTATCAGCAAACCAGATCATCAATGCATGACTAGCTCGTCCCAAGGAGGAAATATTGTCATTTCTAGAGAAATTCAGAAATTCTGTACTAACAGCAACCGTGACTTCGACGACAGATATGTGAGGCAGATCGCGAGACTGGACCTTTCTGGAAACCTTAGGAAACCTCATCTGCACTAGAGACCGTGCAATTCAATGTCAAATTATATGGACCAGATCCATACCAAAAACTGTACGCACCTCCTCGTACTGCTCTAACGTCAGCACGATACTTGTGCCAAAAAGTGTAACGAGTCATGAATTCACTGAGTGATTTCAAGTTTCAAGTGACGATTTGTGTTGCGCAGTGGCTCGAATTAGAGTTCCACCCTGGTATGTCCAACGCTTCTCGAGCAGTTGTGTTAGGAGGCGGTGCACCGTTCAAGTTGCACGGCTTATGGGTGATGAGAAAATCATAGTGTCCAGTGGAGGAGAAGTTGGCAACCATTCTCATCTCAGACATAAGTACGACCAGCTGAGGACCTACCAAAGCAACAATGACTGTCCGTAATCATTCCATTCAAAATAAGACTGCCCTGTGCGCCGGGTGAAATAAAGCCACCTAAGAGCGTTTCCAAACTATCAGAAACTGCATGGGATCCCGAGGAGCCCTTTCCGGCATTGACGTGAGATCGGAAGTAGCTGTCACCATTGGAAAACTACAATGACACAATCTTTGCTTCCATTCTCATTGGCCACTAACGCCGAATGAAAATCAACAAAACCACTATGGAAATTGCTTGGAATCAAAAAGTACCTGGAGTAAATGAAGAAAAATGATTGCAGGATGATATTATTACGATTTCATGTGTAAAAAGCGGAGCTGAAAAGTGAGCCCTTTTCGAACAAAAGAATATGAAATACACACTTCTCGAATGTGATCCACACTACTGAACAAAGTCTTCCTCCGAAGTTGTTCGTCGGTGGAGATGTAGAATGAATCAATTCGAAACAAAGAAGCCAAGAAACCCTAGCATCAATTTCAAGAGATTTTCGAAACGTGTACCGGTTTCTAGTCCAGCACTTGCTTGAGCACGCGCTGGTTTTTTTCCGTCCCCGTCCTCGTCCTCGTCCATTTTTGTCAAAGTGTTCATCCGCGTAATAGAAGAAGCAAGTAACGACTTCAAATCCTATGCTCTGGCAGACATCAACTGCCATTGCTCTGTGACTTCAAAATGTCTCGCTCACTTCTCAGTTTCCGGATCAAGAATTCCATCGAGTCACGACCTATGATGCGGAATTCATTGTACCTCACCTCTATTCGCAACACTGCAGAAATTTGAGGTCAAATAGCTCCTTCTACATTCAAGTCGAAAGCGTTCCTATCGTAAGCGTTCAGACCCTTCGCTTTGAACACCAGATTGCTCCTTGACACAGGGATTAGTTGGACATCCAGGGCCTGGCCTCTGGGATGGCGAAAGCCATACCGTCGAGCTTGCGGTCCAAGACGATCTGGCAAGCGAGTCTGGTGTGGGTATCAACAGCCTGTCCCTTGGGTTGATGCTTTTCCAAGATTTCCATCTCGTCCTCTGATCTGGGAGGCAGCTTCTCGAGCCACTCGCCAGCAACACTGACCTCGCACTCAGCTCCACACTGCGTAAGATCCTCGGTCCTGTGAGATTCGCCCTCGATCAATCCGCTTCTCACTAAAGTCTTGAGCAGCGTCTGCCCAACAAGACCCCTTATCGCGTGACGGCTACCATTCTCCTCAGCGATCGCTGTGAGCCTGACCGTGCTCTCCAGGACCTTCGGAGCTGATCTAGGGATCGCGCTGCTCACGCTCGCTACCGCTGTGTGCGCGAACCGCACCTGCACCAGCCTCCTCAATGCTGTCGCCATTGCTATCTACAGCCACAGACATGGACATCCTCAAAAAGCGTCCCTGCTGCTCGCAACAATCAACTACTATCTTAAAACAGCAGAAGATGCAAACATCCGCAGTGAGGTACATCTTTTGGGTTTTGTGAGGTACATCCAACCCAACCCAACCCAATACACAACAACTCTGAGCACGGCATCGTCTGCCAGCTGAATTCGAGCCCAATTACAAGACGATTCAACGCGATTCTCTAAAATAAGATCAAAATCCTAGGCATACAGTGGCGAAATGCACTCTAGAAAGACTAAACAAATGCGAGAACAACACAATGGGAAACTCTTCGCAGTGAACTCAAATCGCACACGGAAACCTTCCGCAAAAGTCTAATCTTCCGTCCGACCAATCGTGGCTTCCCATACGCAAGCCCAGGAAAGCAAACTCACCGATCGAAACAAGGAGAGAATCAGCAACGACCCGCGACGGGATCCAGGAAGAGAGTGTTGGGAAGGCTCGAATGAATGAGAGACAACCCTCGAGAGTCGAGAGCTCGCTCCAAGAAGGCAGTCGAAGGGGCAAGAACGAAGAAGGAGGAGAATCTTCTCCTCGGCCTGAACCGCGTGGGCACAAACTGCGGTCACAAAAGTTACCGCGGTTCAGAAAAGACCAACGGAGTCACCGATGCGATGAAAACTTGCTCGAAGTCGCTGCTACTGCGTCGAACTGTGGTCGCGGTTGATACGGACACGGTGAACAAGGTGCCCCTGTCAGCGCAGTCGTCGACGTAGAGGCAAACACGCCGCGAATTGCGTGCAGAAGCGTTGAGTTGAGCTGAGCTGAGGTGGGGGGCAGCGGGAGACGTTGCGCCGGTGTTTGATTTGAACTGTGGAGCTGGGGCAAATTTGCAAGCAACGGATGGACGGACCTCGGAGAAGAATGAATGCGTGCGTGCAGCCCCGAGGGAAGAATTATGAGCTCACGAGGAGCTCCGGTCGTGCACGAGGGCGATGATCCTCGAATGTGAGGAAGGAAGGAAGGAAGATTGGTCGATCGATTTTGATCGAATGTGCGTGTGGCCGTGGTTCGAAAATCCATTTCCGCGCGAGGAGGAGGAGCATTCGACTGCGCAAAGATGGACGAGTATCAGCACATGGAGAGGTTTAGCATGGAGAACGATTACACCGACGGCCAGTGGGTCGGTGGAGAGTATTTCTATCGGAAGCGGAAAGAGAAGCATAACCAGACGAAGGAAGAGGCGTTGTATGGAGTCTTTGAGGAGAGCGATTCCGATGAGGATTCTTCCAAAAGAAGACGGCGTGGGGATTTGATGAAGAAGAGTGATTTGACGAAACCTGTAGCGTTCGTGTCGACTGGGATCGTGCAGCCCGCGGAGGAGGCCGAGAAGGTCGCAGCAGATGACGAAGAAGCGCAGGCGGAGAGGCCGGGATTAGGTTCAGGATCATCGGGGTTCAAGGCTGCCATGGCGAGGAATGATGAGGACGAGGATCAAGATCTTCTGCCCACTGCATTCGGTCGCCAAATTCTCGAGGCCGCCGAGAGGAGACAGAGACAGAAGGAGAAGGCTCAAATTTCAGCATCCACGAGCAAAGCTTCGGAGCATGGCATTTCTGGAGGTCCTGAGGTGGGCACATTTGAGAAGCACACGAAGGGAATAGGGTTGAAATTGCTGGAGAAGATGGGGTACAAAGGAGGTGGGCTGGGTAAAAACCAGCAGGGAATTGCGGCCCCAATCGAGGCCAAGCTTCGACCTGTGAAGATGGGAATGGGGTTTAACGATTTCAGGGAGACGAGCACTGGCTTGCCACCTGCTCCCGGGGGCACGGGTGCCCAGGAGATGGTCAAAGAAGTGAAAGAGAAGCCCAAAGAGAAGCTATGGCACGTGAGGAACCGAAACAAGAAAAATAAGGATTATGTTACGGCATCGGAGCTCCTCTCACAAAAGCAGGGAGTGGAGACAGTGCAAACTGTGCTGGATATGAGAGGGCCTCAGGTGCGGGTTTTAACAAATTTAGAGAGCTTGAATGCAGAGAATGTTGCCAAGGAGGAGAATAGACCTATGCCTGAGCTGCAGCACAATATCCGCCTCATAGTAGATTTAGCTGAAGCAGAAATTCAAGTGTGTGACAGGAAGCTGGCACACGAAAGAGATTCCATAGTGATCCTGAAGAAAGAAACAGAACGGTTGCAGATTGAGGTGGCTACTCAGAAACAACAAATAGATGTCATCGAAACCATCATGGGTTCAATACAAAAGTTGCAGGAGAAGATTGCCGCTGGTGGGATGAGTCTCGAGTCCATGGCTGGTTCGTTCGCTACTCTGCAGGCAAGGCATAGGGAAGATTACAAAGTTTATGACGTAGGGATAATTGCTCTGTCATACGTGCTGCCCTCCTTGGTGTCTCTGTTCCGTGGTTGGGAACCACTTCAACATCCGCGTCATGGCATTGAGATTATGAGCGCATGGCAAGGTCTCCTGCAGGGCGATGAACCAAAGGATTACTCTGTTTTTCCGGATACAGAATCTGCATACGGAGGTACTTCTTCACCTTACACTCAACTAGTGATGGAGGCTGTCATGCCTGCGGTCCGCACAGCAACTACGAATTTTTGGGAACCACGGGATCCGGAGCCGATGTTGAGGTTTCTCGAAGCATGGGATAAGCTGTTACCTTCTGGAATCCTGCAAAACATCTTGGAACAGCTGGTCATGCCGAAATTGTCAGTAGCTGTAGATATGTGGGATCCTCGTCAAGAAACAGTACCCATACACGCCTGGCTTCATCCATGGCTTCCGCTTCTCGGTTCACGTATGGAGGGTCTGTATCTGCCCATAAGATACAAGCTTACCACTGCTCTCCAGGCCTGGCACCCGAGTGATACGTCAGCTTACTCCTTGCTGTCCCCATGGCAGGCTGTTTTTGATGCTGGCAGTTGGGAGCAGCTGCTAGTCCGGTCGATTATGCCGAAGCTCATGTATGCACTTCAAGAGTTAGTCGTGAATCCTGCCCATCAGCAGCTAGAAGAATTCAATTGGGTTATGGCTTGGGCCACAGCCTTGCCAGCCCATCACATGGCCGGAATGTTGGAATCCGGCTTCTTCCCAAAGTGGCAGCAGGTGTTATATCACTGGCTGTGTTCAAATCCCAACTTCGATGAGGTTACTCAATGGTACTTGGGCTGGAAATCGTTGTTCCCCGCGGAGCTGCTTGCAAATGAGAGGATACGGAGGCAGCTGAATGTGGCACTGGACATGATGAACCAGGCCGTCGAGGGAGCTCCGGTTGTCCAGCCAGGTGCGAGAGAGAACGTAAGCTACCTACGAGTCACAGAGCAGCGCCATTTCGAGTTTCAGCAACAAGCGGCCTTCACCAAACAACAACAGCAACATGCGGCGTCCACCTATGGAGTCGACAGCTTTGGAACAGAAAATATCAGTCTGAAGGAGATTGTGGAGGGATTTGCTCAAGATAACGACATCCAGTTCGTTCCGAAGCTTGGGCGTGTACATGAGGGTTTACAGGTATACGCATTTGGTGCGGTTAGTGTATGCGTCGATACTGCCAAGCAGAAGCTGGTTGCTCAGACAGGAGACACATGGGTGTCTGTTTCCTTGGATCAGCTTCTGGAAATGAACCGCAGTCGAAGCGGAAGGCGGTGGAAGTAAGTCTTTTGATCTGAACCTGGATGCATGAGAAGCTCTGCGTCTGCAATCGCTCGTGACAAGAAACTTGGGAAACATGTTCAAGGAGCAGTTTGTTTTTCGAGAACGTCTTTGAAGAATCGATGCAGAGCTCGCAAACGTCGATGCACAAAGTCCATCGACCTTTGCTGGGGAGTTCCTTCGTCCGCGGGAAACTGCGCATGGCAGCTGTCGAACACTCGTTGATACCTGAGTACTCGACAGACCGTGGAATGAAGAAGTGAGTTTCGTTGGTTTTGGCGCTCTGCCTTCTACCTCTCCACCTGGTTAAATCGATGGCAGACGTGCCGATGGAAGGTACACGCCGAAGTCAAGCCAGAAGCGTACTGGTGTTTGGAGCGCTCAATACGTAAGACACTCTTTTCTGCAACAATCCGTGGTACAAAGCACCTGATGTGGATGCGGGTCTATATTAATACTTGCAACTTGCAAGCTTGTAGTCTTGGGTGTCACAGGTCAATACTCTCATAGATTATTTCTTCACCCTATCTAGTAAGCTAGCGGTAGCCAGGCCTTCAGTTTTGGAAATACATGTCTCATGCCATTGTAGAAGTCGTTTAGAAAGCTTTCTTGGTGAACTGCTGAGATATTATGGGCAGCAACTGTTTACGATAGATGACTGATGAATTGAGACTATGCCTGTTGATTAGGAACTCAAATTTTTTTTCGTTGTTTTGGCAAATGGTTTGTGTTGGATTGAAAGGATTGAACAAGAGAAGGAAAATATATTTTTTTATCTGCAGTGATGCTTTACTTAATCTCTTGTTTGATGAATGCAGAGTATCAGGATTCGCCAGGTGAATTTCAGCTTCTTGATCTCTTATGATGAAGCTCATGATCCGCGTGAAGCATCGTTCTGGAGTATTGAAGACACCTGCTTCTACAAACAAGAGGTGAAGGGATGATGGATAAATCAATTTATTGCCTTTCAAGGACCTGTACATGGAATCAGATTGCGAGGATTCAAAAATCTCCTCTGGCGCCAGAGGAGATTTTTGGCATACATTGCCGTTGATCATGATTTGGAACAGGGGTCAGTATATAAACTGACGAGAGGAACCTCATCCCTCCATCAATGGGCCTAGCTGGTAGTATATGTCGAAGATTTGGCGTCGTTTATGGACCCTTCTGAATCAGGGGTCTGCCGATCTTGTTCTTCTGTAGTTCGTAGTTCGCAGAATCGCAGAAAAGAACCTTAAAGTTTTTCTGTACAGAAGTGGAGAACTTTGAACTGAAGCTTCTCAACCTCTAGCCGAGATCGTACTCACTTCTGAGAGATGACAACAAGCTTAAGGTTTGCTGACTTCTCAAGTTCAAAGTGAAGTCTGTGAACAGGAAACTTTTTTAAATATCTGAGCCACCACCGGTTCCATTCCTGATCTATTCCAGGATAAATCTCCATGTTCGAGGAAAGCATTCGTCGAGTCCCAAGATTATTCGACTCTTGTAAAGAGTACCAATCTTCTCCTTGAACCTGTAGCAGTCCTCTCCGTAAGAAGTATTTGTGTACGCTTACTTGGGGGTGCAATCCATCATATCTTTATAACTTCAGTGTTTATCCACGTTGCGTCTACTGTTTTCAGTAGACATAACCTGGATTGTATTGAAGTTACACTGGCCAAACCATATCTAGTGAGTAAAGCTTAGCTGAATCTCACGTTCCAATCCCTGCACTTCCCACCTAGTTCTAGAGTTGTAGACTTTTCCAAGTAACTGTTTCCAAGATAGGGAGTATGGATGTTACAAAAACTTGATTTGGCAATACATATAGATTGACTGCAGGTGCACTCTGCCCCTGCCGGGTTAATCATTGAAACGTGAAATGATGCAACGAATCGCAAATTCTGGAAACTTGTCTTTTCTTCACCCACAACGCTCCACAACAAAAGCCAGCCGCATTTGAATATCATTGTACTACGAGTTTGACAATTCGCATCACTCTCAAGGATACAGAGTCGTTCTTCATTTGGATCCACCGCCTCCGCATCTAAATGGTGCAGGGAAGAATTCCAGCATCTGCGATGAAGCACCTCAACTTACACGAACACTTATCGAAACCACAGCATACGCAAGAATCAAGAGGGTTTAGGCATAGCCGGAGAGGCTTGCCCAAAGTTTAGAATCGAAACCACTGCACATGCAAGAATCAAGAAGGTTTAGGCATAGTCGGAGAGGCTTGCCCAAAGTTTAGAAATTCACTATAGTACTGCTAAGTGGCAGATGTAGCGACAACCAGTAATCTCACGCTGGGATGTCAGCCGAAGACCTACTGGGGCCTAAATAGACGTATCCTATACATCTATGTAATAACTTCCAAAAACCAATTTCCTGCGCGCCATTCATTAAATATTGACATGAACGGCCAAAGCAGGTAGGAGACATGGCGCCGCTCCAAATGCAGTCAAACCCGTGGTTAATAGTACAATTTTAGAATACTGTTACAATGGGGGCAGAGTTGAAACCCCAGAGCCAGAGACATGGTAAAAGGAGCGAACCAGGTACATGGAAATTTCATTCTGTTTTTTAATTTATATGAACCTTGTTAACGCAAGTCATTGCAAACTGCAGTTGTGACTCATGTTCAGAGCACGAGGGAACAATCGTTGGTCGTCGAAAGAGTGAATCCTGGCGTATAGTTGGGACTTGACAGCTACTGTCGTAGGCCTGGGCAGAGATGGAACTCGAAACTATACAAACTGTTCTACCTGATGCTTCTGTCAGATGAGACAAGCGATCAGTCAATAACGACTCTGGTGTGTTAGCACGACGTTTGGAACAAATGTCATCCGAGACCCAACCGTCAGCCCTGGAATCCGTAAACCACTCAGGTGCGATCAGTCGCCATAATGATCACATGGGTCAGAATTTGAAGGAATAGTGAGAGGCCCATGTGTGCAGAGTAACGCTCGGAGTGGAGGTTACAGCATCTGGGAGGTTTGCTCGGGGTTCCCTCGGGGAAAGGTGTTCACTGTATTCGGAACATGGCGATCGGTTAAAGTAGTTGGGAGTCACTCGAAACGGTGACTTACATGGAGAAATTACTGATTGTGCCCTTTGTAGTATAGAGGTCGATGACAGTTTGGAAGTCGAGTCAACACTTGGGTGGTAAAAACTTTGTGTGGACTGCAAGTTCCTACTTATCTGCATTGGATTCAGTCTTCGAGATCCTGTGGGGTACCAGACATCTGAGACGGAATATGTGCTTGGATAGAAAAAGCTCAACGCCTTTGTATTACAAAATTTGGTGTGACAGATTGTTTTCATTTTTCTGGCATGACTCTTGGCACGACAACATGTCCGAACAGGAGTTGCTGAGCTGTTCGATCACAGCAGCCCGTGCACAGTCTACGCCCTTTGCATCTGACCGGAAGCTACACTACTAGGCGACACCACGGGGAAGATCTGCACTGCCCAGTGGAGATCTTCCTGCTTGAGAAATGATGCCCCGCTGATACTCTCATATTTGTCACGTTTATGCTTCATGTGTGGCCTTCCTACTCCTCTTTACAAGGGCTTCATGGCTACTGAAACCAGGAAGAAGTAAGCCTCCAAAATTCCTCACCATCATTCGGTCCTGATGGTAAACAACTACCTCCAGTGAGCAGCGCTGCCTGTAAAACTCCAGCGCATGAGTGAGCGCTGCGTGCTCAATTTTCAGCTCATCGACTCGCCGAGGACCTTGGTCCAGCTCAGTGCTCGTTCGATGACGAGCGACTTTATGCAGGGCTGTTGCAGCCACATCGTGCAATATTCCGTGAGAGCTTCGCTCGTCGTGTCCAGCCCCAAAGCGTCGACGATCTGCTTCTGCCAGAGTGCACACTCGCATGTGGTTAACGACGCTCTTCAAACATCATCGGGCAAGCTAGCTCGGTCAGAGATCCATCCTCCCGACCGAAATGTGGTCTCGGGCTGAGCTGACGTGACGGGACGGGACGTGCCGTCATTAAGGGACGAGGCAGACAAAAGCCCCAACTCTGAAATCCTGCCTACCAACCGACGGATCTCATCGACACGATCGGCACTCGAGCCCTGCAGCATCAGATTTGTTGTACTCCGACTAAAAGTGGAATGCACAAATATCTGAAAGCACGGATCTGCACGGACCGTGTCCGATCCGTGTCAGGTGAACTCGGTTCTACGGACTGAGCAGAGGGAGAGTGAGTGAGCAGAATCATTGCGCTTCAAATAATTCAAACCTGCATATGATAGTCCTCTTCGAGCATTTTGTAGATGAGGGCCATCATGGAGGAATATTCGGCGAACGAAATTCGGCCTTGGTTCGCATCCCGCGTCTGCAGAGCCCCGAATCATCATCGTTAGCATGGTACGATGACATTGCCCACTTTCCTAGCGACGCAACCCGAGCTTCATTCCACATTCACTCACTCACCGCCTGGTCAGCTGCCAAGCCGCCTTCAATGCCAGTCGAGAGGTTGAATCTCTCCAGTTGCATCGTGACCTCCTGTTCAGAATGGTCTTTGATGGCATCCTTCGAAATTCCAACAAGATAATTCAAGACATCGTGCGCTGAGGAAGGGATGTAAACAAGCCAACTTTGAGATTATTATGGAACACGAGGACGCAAAACCACAGAATCGTCAGCGCTCTCTGGGAATGGAATAAAATGCAGCTCGACCCAAGACGGAATGGATTATTTGAACCCTAATAAATTGAGCTCTCGCCAGTCTCGCATTGCAGCAAATGCATCAATCGAGCTCAGTGATGGTGCTCGCAAGTCGACACGTACCTTCCTTCAGGTACGAGCACAATCTGGCGATTGCAGAGTCCACTGCGCATCGTCACCTTGTAAGAAAACAGAGCCCACCGTCAGACGAGAAGTTCATGCCGAATGGCCGAATGGCCGTCACCTCACCTCACCTCACAACAAGGTGCCCACCCACCCACCGGGAAAGTGCCTCTCATGCCAACCTCTCTCTTCACAGTCGCTTACACTTGGCATCCAGAGCTTTGGACGTGTTCTCGAGCCAACTACCGGGGCCGAGGAAATCCGACAGTCGTTGACTGTGCGCAGCCGCCGCCACTCGGGCGATATATTCTGCCTCCTCCGACTTCGCCCTCCGGTATGCCTCTAAACAATTAATTGCTCGGAATCAGACGACGATACACACAACAGCTCGAGTCGAGATGAGATGAGAGTCAAAGCAAATTTGAAGGTCATGAATATTTTATTTATTCGACTGGAGGATTGCAGAAATCATGACAATTCGGGTCGTCGAGCCCGCTTCTTCTACACCTCTCCCAAAATACTCACCGAGGTTTTTCCCATACTCCACGAGAATCTGCTCGCCGAGCTTGTGCAAGCCGTTCAAGTAAAGCACCCTGCAGACACACAGAAAATCCCCGTCTCAGAAATCTCATCCAATCCGCACCACCGAGTGCAAATCTGCGCACCAACAACAGAGCAAACACACGACAAGACATCTCGTCCGACGTTCTGCGGACAGCAGCGCAGAGCAGAGCAGATGAGAGCGAGGCAATTCGAGACACGGCATGAATGGCAGCGGCAGCTCACCAATCCATGAAGAGTTTGAACGATTCCTCAATCGCGGCCATCCTTCGATCGCTCGATTGATCACTCACTCGCACCTCCACCGCAATCGCCACCGCAGATGCCACTCACTCACCCAGCCACCCAGCCACACTGGACCCCTGCTCGATTCGAATTGCAAATTCGGCAGCAGGTCCTCGCCGCTTATCTCTTGCACCTCGCACCTCGCGTTCGTGCGTGCGTGCATGCGTGCCTCCCTGCCCGAGCCGTAAACCGCAGCAGCAGCCGTAATATTAGTAGGCGAGAGAGAGAGAGAGGAGACAAGGGGATGCGAGTGCTGCTGGATTGGACTCGACTTCTACAGCAGGCTGCAGTTCAGGGCAGTGCAGAGCAGAGCAGAGCAGCCGATGCTGCTGCTGCTGCTGCTGCTGATGATGATGTCGTTGTCGTCGGTTGCTGCTGCTGCTGCTGCTGGACCTCGGACGCGTCTATCATCAGTCGAGAAGGGCACCTCGAGAATCGAACTGGACTCGGGCTTGGGCTCTCGGGCTCGGGCTCGGGCTCGGGCGACGAATGGTCGGCTCGAGCTCACTCACTCGCGCACTGACAATAATTCGGCCTGCGATTCGCATTCCGGCCGGACATGAAAGTCCGTTTGTGCTTGCCACGACGACAGTGACGATGACGCTGGCCTTCGCCATTCCCCCATTCCCTTTCTCTTTGCCTTTGCCTCTGCCTTGGCCGCACGGGTGCCCACACGCTCCTCCTCTCCCTTTTTAATTTTCCCCCTCGCCATCGCCATGCCCTGCTTTCGTGACCCCAGCTGACCCAGCAGCAAGCTTGGTGTGTGCTTTTGCCCAGCCCATACTGTATCCCCATTATCCCAATTATACTTTATGTGTATTGAATGAAAATTGGCGTTCACTTCAAGGATATTATGCAAATTATGCTTTTCGATGTGTTTCATAGATTTCCATTATCCCAATTATACTTTATGTTTATGGCATGAAAATTGGCGTTCATCTTCATGAATAACAGTTTATAATTATTATACTTTTCGATATGTTTCATAGATATCCATTATCCCAATTACACATTATGTGTATGGCATGAAAATTGGCGTTCACTTCATGGATATTATGCAAATTATACTTTTCAATATGTTTCATAGATTTCCATTATCCCAATTATACATTATGATGTGTATGGCATGAAAATTGGCATTCATCTTCATGGATATTATGAAAATTATACTTTTCGATATGTTTCACATATTTTTCTTCGCATGGTGTTTTTGGCAGTTCGGAAATTCATCTTTGTTACACACGGGTGATTTGTGTGTGCCCGTTCTTGATATATGAATCTTAGACCTTGCATGGCTGACTTCCAACTTGCGTCAATGTCTCCTATGTAAATCATTTCCACTTAAGCTTTTGTCCGTCCACTGCTATAAACTCGTTGGAAGTTCAAATTATATCTATATTTTAATTGAGACATCATGTTTGTTGTGAAAGAAGAGAATAGGTTATAGAGATATTTTATTGAGAATAGCTAATCATGATATAGATTGACATTTGATGTTTGGTATAGCAAACAAAATATTGGTATGCATGGTTAAAGATTCATGTTCGGAAGCGTCTTGGTTTAAGAACATCAAGTCATGTCTCATATATTACCGTTTGGAATCCACATAATATATTTATATACACCATGATGCCCACGTACACTTGTATATGTTAACACCTGTTTGGTTCATGGAGCTAAAGTTGTTTCCATCCTAAAATTTATGATATTTTATATATTGTGTATTCATTGGTTAACAAAAAGTAATCGCTGGTAGATCATAAGGAGATAAATCACTTTAGAAAACGATTCGTTTGATATATTATTACATTTTTAGTGTTTGTGGTGTAGAATTTATATGACATATTTTCATGGTGATGTTATTTGTACCCAGTCCCATCCTACCCTTTGGTTCCATCCATGTGTATAATTGATAGATTATTCCCATCCAAATATTCCTGGTTCCCATTTCTCTGTGTCACAACATCAGAGGAGGTTATCGTCGTGATGCTCATATTTTTGTAGTTCCTCGTGACGGGACGATATAATAAAGAAATAAATAAAAAGCGTTGAGAAAAGGCCCAGAGTGAGAAAGGCGTAATGTGTAGCACTCACTCACAATCGACGACCGTCTGATGTACAATCGGTTAAGGAAACTGTTTTCACGACGTAATACATCGTCACCATAATTGGCGAAAAAGCGCGTCCCATGGCTGTACGAACTTGTGTATGCTTCTCGCTGCTCTCACTTTTCTGAGGCTTCAATTTCGAGGACTTTCTCTCCATATTTCCCTTTTTCCAGCAGCATTGGAATAATGTCCATTCAGAATCCGAGTGTGCTCCTCGGTCATCCATACCTCACCACATTACGAATTGGCATCACATTTCGTGTCATGACACTGATTACACTGGATCTTTGAGCTCGAGCTCAAATCCTAGGAGCCGCTTGGACTTGAATCTAGCAGACACGAGCCGGGGATAAGCTCATCACAGCAGCAGGTGTAAGCTGATGACGCACTCTGGCACCAGAGTAGTACTTGGACTCATGTTTTCCGCGTTCATGGAAGAGCTGTGCAAACCACTAGGCCTTCAACCACTAGACAGGTTGACACTGGTCGGCTCGTCTTCCATTACTGGAGGCTGGCTCGAGACTGCACAACAGTTGGAACTTGTCACTCTGTATATGGGTTCCAGATCATGATACCATCACCTCAGCTGCCTTGAAGAAGAGTGGTTCCGTTGAGAGCCATATTCCACCCACCCCTCCCTCTCCCCATCTCATTGCCTGCTAATCTTATTGCCAAGGGGTGAATTCTCCTTGGCACCAAAGCAGTGGTAAAAATTCAAGGCTCGCCTCACGATTGATAACCAAATGTAGCATAGATAGAAGCATCATTTGATGATTCTATCTTCTAAGTTTTGGCTTGTGTCAGCTGGAGGGATTGCAGATTATCATAGTATTTATCATAGTACTTAGCGTCTCTGGAAAGAAGACAAGCATTTGTGAGGATGATGTTTCATAGGTGTAACCTTGATGCAAGTGCCTTATGACCTTACTTTGATATGGTTGAGTTATCTCCATCGACTATTGATTTCCATTATACTCTTAAAGTAACCAAGTAAATAGGAAAGTGTGTGGGCAGATCCCATCAAGACGTACAAGGATCAAATAATGCATGTAGCTAGGGGTTAGGCAGCAAATTATCACAATGGAAAGTACATGCTACATCCGAGTTATCCAGTTCAACTCAAGTACAAAAGGACACAAGAATGTGTACAAGCATCAAATTGCTCTCATGTATGATACTATCTAATAATATTCGTAAAGCAATGAAAACCTCTCTTGTTTATACCCTTACCTAACAATCTTGGACGGGTTTAGCTGCACAAACTTATACATAGCCCCTATATAGAGCCTTCATAGACCCAGGCAGGTGTCATCCTGCAGTGACCCGTGACGGAAGTTCTTCTTTTCGCTGCGACTCTCCTCTTTTGGACCAAAGATGGAAGATTGTGCGGGCAGGCTAACCGGGCAGGTTTTTCATTCGCACTCAATTTTCCGGTGGAGCATCAAAGTGATTGAATTAGATCGCTCTGCTTTCCGGCAGACAGATCTAACGATGGACTATAAGAACACTTTGCGGGGAGGGTCGGCGGACCCGACAACCATGTAGATGGGATGCCCTCAACCGGAATGAATGACTCATCTGAAAATGGCAGGAAAGGGCAAACTATCTTCCTCGGTATACTGGTATAGAACAAATTTATGCACTGAAGAGAACGATATTTGATTCGACTCCAGCAACATCAAGACCGGCTGATGGTCAAACCAAAGCAACTCGCATGTACAAGAGACGATTCTTGAAGTGTTGTACTTAAAGCTACAAAAGAAAAAACGCACTTGAGATTCTTGGTTAAGTCCGTAACACTCATGATCAGTAAGTCATGAATTGAGGGTATCTTCTGTAAGAAGATTTTCATTACCAAGAAGAACTTGCAAAGCCCATAATTTATGAGCATACGAGGAGTTTGTAGAACTGGTTATTTGAGAGGTCAAAAGTTTGGACCTCAGATGGATCAGATCATTCCGAGTGAAATTTACAGCAGAAAAAATATGAGATTCATGCCCTACACGTATTACTGGGCTAGTCACACTCTGTCTAGAAAACTGGTAATAAGGAGGCGTGCAGAATTTAATATCTTGACGGATCATCTCTATCTGGTTACATTCATTTCAATTTCAGTATGATCTACAGCAGAGTATTAATTATGTCACAGGTAAAGTCCAACATTACGGTACATGGAGACCTGACAACAACGTTCCAAATCTGATTAAAATTTTTCTTCTTTGATAATCTTCGAGGGCTCTTGCTCAATTTCTGAACGAAAGGGAGATATGTCGATGAACCAGACTCTTAATAAAAGGATGCCTGAGACGTGCTTGAGCTTAGTCTATTCTTATGTATGGATATAAGAGAGAGTGACAATCTTTTAAGTTCCTGACACTTTTTCTGATCTATGGTAACATTTATACAAACTGTACCCGTTGATATGAACCTGCTATGACCTAAAGACCATAGACTCCTCGCCCTGGCTGAGCAAGTGCTACTTCACGTCTCTCAAGAGTATAGATCATCTATTAAATTCCACAGTACCGAGTGTTGAATCTAAACTATTGATTCCAATTTCGGGTATATGAGCGTTTCAAGCGTACACAGAATCGGATGTAATAAGTTCAGATATTTACCTGGACCTCATATGGGCAACAGATCTTGCTCCTTTAAATGAATGGAGGGTAAATACATTTCCTTCACACAACGAATGAGAGAAGAGCACCTACAAGTGATATGAAAATGTGACATATTAAGGAGTTTTACCAAGCTATGCATGTTTCCTTTGTCAGTTGTCAGGTTCAGTGATCAAGTTACATTGCGATACAAAGCAGAATCGCAATCGAAGTTTGATCCAAATCTATGAAAAAATTCAAACATCAATTAAAATTGGTCGGAACATACAGTAAGTTTCTTCATCCGACAGCAATTAATACAAAATGAGCTATATGTTTCACAATTACATCTCACATCTCTGCGTTTATAAACACACAGAAATAGGCGGGGGATATTGTTTGAACAAGAAATGACTTTTTATGGAGAAGGTAGTCCCGATTCCTTTTCTTTGTATCTCTTATCATTGAACTAGATTTGTTGAGTATGTTTCTCTCCCTTTCATGTGACCCTATATTTTTGCTTTCGACCTGTGTGCCACCATGTAGATTGACTATCTCCTAACTTACAGCTTCCATGAACCAAACTGGTACTAAAAACCACGCTGACATCTCACAATACAAAAAGATTCAAAATTAGCCTCCAAGGCTTCAAATTCATAATTCAAATAAGTCTGAGACGGTAGAAAAATCCGAGTGTACAGAAAAGTTAATGTGTAGTGCACGATGTAGCTCTATTCCAATTTTGTTTTGATACAAAAACTCTAAAGCTGCGAACTGTCAACTGAAAGCACAGTCAAACTTCCAGAAAGTGATGAGTGCGTCCTAAAGCCACTACATACATGATCTGCAAAACTTTTGCTACAGCTCATCATCCTCAGTCGACTGAGGATGACTTTGTGGAATATAAACAGCATAAATTGGAGATGTTCTCTCTCATTTGCAATTGCAAGGGTTGCATGAGGACTTGTCATCGCACTTGCATCCTTCGTTGGCACCATAAAAGCTGTATCAGAAAAAGCAAAATTATAATCAGATACTGATCTACCGTCCCAGAATCCAAGAACGGTGATTTTATAAATATGTTAAGGATAACCATACGTTAAGGATCCAGTTCAGACTGACATCAGCAGATTTCGAGTTCCAGAATGAAGCAACTACACTACCATGGTTACTGAAGCAAAAGCATAGCGATCTAAAACACCGATTCAAAATACATATAATTATCCGCCTCCTCTTCGAAAGTAGGACAAGTACACCAACTACAAGGAAGAAATGAGGAGAAAAAACCCCATACCACTTCTTTTGAGCCACATTGGAGCCTATCTAGGTAGAGTGGGAAAAAAAACAAGTATGAAAATTGCCATTTAAGACTTTTGTAAGTGAAACTAACCAGTATCGAAGTCCACGTACGACTTTCAACTCATCGCCATATGTTAGCACGTCGTGTCCTCTCACCAGGTGGCTTTCTCTTGACGCTTACATCCATGTTACCATCTGAAGAACGAGTTCTCCTATCTGTAATAACAGCAACCCAATCGCAGATATTATCATTTTGATACAACATATTTCAGTTAAAATTAAAGCTCAAAGAAAATGCTTGGGAACAATCTTACTTGCACGTTTCCCGCCGCGATCACGTTCTGGTCCTTTGCTAAGATCCTTAACAAGAGACATCGCTGTTGCAAACAGTTCAACTTTATTCCACCACTTGTTGGTAGCAACAGCCCATTTTACCGACCCTTTGTTTTCAAGTGTGTTGACACGGATCTTATATGAGGCGTCTGCCATATAAAGTTCGTCTGCCGTATACTTCGCTCCCCACTCCAAGAAAAGATTTCGTTTTTTTGCATCCATCCTCTTGACTTCAACCTTCGCTCCCCACTTTTCAACTTCCTGTGATATATGTACAGACATAAAAAATGGATGTATGAGCTCTACGGAACCATACATCTCTGATTCATCAAGAGCTGACTTTGAAATCTCACCCTGAAAAAAATAACAAGCACAATACTCTTAGATCATATCCAAACTGCAATATCTGTAATTGTAACATAAACATTACAAATTGGAAAATCTTTACGTCAGGAGTAAGAATGTCTGACCTTTGTCCGAGCCGTCTCTTCATCTTGGATGACATCCAAGTCTGCCATGCGCTTCATTCAACCTCTCAGAACGGTTCCTCCAAGATCAAGTTTAGCTTTCCAGCCCGTTGGACTATAGAGATAATCCAAAAATTTCAAGATTATTCGTTCATTACATTCCAAAGATGGATTCCAGTTGGATTGTTCAATCCAACTGTACTTACCACAGAATACTATCCATTCTTTTGCCTCAGCTTTCAAATCGCTGCAACTATCATCTGCACTCAAGATTGCCACAAAATCTTCCATGGCTTTAACTTCGTCAATGTCAATCTCTGACTTCTTCATACCTCGCCGTTGACTGCTCTTTCTGTTTTTGGCGTGCTCTCCCTTCACCCACTCTTGAATAGAATCTACAAACTGTGCCTTTCTCCTACATGGATCCAGTAGTTCGTCAAGATGATCAAAGACAAAATTTGAAAACTCTGGAATTCTCAACATGTTCCAACCTGGAAGGAAATTCTTGCATACGAGTCTCATGGCCCTCAAAATCACTGGAGGTTCCTCCAATTCTCCTATATCCTCTCCCGTCATTAGAGAATATATCTTTTGGTCGAAATACCCCTTAATAATCTAGACACACAACTCAAACTGTCAATTCTGCAACATATATACGGTTATTGCAATCTGAACATAATAAATCTCAAATTATTTGTGGAAGTCTACTTGAATTCAATTTGAAATAAACAATGCAAATAGAAAAAAAAAACTTGCCAAAAAAAGAATTGCATACCTCGCCTCGAAAGAAGTCCAACTTATCTTGCTTGTGCTTGATCCAACGTTGACAGAAATTACCAAAATGCTTGTCACAAGAGTCAATCAACTCTTTCTTGTCAGCCTTCCTGGAAACTCCCGTCGAAAATGCTTGACAACAAGACCAAAGAACTACCTTCATCTCAGATCTCTGTCTATGCAGCGATTCTTCAAGAACTACCTCTAAACCTCAGTAGTTGGTTACACTCTGTAATATTTACTCCGCACAAAGTTTGAGCCCCGTCATTCATGAGCAGAAGGCCTATGAGAAGTCTATGAGAAGCAGAGGGCTCTATTCTGAACTTCATTAAGGGAACGGCATAAGAGTACAGAATAAGAATTTAATTACGCATTGGTTCAAGAACATACTGGGATTGGAGCGTCGATTACGATTGAAAGCGTATCTCTGTGAATGGGACACAAGCACACCAGTTCTTGTCAGATATGGAGTAACGGAGAGAACATGGAGATAATAAGTCTTGCAGTCTAATAATCTGCTCGTGACCTAGTCTAATTTCGGGTAGGGAAATATACTCACAAACTCGTGATCGTTGTGTTCAATCGGCCATACGGTTTATTTTATAGGTCCTTAACTCGTCTCCTGCGCCTGCATTTCCCTGTATATTGTCCTCAAAATTGTTACTCATGTGAACCATGTGAACTAAGTAGAGCACAGCACCGGACTTACCTTTAGACCTGACGAAGCAGCGAAAGAGGAAGATGTGGAGCGCTCCAACCTTGTCCTGGAATACGCATGGAAACCCTGTACATGGCAACGAAGACATAAGTCTCGTTGAAATTCTACAAAGAACTGACTTTGATCCGTTAACCTCGTCAGGCTAATGGCAGTCAGAAATGCAATTGGTCCTTTCATATCGATTGCTGTGTTGTAAAGGACAGACGAAACCATTGGATGGAGTACTGGTTTACCACTTGCTTCGGTGGCAAATAGTCACACTTCAAACCCAAAGAAACGTTTGAACTGTGACCCACCTGCAAAAGCTCGGGCTGTCCACCGCCTTCCAACCCTTGCAACACAAATCGACACAATAGAACGATTCCCTGATTTGTGAAGTCCTGCGAAACATGAAAAGCACTTTCACACGTTTTTTAAGGGAAAGAGCAGAGAAGAGAACAAAGAAAAACCAAAAAGCTTGAAATTCGACCGTGAGCATGAAAGAGCTTTACACTAAACGACTGACACTACACTACTAAATGACCGACACTAAACGCGCTTTACAATTACATCCACGTATTAATATGTTCATGATATCGAAATCGAACTGAACTTTCTCACTCACTTTCTCTCGTAAAGGCACCTGATGTTCCTTTCTCACTCGTAAGGCGACCGAGAGGAGAGCTGAGAGGTAACCAAACCTTATGCAACTTGCGCCTTGCAGGCGCTCGACAGGCTAATCGACATTTTTCTCATTTAAAACCTAAAAAAAAAAGAGTCATGGATTCAAATTCATGGGTTTATATTAGCTTCATGAGTTTCATAGTCAAATCTACGATTTCAGTCCTAGCTTTACATACATGGTAGTTTTGAAAAAATATCCTATTCTCAAAATAGGATATTATTTCTAGGATATTATATCATACTTGTCAAAATAGGTCCGATTGCCAAAATATTAACAACTTCTTTATCATCTGAAATATCATCAATTGTGATTCCATACCCACCTTTGTCTTTAAAAAATGTTTTACTTACTTTTGCCGGAATTGAAGCATATGAGATGAATATACACAATACAGTCTAATAATGAACATCAAAGTTTTAAGATCGTAACAGATACAACCATGACAAGTATCGAATGAATTTATCTCCAACCTCAACATATTGGCAATACAACATGTGGGATTTTACTGTGTACGTGACTTTTTTTTCAAAAAAGTTTGTATTTTTTGAAAGATGCAACGAATGAATGTCATCGCTACTTACGTGCAATGCTCTGAACTTCATCATAACAAGTGTACCCAAAAATTCTATGGTCCAGTCTAATAGACTATACCGGTCAGTCATTGAATATAGAGGTGAAGTGCATGTTCAAATATGGATAGGATTAATTCCTCAACTTCAAACAGGAGTTTTTTTTCCCATTATTTAAGTAAATCTATATGCAATGAACAAGTAAAGTTCTGAGGGTCAATATTCAAGCAAGATCACACATTCTAAGCTCAAGTCTTGCAAGATCTAACTGGTGCTGTAAGTTACTTCTCATCCTTGCACATTTCACTGCCTCCAGCTCCTGGAATTCCAAAGACTTTTGACTAAAGAATATCAAGCTGTCACATCCAAGCTGATGGCGCATCTTCTTGCAATCCAACAAGCTCCAACAAGAAAGACCTTACATAGAGACGTCTCTTCCAGCACACCTTTAATATAACTTGAGTAGCACTCAGATACATTCATTAATATATCAAAAGTTGGATCTCAATAATATCAAAATACGCAGAATCAAGTTTCTTAATTTTGAAACGTCATCTTAGTAACATTGACTGTCATCATTGAACAAATAATTTGTGTACCGTGAGTTCATGGTAAATTTCCAAACTGTAATCAGCGCATGCAAATCAGCTAAATGTGGAATTGGACAAAATGGTTTCATTTTACTATGAAATTGAAACAACATTCATGCATCACAAGCAAACAACTTAGGGAGAAAGAGTCAAGTCGATCGTCTCTCCTAGAATTCTAGCTTGTTCCTCTTTGCGTTTTTCTCTATTTGCACTTGCCTGAAGGAATTGCTTGATCAGACTTCGAGTTCTTTTGGTCTTCTGCCTGCCCTTTCGAAGTCTGAGCTGTAAAGCTCCTTCTTCTACCTTTCCTAAATCTGCGGTAGGGGCTCTAAATCTTTCTCCTGTTTCAAGTAATCTCTGTGGCTTAGGACATTTAATGCCTGCTAATTTTTCAAGCCAACTCAATTTCCTGAATGATGAGCTAGGCTTATCTAGCATGGATGTACGCCACATGTCTGCAACAGGAAGTATTCTACCAGTACTCCATGCTTGGTGAGACTCCTTGATACGTCCAATGCAATGCCGGAGCTCTAGCTCTCCCACTTTCAGCATACTAGGATTTTTATCAAAAAAGTCCTTCAGCCATACCAATTGAGTATGAAGAACACGCTTGGTCTTTCCTTCCTCCTCCAGAAGGAAGGAAAGACCAGATGCTTTCTTTACAGGGCTGTCCGTATCTGATAACACATAGAACATGTACGGTTAGGTAGTTTCATCACTCAAACTGTCATTTCTACAAAATATATGCAATTATTGCACATTAAAATGACAGTTTGAAGCACCTTCTGTAAGGTTGAAGGTGTCATGGCGATCATCTTTGACTTCAATATCTGCAAATTCTCTTCGAAGGACTGGATCCTCATTGAAATCATATATCTGTGATGAAGGACCTTTATCAAAGAGCTCTTTGATTCCACCTCGTATTCCACCAAACCGTATGCCCAAACAAATGCGGATGTTGGTCTCGGAATATCCTTTCCTTCGTAGAATAAGAATCTAGACACACATGAATCAAGCAGTGTTAATAAAAAATACAGATACGACCAATATATGCAATCAAAGACAGAATTACAATCTGAGTTGTACCTGATGTTTGCAAAAGTTGCCTTGGAGTGACCAGAAGCACTCGCATGCATACTTTTCTCGTCTCCAATTTACAAGATACCTTCTATTTAGCTTTGATGTAGAGCCCACTAATGCGGAGCCTGCATAGTCATGAGGCCAAGTAACAGGGACAGTTAGCATAGATCTTGTCTTCATGATCACAACAATCACACGTTGATCTTTCTTCTTATTTGGAATAAAGCCAAGTAGCTTCTTCTGATCTTTGTACCAAATTCTCATTACAAAATCCCCTAGCAGACCATATACTGTATGATCCAAACGTTGCTCATGTGCATTCCTGCGCCAGCCATAAAGGAAATCCTTCATGTGTCCATGCATTGATTCCATAGCGTTGTTGGTATCTTGATTGTTACGACATGTGTTCCTCCGTTCATCACGAATCCACTGACCTGAATTCCAAAAATTGTAAGTTAGATGTGCTTGTGGAAGTTCATTAAGCAAAAAACAACTTCCAAAATGTAATAACTTCAAATATAATGCACATGTTACAAACTTACACTTACCCATACAAGGTTCCCATTCTGTTTGAAAGTATTTCACAAATTGTGGCTCAGAGAGCTGAAATTTTTTGTAAAATAACAGAAGCTTCATCGCAGCAGATCTTTCCACATCAAATTCTTCTCCATCAGCATTTAATGTGCTTCCAAAGCACAGATCTTCTAAAGCAGCATTCATAATAGCTCTCTTTTCATGACCACTCACAACCTCAATCAATTTCTTTGTCCATGCTTTTTGAACATGATATATGCAAAGAAATACAGGGATATGCGGAAAAACAATGTCTAGGGCAAGTCTCTCATTGTCAGCACAATCTGTCATGAAGCACGAGGGCATCCATCCAGGGATATAATGTTGGGCCATCTTCTTCACTGCAGATAATAAATCCACCAGATCTTCTGTTTCTTCTCTTTCGAGGAATCCAAAAACAGTAGGATGTCCGTGTTCATATTCGTCAAACACCATCAGGGTGTACAGTGGATACTGCATTGCAAAAAATGAAATAAACGTATCAGTTTGCTGCTAGCAATCGTCTACAAAGTATTCATCTTCATTGATACTAAGCTAAACCTGATACAAATGAATGATTCGTTATTTTTATGTCTTGATAATTTAGACGTGATCAAGGTATATAAAACAACATATACAACACACATTGAGACGTTCAATAATCTCTTACTGGATTGGTTAAAGCTCCAAACCGTCATTTTTTCAAATATCTTGCAGAGATTGCAAATAGTAAGGTAGAATATACATAATCATGGAAGCCTAATGATAAAAACATCAAAATGTGGTAGTAGAATATTACCTTATACTTCTGCGTGCCATGCGTTCCATCTATAGCAACACAACCTCCATTTTCATGTTTTAGCAACCAATCTAGGAGCAAGGGTCTTTTAACAGCAAGCCTCAATGGTTTAAATGGATCACTTTTTGGTGCCTGATACAAAACAACTTGAGATGAATTCGCTTTCATCCATAATTCTGTGCTAATTCTATCATTAGCATGCCTTCTCCAAGTTTCTTTGTCCAGTTCCAATTTGATATTATACATATCGGCAGATGTGATATAATGATCTCTAATAGGGGACCCTTGCACATAGCCTAAGCGCTGATGATTTTCAAACAGTGCTTTTGCAGCACGCATGAGAATTTGTGGAGGAGTTAAACCTCTTCTTAACTCGCATTCAACCCACTCCCTGGCATAAGAACGTAGAAAATATTAGACAACGTGCTTGCTTAGTGTCAAAGTTTTACAAATTGTAATAACAACAAACTTATTGTAGATATTACAAATATGACGGAAGATTGACTGTGAACGATAAACAAATATATTGAAAATGTAACAAATATGCCGTTACCTGCATTCAGAGGATAAATTGCGCACCATTTGAGATGGCAAGCCAACACTATCCGAACACGCTGTGCCATGACAAGTTACACCTGCAGCATTTACGTGTATTCTATGCTTGTATATCAATTTTGTGATTCCTGGTGGAATGTGATCATTAGACAGCAGTTTAATGGCACTAAACCTGCACTGACAGCCCTTGTGATGCGAATCATGATCTAGTCTATTCCTGCTGCCAGGACCAAATTTTGCCTTTGTTGATGGATCTTGAATAAAATTCGAGGAAAGCATACTCTTCTTGCCCCTTTCTGGAGTACCATACTTGCAATAATACATTGCATACGATTCCCAATTGTGCCTAGTAACTCCACCCTTGTATGAGCAACGTGTCACAAATTCTGTCTTCGCATCACTATGACAAGATCCCTCTCCCGAAACAAAATCGTTAAGCCTCGAGCTTTTGATGTAGGCCGTCCCATTTGACCAATTCAACATTAACGAATTGAAAGGGCCTTCATAAGGTGGGTCCTGCACAATCCATCCTGCCTCCATGCTGTCACCACACCTGCAAAAGCACCTGAAATGACAAGAAAAGTACAAGCACGAGCTCTGGCACGAGCTCCTCAAAGCACTGACACTGGCACCCAAAAGCGACGTCGAAACGACGAGCTGGAGAATATTGATGTGATTCTATTTTCAAAAACCCTAATCTTTGCCGCTTAAAATTTCGTCGCCTCAATTTGTTATCACCGTTTCATTACAAATATTACAGTCTGAACATTAGGGATTCCATCTGAGCTATCCCTCTTGCAGTTCAGTTTTAGTTCTTTTTCCCACAACGTTCCACGACACGACTGCGATCATTGCAACGCACTAGATATAACGTTGCGGCCTCTATATGGTTGCCGCAAAGTGCCCTCCCCGTTCCCTCCCCGCAAAGTGCCCCGCCTCCCCGTTCCCAAAACTGAGATAAAATCCGGCTGATCCGGGGCAGCCCGAAGGGAGGATGAAGAAAGAAAGAAAGAGGAGAAAGAAACTGGAATCCCTGACACCTGGCAGTACGGCCGTTTGTAAAAGTTTGTGCAACTAAGCGAGTCGAACAATCTTTGTGAAAAGATAACAATTATGAAATAGAAATTACGATAGCTATGTCTCCTATTATGTTATGCTCTTATACATATTCTCATTAATATATATATATATATATATATATGACTTTATACACAATCATTCTATAAATATTTTCAAAGCATTCAACAAAGTTTAGAAACACATAACATTCATAGTTTCAAATCTATAAAATTTTGAACAAAAGTGTGAAACACAAAAATATTCATAGTCTCGTAACACTCTAATGCTAGAGTAAGAGGACTGAACACCCCTGTTACCTCTTACTTTTGCTTCCAGACTTTAGCTACTGCTACAATTTCCTACATTCAGACAGTTCAATACTCACTCATTTGAAAATTATTTCATATTTGGCACCAATAATCATGATGTGTGTAACAATAACTTGATATTTCAAGTCAAACATAGATTTGCAGTAACTTTAGTTGATTGCAAGTATACAGATTGTGCATCAGCTCAATCTGTGTAAAAAATTCACGCTAAGATTGATGACATGTGAGCAACCAATATTCAAACTTCATCACAATATTAATGACATCTTGTTGTTTTTTTCGTTTGTAATAGAAACAAATCATGTTAAATTTGCTCCATTTACAAACAAAAATTCCTTCTTATGTCATCAATGAAATGTTTCAAGTCAAAATAAAATTAAAATAATAAGAAAATGATGCAAGTTCAAGATTGAAATTCACGGTCATCATTGCATCGATTTTGGAGCAAAGAAATGCTTGTTTATTTGTGTAATTTTCGAATCGACTAAATATATATATAAATCTTACACTTTTGGAAATCTATGAAATGAGATTAAACATGTACTCCAATAGAAGAAAAAATTTTAATAATTATACTAAAAATTATCTATTTATCCACTTTGAGCATGGAAAAGACGATTCTCCAATACCACATGTGTCGGAAATATATCCAGGTACACAATAATACAGTTGACTAATAAAAAAAGTGACCGGTACCGAACACATCACAACACGAGCTGAAGTCAACAGCATGAAGCCTCGGACTTTTAGAAGCAGAGAACGAAAAGTAAATATGACATCACACTCTCGCTGTGAGCTCAGACAATGACACTGATCAAGGGATAAGGTGGATGGGTAGGATTGCAACTATTGCATTCAACCCACCAACGCACTCATGTTATGTTGTGGTACAGTCGAGGGGATCCAAGCTTCGACACCACACAGCAAGTACAGACATGGCGATGGTGGCTAATGTGCGTGTCCTGGAACAAGCTCTATCTATCCTCTATCCGTGAAACCAACCGTAGACTCATCCAACTCACACTCGGTTGCTTTATGTGCTCAGCAGGCCCACGCACGAACCAGTTTCCTGTCAAGAAATGTGCAACTGTGTGTGCGGCAAGTCGGACAACGAGATTCCAAAAGACGGCTGCAAGACTGACTTGCGAGTGTTCCAATCCAATGGCATGATTTGTCACCGACGCAGTTTTCTGCAGTTTTCTGCTCGTCCACCAACCACATGTTGCACCAATCGTTACACTCTACACTGTCAGCATGGATTTCCATAGGCCGCATCATTTCAACGCCCTTCTATTTCTGGAACTCTTCATAATGAGCCGACTTCCTTCCTCGAGTTGAATATGCGAAGTCAAGCCAGCAGCGATGAATCGCTTTCCAGTACCGTCGCAGCAGCCGCAGCAGCTCGACATTATCCCACTATAATTGTAAGTCCTTGAGAGCCGAAAGTGGCTCGTGTCTTAAAAATTCGGCCACCAAGCTTTCAAGGTGTGCATGCTATGACCCAAATGAACCTGTGACTGATTCAACGCCAGTCACGAACTGTGAGTATCTCCTCGAGTCTTGGAGGTTCTCTTTTCTTCAAAGTAAAAAGTAGCATCATCTATTCTTTGGTGGACATTTTTGGGTTCAGGGTGACCTATGACCTTAAACTAAGCTATAACTTTGACATATATTGCCCCGCCATCTGCTGTAGGACGAAGCACTCTGACGGACATAGACTCTAAATTGAAGCCGAATGATTATAAAAATTTTTTAAGTAGACTTTAAAAAGATTTAGAGTTTTGAGTTTGTATGATATGGAGCATGGACTTAATTATTAAGTCCATGATCCATTATCCAAAAGGGGTATTATTAAGTCTTATTAATACCCCTTTTGAGAATCAGAGGTTGAATTATATATGATGTTGGAGCAATCATTCAGATGTCCTTCAATCATGAAAATTAAGTGAGCCAGTTGTGTAATTTTCTTCCTTCATTGTCTGTCCTAGATGTGTCAGCTTTGTATAGTGATCAACAGGTTCCAGGGGTTTCTAACTTCACCGGAAGTAACGAGAAAGTGGTTGTACATTCCACATCGAATGAACGAAATTGCACATCAAATGCATGTACATCGTACATACATTCATCTGCAAATTGCATGGGGTCCCAAATGTAGGAATGCAGCGTTAACTAGCCCTGTTGAACTCGCACCACAGATTCAAACGTTTCGCCATCATTTCTTTTACACATATCCATTGGACGGTTAAGAGTCAACTATCTTTACAACCTCCTACGTCATATACCATCATTTCAACACGGGAAAGAAAAGACAGAGTACTGTGCTGGAAAATCCTAGCTTTGTTTTTCTTCGTCATACTAAATACATCGTTAACTGCAAGGAAGTTAAGGGATGATATGTCTGCTGCAGATTCATTATGAGTTGAACCTGAATTCAGAAATTGCTAATTATACTGTCAGGAGAGTTCTGTCATCTCCTCTATTACGACTTTGTAACAGTATCTTCTTATGACATCGTGGTATACAGTGTAGCCTATGTGAAAACAAAAAAATTGGCAAGGAATATGGCAAGGAGACTAACATTCATGCGCATCGGTATGAAAGGGACACATCCAAACTTGCACAGCAGCACACACGTTGAAGTGATCTCCGTATCGTCTGTACTCCATTCTTCGATCAGAAGCACTTAGTGCCTGGAAAGGCAAAGAAGAAATATAACGTCGTTTCCTTTCAAATGCTCATCAATTGAATCCATTGAATATAGAAGGAGACCATGGCATATAGCAAAAAGGACGCGAAGACCCCATGATTCCATACATATTCTTGGAACCCAGGAGTTTGAGTGCAATGTAATACACGTTAGAGAGATGAGTGTCATTTTGACTTGTGAATGTTTTTTTCCCATTTCAGCACTGAGAAATCACTATTCAAAAATGGGCAAGCTAATCCTCCGAAAACTACATGAGTTGAGGAAATTTATTATTAATCAGACTGTTTAATCAACATATTTTGGTGAACCGAGAACATCGACTTTGTAATGTTCTGGGTTCACAAAATCCAACCGCTGTTTGCGTTTTTTCACGATTTTATCTATGTCTTTTTGTTCTCAAGAAAATTCGAGATTATCTTGATATTTTAGAACTAGTTGAACAACTTCTTGTGTTTTCAAAGCTACAAGTTCCTAACTTAACCAAGGAGACAAAATACTAGAACTTGCTCGGTTTAACTCATCAGGTGTCACCGCAAAGTTTTAGTTGAGTAACTCCTTTAGTTTCTCTAGTAAAGCCACCTAAATCGACAAAACATTGTCACAAACGGTCACCCCAAAGTTTTAGTAGAGTATTCCGTTAGTTCCTCTAGTAAAGCCACCTATATCAAAAAAACATTGTCACAGACATTCACCACAAAATTTTAGTTGAGTGACTCCGTTGGTCTATCCAGTAAAGCCACCTGGATAACAAAGACTTTGTTTTTGGATTTACGGAACTGTCTGAAAGCACCTGATTTATCTGAACTGTCGGAAAATACGGAACTCGAGAGTCCGATTGACGTATTTGGAGAGACCTGATGGTATGTGATATTCTTTGGTTCAAGATCTTCAAGCATTTTTAAAAATTTAGAAATGACAAGAACACACAATGGATCAGAGTAGTGAATGAAGTCCACAAGCTAATGATGTTGCACATAATTCTCGTTTTCGACAAGGAGGTCCTGAAGAACAATTACAGGATACTTGCTTTGCATCACCCGGCTTTCAAGGTTTTATTTTGAACCAACTATGGGTTGTAACACTCTCAGAACGTTCCACGAGCAGGAGGAGATGCCATCAGAGATCTGTTTGAAGAACTGAAGAACTGCACCGATCTTCCAATTCAGTTTCATGAGGCGATTATAAACGCACTGCCTTGACTTACAACTTGTGAGGAATTCTTATAATGTCGAATACGATCAAGAGCTAAATGTTACTGAATAGAATCCCATTTTCGATTTTATGACATGTAAAAGGCTTTTCAATTCAAGTCGATTTGCTCCAATCGCCACACTCATTGTCGTTGTTCACTTTATTTCTGCCCCAATTCGCTAAGGAATGTTCTTATCGTGAATCACAGTCATCAGCCGGAACTGTGCTGACGGAAGCAAAAGTATTTTACATCGTAACACAGACAGAAGAGTACAACAAACATGAATTGTCATCTCAAGAGTCGCACAGCATTTATATCATCTTTGAGCTGGGCATAAAGTCTTTGTTCACTTACAGAGCTCGCTTTGTTTGGGCCCCTAAGGTCATTACCTTGAGCTTGATAGTTCCTTCTCATTCCATTAATTTTATCAGCAAAAGCACGGGGTGAAGGGAACCAAGACTCTGAAGAAACATTACGTATACAAGCTTGAGCTGTAGATGGCCTCCGATTTTGAGAGAGTGATCGATTTTCAGTTTTGGCTGGTTTAGGATGTTCAACAGGGGAATCTCGCACCAGAGAGTTCACTGTTTGAGGTCGAGGTAGATCTCACTCTGGTGAACCAGAGTGAGATCTACTGCCCCATTCATCAGCAACAGATGGGTGAGCCCAGGTGGATGGAGTTTGAGGTCTCCCTCCCGCCCGAATTGAATCAGGCCTGTAATCGACTGGAGCACTACCTGGACGGCAGAAAGCATTGCCTTTCATGCCAGATCTGCTAAGAACGCGGTTCCCTTGTCCCACAAAGGTCAATGTTGCATCTGCATCCCCAACACGATCTACCCAAGTGTTCAACTTCTTCTCGACATCACTGTGCACCTGCGAAAATAACGGCGGCACAGGATAGTCTTTCCGAAGTGATGCACGAGGCGTAGGCTGTGATTTATCCGGACCAGGCCAGAACGGAACTCCCATAAGAAGAGGACCAACTCTGGCTGAAAATTTCGGTGAGGGAGGGGCCAAATTTTCGGGCAGTACTTCTACATGACCCGGCCAAAAGGGCCCTCCAATAGGCAAGGGTTTGACGTCATGATTGTTCAAGCCTTTCACCTTATCAAAGATCTGCTCACTGCTTATATTGACTGGTGGACCTTCACGAGGAGGGCCTAGCATTGAGAAGAGAGTATCATCTCGTCTTCGTACCTTTCCAACTTTACCTGGCACAATTTCTTGGAAGTGAGCATCCTTGGAGATTTGCGCTGGCTGAGGTTCACACTCTTGGAGAACTGAAAGCACAGGAACCTCACGGAAAATATCAGCAGCCATGTGCGAATTGAGATCATCCGACAATTGCCCGGAATGGTTTTCCTCAATACCAGTCGGCCGCTTGCTTGGTGGAGACACAGCATGACCTGTTTCAAAAGTGGTCCGAAAGTTGGGACACTGAATTGATTCCAGGTCTCTCTCATGCTTGGAAACTGTAGCAGGCCTAATATCACTTTTGGACTGGATTTGACTGATCGTGGTTTGCATCTGACTGGTTTTAGGGGTGGCTTGCTGAGTGAACTGCACTCCCTGCGCCCAGTTCGAAACTTTCGTAGACTGAGTAGCAACATCGACTGGCTCGGAAGAGCGTCCCAAGGGAGCTCTCTGATCAGAACCTGGGTCCTTTAAATATTTGGACACTGAAATCGGGCGGCCACTGTTGAAGGGCTGAAACTCGTTGACTGAACCTTGTACACGGTGATTGGCCAAAAAATCTGGTACCCAAGAAGGGTCGTAGCAGGGTTTGTTGCGAACTGGAGACACAATTCCTTGGTCCACACTCCTTCCTACGTTGTTGGAGTCATCCCACCCAGCTCCATGCTTCTTGGGCAGAAGTGGAACCATATGTTGCACCAGTTTCCAGTAGTCAAGATATCCTGCAGCAATGTGATAAACAATCTCATATATATGCAAAAAAAACTTTGACATAAGACATGCTTATACTGGCCATGAGTCATGCAATCTCTTCAGGAGTAACTTGTCACTAGAAATACCTGACACTTCCTTACGAGTAAATTAAAAGAAAAGTCAACGTACCATCACCATTGGGATGAACAAAGGCTTTGGATATGGACTTCAAATCACTTGGGCAAACGTTCAGCCTCAAAGTCTTAAACGCTCGATCCACCTCATTGATATCCAGTTTTCCTGAATGTTTCCAATTCTCCAAGATTAACTTCCACTGGTTTAACATGGATATTCAGTATAACAGGTATTTGAAGATAACTTGATACATTACTCTTTCTGTTTCTCGTCGTTTGCCAGATTGACTTCCGAGGAGAGTGGTATGCATGCAAGTCAAAGAGTTGCGTTAAGGAATTCGGACTTTTGCCTTTTAAGGAGACGAAAACACTTCAATGTAGAAATTTCTTGAGAGAATCTTGCGAATCTAATAGCATTTTAAAAGCAGCAGTGTAAGTAGCAAACCACTTTTCTGCCGGTCGAGGAGTTCAAACGTAGAGGCAACATCTTTCGAACTAAGCTGCTTCAGTTTGATTTGATCCTGCACCAGAGTTTCCGTGTGAGGGCATAATAAGAAAAATCAGGAGTGCAGAAAAAACTTCCGGTGTTCCAGTTCATATGTAGACTCATTGAAATCGCTGAAGCGGGTCTGGAAGTACCTGCATTCTCGTTCTCAGAAACTGCAGTGCTGAGTCCTGTGTATCCTTTTGCTCTTTCTCATCCAGAGTATGAATATTTGCAAATTCTTTGCGACGTCTGGTGCCATCTTCCCAGGTACCACTACCGGCATACGTACCCTAAACCAATGAGATCCAATCAAGATCAACTCAAAGACCTTTCTCTACACGGGTCTAGTTTATGCAGTATCATCATATCCATCGACTCAAAGACAGAAGACCTTCGAATGTCCATACGACTCCCATCAGTGAAAAAACCCTAAGCCCATCTGTGGCTTGCTTGTACTGGGAAACATGTGTTCATCTGCTGCTGAAGATGTATATCATCGTACAAAGACTGCATTATTACCTTAATATCATCAATTTTCAGTCTCAAATCTCGAGGAGTTCCGATGTTGCGCGTTCGAGTAAGCTTCTTTGGATGCGAGCCTTCAGCTTCTCGATAGACCTCTGAAGTGCTTGGTCGCACAGCTCTTTCTTCGAAAGGGCCGCTTATGTCTTCAACCTCCAGGCACAAGTTTCTAGATTCTTTACCTGACACCCGGATACGCATCATATGCGTGTTCAGATTTTATAGAGACTATCAAGCAATATTTTGTATGCAAATTCTTACACAACATCTTACTGCATTCACCAGACACAGCTTAAGCAAAGACGATGCTCACACAAACGTTCCAGGGACCCGTGGACATCACATGAAGCAGAGTGCTTCAGATCACAGGCGATAAAACTTTCTTCGACAATGATGAGATACTGCGAAACACACACAGCACCCTCACTCACCAGATTTCCGTCGATGGAAAGGCCTCCATCCAGGACGACAGCCTTCGATGTCGCTCACACTTAATTGACTTCCTCTCTCCTGGATTCAGACAAATACCCTACATTGGGAAAAGCACTGAGCATCACAAAATGCATCTCCTTGTAAAACAATAAACACAATCAAGGTTCGTTTCCACCCATAACGTTACAATACATATTAATAAACGACTAAAACCTAGATTCCCCAGTCTGGCAAAAACTGGTTTTCATTTGCACCATCTATTTGTCAAGCTTCTCGCTAACTTTGACTTTATGGTTACGAGTCTTACTTGAGGTTTCGCTCATATCAACAAAACAGCAAATCTACTCATCCCTTTAACAACTATTAGATCCAGTCAATTCTACATCAGAAATTGAATACAAGATGTAGAACTTTAGCCGTTCTATTCAGTTCGCTTGGTCAAGCTGAGATCAGACATCGCAAGGGTAGCACAAGCTTTGCCTGCCGTTTTCCAAAGAAGGTGAAAGATCGGAGAGATAGTCACTTACAAGACGTTTGTGTCTAGATGAAGGACGCGTTCCTGGGATGTCTCCCACGTTTAAACTGCTCCAATGACCACAACGTCACCCATCAATTCATGCAGATATTTTCCAGGTTGACTAACATTGAACTCATAATACCAATTCTGTTCGCTTTCAATTCTAAGTTTTTTATGTGATCCGTTGGATGTCGACAAGTAAACAACATCCATCCTGGAAGTAAACGAAGGCTGGCAATAGTTACAAGCTTTACTCTGAAAGAGCATATATGCAACACACCTGTCCCTCACAAATTTAGGCAGTGGAATCCAAGGTTCCACAAAGGAGGGCAAACAATAGAGGGGCTCCATAGGGTTAGTGTCCCGTGCCTCTTTTCCAACTTTCATATTCTGTTTGGAAAAGTAAGACAGAAGGTGGAGATGAATGGACGTACAAAGTTGCAGTTAAATATCTTACATGCTGTCAATGCATAGATGAATACAGCTTGGGATCCATACGTCTACAACCCGTTTTAAAATCACCTATCCATCACTAGCGTCTTACATTCGTAATGCGCAGAATACCATCGGGAGATGAACAAATGGTTGAACTTAATGTTGGCACCTTTGGATGTGGAGACGCTCCTTTGATATCTTTAGCTTCGAGAATGGTACAAGGTTTATTCACATGTTCTGCAGACATTATCATAGCATGAATGTTTTTTCGACATAAGACAGAGAACGAAGTGAGGTTCGAATTCCATAATTCCTGATGTGCATAGATGCAGTAGTACCTGGGATAAGAGCGCGTGGGGTACTCTTCTCAAGATCCGCCCAACATTTGGCCAAAGTCTGACACTGTTTACACACAAATGACACATAGGAATAACTTCAGCTGACAGTTTCTAAAACCCACAAAACCTTCAAGACAGGTGCTTTATGAAAGGCCAATCAAGAGATGCAATTCAACAGGTGCCTTCGTATTCTGTAAGAACTATGCTAAATAGAGAAATGCAACTCCAGAGTGAGAAGTGTAGTGACAACGGAGGGCCACCTTCTCGGCTTTTATCCAGCAAGTTTGCAAATATTAACTTGGTGAACCCTACATCAGGTTTGTGTCTGATTTGTTTATCTTTATCTTGATGTTTCTCCTCAGAAAAGAATAGCACACGCCAGTAGAAGTAACGAGATGAGTTTGACAATTCGTTTGTGAGCTGTTCAAGACCTTACAGCATTTGGACCACGATTTGTGAACTTGTATAAGGGTGGGACCTGAGCACCAGCGATACCTGCACATATAGTATGATGTTCGTAAGAAAAGCGTCTGAAGTGTACACCCAACCTTCATAATTTATAGCAAGCAATTCCTCTAGATCAACTCCGATCTTCTGATGTCTAATGTCTGTCTGAAATAACATCAGATAGCTGTGCTATTCTGCCATACCTCCTGTGTCGAGAGTGCACGGACAATGAATGGTTTCATTGTCTCTCAAGAGCAAACCCGTCTTACATGAACGAAGCAACCTGCAAGTTAAAGAAGTAGAAGTTAAGGGTATCTGACAACGTGATCCAAGCATTACCGACTGGATCTCATTGCACTATAGTGTTCTGTATTTGCCACAATCCTTGGAAAGAGTACTTAGGAAATCCTAAGTACACAAGCATTGATCACAGTCTATGCTTGAGTTTGAGGTTTGGATTCGAGCTGGAGAAGTCAAATCCAGGAGATTACTTCGTCGCAAAATGTTCTCCATTCTACTATCATGGAGCATATTTGGAAGACCTCAACTTAATTGATTCGTTCGGAAGACACAGGAAATGGAGCATGATGATGCCAGTTGGGTGTCGACAGTCAGTACCCTTCGTTCCAGGAGAAGCTAGACTGATCGTACCGGCAGTACTTCTCTGCTTTTTTGTTCCTATTAACGGGAATCAGAGAAAGGACTTGAGGGACGAAGCCCATAGAGTACCCAACATTGTCTGAGGACGAATTTGTACATTCCAAGAAACTAAGAAACTAGAGACGACCGATACAAATGGAAGAAGATGGTGCACACACCTATGATCATTAGCCGGTCTCACCACGTCCATGTACATGCTTTTGAGAGTTGTGTCATAGTGCAAATCGGGCATGGTGTCAACGACGTGTATCTTCTTCGAGGGTTCATCCCGTCCCTCAAGCCATTTTGAGCGACTCTCATCCCCTTGACGAAATTCCATCTTAGGCACGAGTTCCAAATTCCAGGCACTGGCGTGTCGAAATCCTCAATTCTTCATCGAAGAAAATTGAAGTTGCTGCGACACTGAATCTTGACATACGGCTCCATAAATGTACCCAAAGAGCATACTGAGACAAAATATGACCAATCCCAGCTCTGCATCTCTCTCAAACCGGTACTACACCGGACAGATACCCACAAGATTACACGGCCATCAATTCTCAAAGTGAGCTCTCCAGCTGCACGTCGATCGAGAGCTCAAACTACCTTAAGGTTCTGTCAATTGAATCATAATTCACGTGAAGGCAGACACAAACTGGTCGTGAACTCGGGGCCAAAATCTCAGTCTGGAGTAGTCAACGAGCTCCGGAAATTGCTCGCAGAGGTCCACGACATCGTTGCTGGACGAAGTCAGTTGGCCAACGACCTCCAGAAAGGGAAGTTCCACCTGACCATCCGGTCACCGCTTCCTGCTCATCGGGGCTCGCTTCGTGGGAAGACCGGAACAGGTGTCCCGGTACTGCAGTGGGTGTTCCGCTCGGAGTCCGGTCCCGGTTCCCATCTGACCTGATGTACGCTTCGTCCGCAGAATGTGCCGTGTCTATTCATGTTCTTCACCTGCAAGGTTTGAATTCTGACCCGTCGACCGGCCATTGACGGTACACTTTGGCATTCTCCGTTCTGGATGTTCTGCATTTGCATCTCGTCTGCTGTGTTGCTGATTCACTGTAGAGGAATCTCTTCTCCACCATCACTTTCTCTCTCGTCAGGAAGTGATTCGGCTCCATCGAGACTTGCGTTAATGTGAATGTGGAATTCGGAGGATGAAATTTTGGCGTGGAGTATTTTTCTCTTTTCCCAGGACTGCTTGAATCAGAGGATCCCATGATCTGCCAACCGGATGCTCAGAGAGTGAGGTGAACATGCTCTACCCAAATTGCCAGTTCAGAGAAGCGAGGTGACGAGCTTCAAGACAATCTGAAATCTGCTTTTCTTGGAAGGAATTTTAGCCCAGGGTCTTCAGGATGTCGGTGGAATGATGAAAAGTTATGCGGTTATGCAATTTGCACTGTTTTGTATCAAGTTTCGCTCGCAATGGCGTCGGTTGATTTATTTCATCGCACCCTGTAGGTACTGAATATGAGTCCTTGATCAGAAATCCATTCTCGTGGCCACTCCAGCTTGGCTTGAGCTCACAGAATCTGGTTTATCCTTCAGATTGCTGAATGAAGTTGAATATTTCATGAACCAGAGATGATTTGTATCCTCCTTTGCTTGATTTCAAGGTCAGGTGTTCTCTGTAGCTGCGCCACTCGTGATTCGTTAACCTACATCTGTCGACTGAAGCGGGGACGGATATGGGGAGAAATTTATCCAGAAAGAGAAACGTGCACAATGAAGATGCATCTCGTCCAGGGAAAGCCAAAAGAAGGGCTATGCACCCGAGCAACAAGTATGCTGAAAATCCTCCAGATTTCAGTCACCTCGCATCATTATACCCTTCTTTCAGTGAGTTCGTTGCTTACGGACCGAACAAGAAACCCAGAATCGATTGGACCGACTTCAATGCAACACGGGAGCTGACCCGAGTACTGCTGGATCACGACTTCGGCATCAAGTGGTTAGAGACTTTTCCAAATCCTCAGTGATCACAAATCGCCTTTGAACTTGCAGATTAGTACTTTTGTTTCTCCGGTGGATTTTATTTTAGTAGTGTGAGTCCAGCTTTACTCCCTTTTCGTTCATTCTTCTAGCCTTCTGTAGGAACGTCCAGGACATACCCACAGGAACATGATACCTTCCCCAAACCTCTGACTCCTTCCAACCTCCCTTTTGTTCGCCCTTCTCAGAAAAGAGCGATCCATGTGAAGCCTTTACGTCTCACGCAATGTCTCTCGGCTTGTCTTCGCTTTTGTGTAATGAGGATGATTGTCTACTAGGTGGGTTCCAGACGGGCAGCTATGTCCAACTGTTCCGAATCGTGCAAACTACATTCATTGGATTGATGATTTGCTCTCCCTTTGCCCTGCTCCTTGGCATTCTGAGAAGGATTCTCAGAATTCCAAGATAAGAGGGGTAGACATCGGCACTGGAGCTAATTGCATTTATCCTCTTCTTGGAGCAGCGCTGCATGGATGGCACTTTGTTGGCACAGGTAATATTTAGTATCTATCTCTTTCCGTTTTATCCATAGATGGTTAATCCTTGTTTGAGCATGCTTTCGTCAAAATATTTCGAGGGAGACGAGTGAGCGATCCAAGACAAAAGGCCAACTTATTGCCTCAGCATTGTTTGGCAAATGCAAATGTTAAGCATGTTTGATAGACTTCGAGATCAATAGGGTTGTTACTCAAGACTATTGAACGTTTGGAACTTGATGTTTAGATGATCTCCTTGTTTAGCACTCATATCTAAGCACGACGTTCCTGTTGCAGATATCACTCCGGTTGCCCTTCATTGGGCTAGAACGAATGTTGAACAAAATCCACAGTACGGAGAACATATTGAGATCAGGAATGCATCCATACATGAAGAGGGTATCGATCTCTCGAACGACAAAACAACAAGAGACAAAAGTGTGATCACTGTTGATGCCTGCACAATATTGGTGAGAGAAGCAGCCAACGAAGTGAATGAGAAGATTCAGCCATCAAATGTTAGCCATGGTCTGGAAACTGTACCGGACAACGGCACAATTGAGAGTAGTCTTCCATCGATGTCACTTGATGGCTGTGATGCTCAGAAGACTGAGCCTTACTTGGCAGAAGTTTTGGATCAAAATCAGATTTCGCTCCCTACAGATAATACGGTACAAAATGCAGGGGTCATTGGTCCCTCGTCGAGACCTGAAGAAATTCATGACGTTCCACAACTTGCTCCTGTCTTATGTGGGGTACTGAAGGACGGCGAAAGATTTGACTTTTGCATGTGTAATCCTCCTTTTTTCGAAACTATAGAGGAGGCTGGACTTAATCCTCGTACTGCGTGTGGAGGAACGTCACATGAGATGGTTTGTTCTGGTGGAGAGCTTGCTTTCATTACACAGATTATTGAGGATAGTGTGCAACTGGGTACAAGAATTCAGTACGTTATCTTCATTCTTTACATCACATCAATTACAGTTTTCTTCTCTTCTGCTGTATCGGATCGTTCTTAATAGCTGGGGATTGAGTTCTCTGTAAACAACATTCAAATCTTCCACCCTTGATGTTCGTTCTGCATGGCACTTTACGGTCAATATGTTTGTTAGTATTCTGAGGCATTTGAAATCATTGACTAGTGCAGATCAGTGTTCGTTAGATTCAACCAGGCTCAACATGATGAAACTTCTTGCTCAAAATCTGTTCCTCTGGAATGTTTCTCCTTGGCAAAAGCAGTCTCTTTAGTTTGTAATGAGAGAGTAGTTGGTGATTGTTGCTGCCATCAATCTTTGAAAAACTATCACCTTCGAGACTGGATTGGAAAGTGCGAAGCCAGCTCATGGATGGCTGTCTTATTGCCTCCCCTTTGAAACATGTGGAGAACCACTCACTACTGCAAATTGCATAGGTGGTACACAAGCATGGTTGGAAGGAAGGTAAATCTCAATGCAATCACGAGTCGTCTACGAGCCGTCGGTGTAACAATGCTGCGTACAACTGAATTTGTCCAAGGGCGAACATCCAGATGGGGTATTGCATGGTCCTTTGCACCTGTCCAGCAAAATGTCGTTTTGCCTCGACGAATTTCTGGGAGTAATAAAGTTTCTTTCATGCTTGAGGTAATAACAGTGTCTCACATATCGAAGAGTGAAGACATGAAGCAGCAACTTGCCAAGCCTTGTTCACAACCAAGGCGTTGTGCAAGGTCCACAGTAGTCGTCTAATTGCATTAAATTTGTCTACCGAACTGTATGCTGTGTGTATAAGTGTCATTCAAGATTATATTTACTGTTCATTTTTTTTAAACTGTTAAAAAAAGTACTATTCACGGTTTTGTTTAGCCCGCAAAGGTCCTATATACGAGAGCACCTTCCCGACAAGATTATTGTCTTACATCTCTAATTCTCGTCTTCTGGTAGTATGTAATGTTGATATGAAGACTGATAGAGTAAACCGTCTTGACTGTATCAGTAGAGGGATAATAAAGTGCAGAATCTACATTGTTGGTTAATACTGTTTTAGGATTCTCTTGAATCCGTCTAACATTGCTGTGGTTTTTCCTTCATTGTTTTGTATCTTGTGATGTGTGAAGGGTATTAATCGTCAAGTAAGTGCGACGGATGTTTTGCAAGAACTTTCTAAGCAGCTTCAGGCGTATGGAGCTACGAATGCCGTGAACATACAGTCATTCTCCTTATCGGTAAATTCAGTAGTTTTGCGAACCTTCAGCCACGAATTAAGAGAAGTCAAACACCACCTTATGCTACTTTTGTATCGAAAATGTTAAGTAACGAAGAGTCCATCTTGTAAACATAACTTAGTTTTGCATTTTTGCTTCTTGGATACAGGGTGAGCTCCCTATTCACTTGGAAGAACAACAGGGGCGATTTGATGTCCCATCTGCAACGAAATTGGAGGATGAAGTCAATGATACAAACAAGAGCAGGAGAATACCCTTCCAAGCTTCAGTCAGTATCTCATTCGCCTTCCTAGTATCTTAGCTAGACTTCAACTCTGGCCTGCGTCAATCAGTTCAAAGGGTTTATTGGATGCCCTATGTCAGCATCACGAGAGCTACATGTGCAATACGTTTCATTTCTGTCAATTTTGGAATCCTTCGTTGAAAGTCAGTCTTAACAGAAGAACTTCTTTCATCCGGTATTCAGTAATTTGGGAATAGCCAAGTTATTTTCCATCGGATTATGTTCCTTTGTCAGACTGCATGTCAACTCACATTGGGACCCAAATGGAATGGCTTGATGACAGGTACTTCAGCAAGTTCCAGGAACCTTGGTCATCAAAGCTTCACTTATGAAAGGTGAAGGCCCATCAGGTCTGTGTACTTTGTCTTCTTTCAACTGCCAACGTTCATTTCCTAATTTACTTCTCAGGTCTCAACGTTTCCTTCTTTCTCTCTAGTGAGCCCTCTAGGCACCTTCTATTGACTTTGTAACATCTCAAAGCTTCCCTTCAATGCCTGACTATGGTATCACGTATACCTTTGTGGTATTCAGGTATATTTTCTTCTTTATTTGATAGGGTGGAAGCTGGTTTGAAAGAGCACTTTGTGAAGATAGCACGTCGGTGATAATGTTGCAACTTGCATCTTTGCAATGAAGTGTCACGGAGCCACTTCTTTCTTCTTGCAGTTCACGGAAGAAGTCATTAGACATCAATTTCGTGTATCACTGAACTTAAGCTCCTACATAAAAACATTTCTTCTCAAATTATGTGATATGCCTTTTATGCTTCTGCGACCTGTTGAATCGAATCGGGTAAATGTTGATAATCGTGCTTGGATTACGCTTTCGCGTTTCTCCACAATTCTTAAATCACCATAGCAAACCGTGAAGATGGTTTTTTAGCACCGTAAATTATGTGCTAACTTATTTGGTATACAGTAAAGCAAGTAACTGTGAAATTTTTCATGAAGCATTTGAGCACCTCCTTTTTCTTGGTGGTTTTGCTTTCGTATATGTCATATCATGAAATGACATTCACGTTCTTTTTGTGACAAGAAATACTTTTCTTTTCAGCCTATTTTTCTCTCAATTTCAACCCAATCACTCACTAATTTACTTCAAGGTACAAATTTTTGTATTAAGCACGACCTGCGCGAGCCAAGGCAACCTTCCTGACAACAACGGCAGGGTGAAGGAAGAATGTAGCCTATCTCAGCTTCGAAGATTCTTCAGCTCCGAATGTACTTCTCAAAAGCGTAGTCAACAGAAATATTGAAACAAAGTTGGAGGCTAGATACGCAGGAATACCCCTATTAGCTGGACTTTGTAACATATTCTATTTGGTTTTTTGCCGCTTTCTCATACTACGAACGATATGTACTGTTACCACAAACCTGTAGAAAACTGCTGATATTTTACCACCTACTGGCGCCCATTCTGATAGTCTCAGGAATTGGCCAATGATATTCACAAGTGGAGCACTTCCCACTTAAATTCCGTTGTTAGACTTAACATCTGAAAGGGAACTTGGGTTCTCTGCTCGGTGCACATAGAAATCAACACTGGATATGGTTGAGGCACCAACAAAGCTTACGGCATCTAATTTGTACCCTCAAACCACGGAAAAGTACAAACGGTGAAAAACTAGGAATGACGTTGAGTTTCGTGAAATAGAAGCATGTGTCAACGACATGGATCGGGTCAGAAAAGCGCAGTGCGCGCAACGTGGTTACTCTGACTTGGCTGGAAACCTCTCTTGTTGCTTGACAGTATGTCACTCGTAAGCACAACACTGTTCCTACAATAGAGCAGCCTGGGCAGTTGTGCTCTCGATTCCAGGGCACTTCTCAATGCTGAAAGGTACGGCCACATGGATCAAACGCTTGCCAACATAGATCCATCCAAGTGTATAACAACACACTGTCCCCACCATCATGTGTACCGACTTTGTCCAAACATGCACCACAGTTACAGAAACATGCATTCCTCCCAACTTTTGAGAAACTAATATTCCCGCTCCACCCACCAGCAGCTTTGGGCTGAGGATTTCAGGTTAGCCGGGCTGTTAAGCTCGGAGTGGCCATGTTTGAAACGTGCTCTGAAGGAACCCAACATCGTAGCTCCTCCCTATGTGCAATTGCTTCGGATCTGCTCTTTAACCAGCATCGTTCTGAATCAAGTAACCCTTATTCAAGTAATTCCTGTCTTCCTCTTCCATGTTCACTCGATTAATTACCGCATTGCTCGCTGCTTCTGGGATATTTTGCTCGTAGGTCGTTATCACATGTTCATTCTGCACACCAACGTTTCCTCGTACCATGCATTTACTTTACCGTGCCTTCTTTCTTCACATGCTTAAACATGAGACCTAAGGACATCACGTTCTCAGACGTCACCTGCAGCCTTTCTCCAAAAACTTAGCTGGCAGAGTATTTGGATTAAACTATTGCGCAAGGAGGCTCATTAGCTTGGCGTAAGAAACTTGCTTTGAACTTATGAAAATATCAGCTGTAGCCGTCTTGTCTCGCATGCATTCTGCGAGGTAGTTAGAATAATGGTAAAATTAATCATGGAGGACATAAGAACAAAATATCATTATATTACCAGAAAAGCAACTGATCTCCTTGCTCGTAACACATTTTACCCTTACTGCACAAATATAAGAACCAACTGAGTAGATGGTGTGGCTTTTCGAATATAACTAGATAAATGTATAAATGTATATCAGCTGGCAATTTGTCCTCAATGTCTAAATGTGTTACTGTACATCAAGTTTAAATTAAACACAGTTTGTTCTTTACGCATAAACTTCTTATAACCAAGGGAGGGTTCAAACTTTTATAAATAACTAGCGTTTGATGGAGATCAACATGTGAGTCTTTATACTCATACTCTCCACATTATGAGATGAAAATAGTTATTTCGATGTAAAGAACCCAATTAAAATATGGGTCTAGTTTTGGCTGAAAATGAGAAATTGTAAAAAATATCTTACCCAACTTCTAAAAACCTCACTTGCCTCTACTTCGGAGAAATGCCAAAACTTTTACTTAGTTTGAATATCAGTGCACTCTGGAATTATGTTTTCTATTAAACTTCTTAGCTTATTAGTGTTAAACATACTCACCTCCAATAATATTTTCTGCTTTCCAAATTTGATGAAGATGTTCAAATTTTTACCTCGTTTCCACTGTTTTAAATTTTTTTTCTGGAAGATGTATTTATAATTTGCAAACATTTGTAACGTTCATCACAAACCTTTGGTCCGACTTGACTTGCTACATCTTCTACAATCTGGCGCTATTATTTAGATCCGTCTTTTCATGCGTCTTCCTGACTTCTATCTCCCATCTTCGTGCCATGCTTAAGGGAATCCCTTCATGACATCCAGGGTTCTTTAGTTTGTCGATTAATGTTCGACTCTGTCTTATATTAGATTAAGCTACCCTTGATAATAGCTGCAATCATTTTCAAGGTTGGCACAAACCTCCCACTGTGATTTTGATCTATAAACCCCCATCCGACTTCTGATTCAACAGTTTTTCCACTAGCCTCGTGACTCAAGACACGGTCTGATATATTTTCAAATGTGTTTCGACTCTAGGAATTAGCTTTTCCTTCGTGAAACCAAAGTGTCTTGAAAACTCAAGATTCAGCTATAATAAGAGAACATTTTATGGATAAAAGGGCGAACAGATACGAAGAGTACTCACTACAGAGAAATTAGATCGAAGAGAAAACTAAAGGAAGACTGAAGAGGCAGAGCACATACATCACGTATGTACAAAATATACTCTTGGACCTTACATGAGAACTGCTACGAACCCGGATCAAAAGTTTTGATCCGGGTTTTGATTCAAAACCTAGAAAGAAGAAGAAGAATCCTAGTCCATTACATTTTAGTCAATTTATTTCTACATGCATGAAAATCTGAGGGGTTTAAGTCCTTCCAGCAGTTTGGGGCCCGGCCCCATGTTAACCGTTTGGTTTCGTTTCATGGTTTCATGGCTCGATGGGGTCATCACAAACTGTTTGCTGTATTGCTTGGTGCCCCTTGACTGCTACAAATTACTGTCAGTTCCTGCCAAAAGTTATCAACTCTTCGTTCTTGACAAACGAAACTTTTTCTTAAATGTTTTATGTATATGCTGCTAGTCGACACGACTAGCTTCAGAGAATAAATAAACTCGAATGTACTCTTGGTAGAAGAGATCGTTTGAATCTAGCATACGCACCATAATAAGGCCTGGGAGCGTTTACCCTCGGACAACCGACTTCCCAAAAACGTAAAAATGTCGCCAAATTACGGAACTACACAAGCGCCAGTGGTCTATAAATTCTAGTCTTAGCAGAACGATGGCTTTTGCCTGGACAAACATGCGGCCTTACCTTGCACTCCTGTTTCACTTGACCGATGAATTCAGGAAAAATATTCCTCTCAAAATAGAAACAAATCGTTTGTAAAGAACGAGAGGCGCGAATAGAAAGTTGGTTACACGCTTGCACTTGGCTGGCTCTTCCGACGAGAGTCTCAGGCTCACGATGTGTCGAAGATGGAAGGGATGAGGAAGTTATTTCAGGACTAGACCAGAGCTCAATGTCAACCATTAGTCCCAAACTGATCTGTCCTTCGCGAGGGAAACGCAGTTGCTACGCAGTTTCCCGGCCTTATACATACACACCACGTCGGTCCGCTAACCGGCAAGAGCCGGTTTGGTGCTGGACTATAGCCCGTCTTCAGGAACACTTTATAGTCGAGGCGTAAAAGACACGAAGAGTAGCCCTGTAGCGTATAATGACACTGTCATTATACGAAGTGTTATTATACAATGGAATGGGCAGACACTCACTCATTTGCGAGTTTTTGGGCTTCAGAGAAGACTTTCCGAAGAGTAATGTTTCCTCCTTTTGTGCCGGAAACCAAGTCGTATGACCAAAGTGATGCAAGACCGCGGCAATGGATGAGACCAAAAGCGGTCAGAGCACACTTCTTTCACTAGTTTTTTTAAGGATTTTGCTAAATTGATTCAAAATAAAGTAAACAATGTCAATTGCATTCTTAGCATTCATTCTTAGGTTGATGATCAATTTATAAATATAAAAATATTGATACATAAGATATTAAGTGCATTCACATTAGCAGAGCATCAAGAGGACTCTGGAATAGATGAGACGGGTCGCTGCCTCCCCGTCGAACCAGGTAAATCCAAGTCTACTGTAGTTCTCTCTATGAGAGAATCGTACACACTTGAATGGGGAACTGCGTTGTAACAAGCAAGCTACATGCTTTCCTTTGTGCCTCCTCCTCCTTCATGGATCTAAGTCTCTGCTTTGACTCCCGATCTCGAGGTTGAGGAATCGAGAGTATCACCCGGTTACTACACACCCGAGAACGTTGACTGTGGACGTTTTGCCAAAGAACTACGTTACCTACCACAGTGGCCGAGGGAGAAGAAATGGCCGTATTGACCTTGAATGCGTGTACGAATTGACGTTATGGAGGAGTGAGGTTTATGAACGGTCAGGTACGTCATATGATAAAAACTCGTTCTTGCAGAACATCAACTACGACGACATGATCATCATCGTATTCTCGTTACAAGGGGACGGATCGCACCGTTCGTTTACTCCTCACATTCTCCGAGATTCAAGGAAAAGTCACATAGATTCTCTTCTACGTAGGAAAAGTGTTCGCAGCGGTTTGTAAGAATCTGACCATGTATACAGAATGGAAGCGCAGAGATGCTCATGGATGCGTCTGAATCATGATTCAGACGGGTTCAAGTTTCAATGTGATGTCGATTACAATGGTTCTTTCTACTGCACTCTTCAGGAGCATCATGTGAGAGAAGTGACACCATGTTCACTCCAACTGACGCTGAACAGAGCCTTTAGAAGGAATCCAACAAATTTAGTCATAGTAAGTAGGCCTCTTCCTCCCTATCGAAATTGAGAGCATCTCCAGAATCTCTAGAGAATCATTGTAGCCGGACGAATTGTAGAGTATAATAATACACGATATCGCATGTTTCATGTTGTGGCACAGTTGAAATGACAAAATGACAGCCTTGACAGTTGGATCTGAATGTGAACATAAGTTTCCTATGTTCCTTGTCCAGCGAGGAGGTGGAAGAAATAACCCAGCAGGTTGCAGATTGAAGGTTGACACATCATACACTAACATGCTTTTGTGATGGTGAGAACACTGAATCTCGGCAGTTTTTTCATTGCTGCTTTTTGGGACATTGAGCATTGTTTTCATTCTCCTGTGCAGCGAGATGGCCACCTTCGTGAAACAGTGGCATTGAGAAGGGTCTGTGAAGCTGAAAGTTCCAGTTGAGAACTTTTGGGCCTTGGCAGGAGATATGGCAAACATTTTACAATTGGGACACAAGGCTCATGAAACGCTCGGAGACTCTCGAGGGAGAAGCGAACACTGTGGGCTCTGTTTGCAAAATTACATTTGTTGCCGGAGAGCAAGACGTGACTCTGAATCAGAAACTGGTGGCCTTTGAGGCTGACAAGTATACCCACTCGTCGGAGAAAATCCAGGATCCCTGGGCTCATTCTACCACGTCTGGTTCATAATGTGTCGAAGCGACGGATGGATGATAAATCAACCCTCGCAAGTTGGCAGGTCAAAACCGATCCGGTGCCCTCGATGGCGGCAGACCCGCCGGCGGAGGCACTGGCCAAAACTCAAGCCCCTCTGAAGCTCATGATACTTCAACTCGCCTCCACATAGCTCGCTCATCTTAGTCCTCTCCTATTGAACAACTCTTCATCACCTGAGCGCAACTCAGGCTGAGGGTAAGAAAGACCTTCTGTTCTTCGTGGGATAGTAGGATCACAGAATCTCAATACATAATAGGCCTGCCCTCGAAGGGCATTCAATCACTCAGCAACTGTAGCCCAACTTGACAAAGCTAGTTAGGAAGAAGTTGCTCACGCCCTCTGCATGGGATACACATTTCCGTCCCCTTTTATGGCCTTTTTATAGCCCCACCTTTCCGTTTCATGTGTGTGCATTCAGGCGAGAAAATCATCTATGAACCTCCGCTATGGACAAACGCTATTTGAAGTGGGACGTCTTCAAACCACCAGGACGCAGGACGCAGGACCCAGGACCCAGTACTCGGTCAATAAAGGCCTTTGAGTCGAGAAAACAAGCGAAGCGTAGCTGTAGGAGCTGCACGTAAGTCCTGTCGGCTGAGCACTCGAGTGACCAACAGCAGAAGAACACCCAAAGCTTTATGGTGCTCGAATCAAATGGTCGAGTCAAGAGCATATGGCTTGTACGTGTGTACAGCCGCAGTTCGTAGGCTGAGCGGTTTGCCTCCGACTGGGTTGCGCACTAAATAAGAAGGTAGCACTCTTGTTCCGTCCCATAACTGCGCACACGTCTGCTTGTGCTGTGAATGCTGCTGGTGCCGGGGCTGGTGCTGGTGCTGGCGCAGTGCTCTGAGGGGTTGGGGGATCGGGGGATCCAGTTTTGAGGATCTAGTCAGGCAGGCTCACCGGTGTTTCTTTAATGGAAAGGAATCTTCCCTATTATATGATCCGGTTGACCACCGTGAGCATTAAGGCTTCTCATTTGCTCCGAATTTCCTGACGAATGAGCAATGAAGACGAGGGAAGTGGGCACGTTGCTGAGCAGCTGACGGTATGGCTCAACCAACGGCCAACACGCGAGTAGTGGCGTACCCAACGCACCCCGCATTGTCAAAAGGCAACGGAAATCGACCGCAAAGGCCAGACGAAGGCCGGCAGTGATCATGCTGAGAAACATCTCTTGCGGTCCGAAGCAACTTGCCTCCGATTGGAAATCTTTGATGAAGACAATCGTTTTCTTGGTTTTGATCTGGTTCAACACACGACGAAATGTAATGGATTTTGTTTTAAAAACTATTTTGGAGGAATTTTTTCCCATATTCTCTCTCTCTCTCTCTCTCTCTCTCTTTCTCTGTGCGAGTTTTAGTTTTGGGTGTGACTGGAAACCAACCCAAGCGATGCGGCACCTTCACCTCGTCGCCATTTCTGCTGCTCGTTTCGTGAAACGTGACAAAAACTGTCCATCAGGGTCCGTTACCTTGCTTCCAGTCTCCTGCCCTGATGCTCACGTTGTCTGTGAGTGTGGATAGCAGCGAGAATTGTTCAAGAGAGGGATGAAAGACATCATCATAATGTCCACCACGCTCCGTTTTCAACGCTGGGAGCAGATGTTGTCTTGGAGCGTTCGTCCGCAGAGGGATCGATGCTTCCTTGGCCTTCTCCTACAGTCCGTTTTGCTGAAGAGGGTGACGGCTTCCACTGACCCGCATGAAGCATATAGTTCTTTAGACGTCTTTTCAGGGTCTCCTGAACTTTGTAAGAAAATAGCAATCTGGCGAAAACCTGCTGCACTTCATAGTGTGAAATGCAGCGGAAGATTAAGCACTGAAGCTCTCATACAGCAGGAGATTTCGAGGCAGTTCGCGCAAGAGGGACCTCGATCGGTTGGCGTTCCTTCCGGATGTCGACGAGATTCGATGCTCATGCTCTCAACAGAACAGGAAAGATTTGAATCTCTTTCATTCTTCAAGTGATCCTTTTGATGTTTTTTTTTTATCGCGACTCGTCCTCGTATCAGTTGTAGAGATGAAATCCAAACCCCCAGAACTTCTCTCTAATCGCGGGCACATATCGCTGTTTCAGTCCTGTTTATTAGCATGTACTGACTTCCCTCGTGAAGTTCAAGATGCTTGATACCTTCGTCGTTGACAACTGACTGAATTGGATACCATAGCGAAAGAACACTGCTTACCACGAAGTCCTGCTACTTCGAAACAATGGTAGGTTTCAGGGTATTCAGGTCATACTCAAATCTCTGGACGGGATTGTCATCTTCCCTTGTCTTGCTGCCGAAAATCAAAAACCAAATTTTCTACCTTGCATGATGACCTCTGAAAAACGAGGCAAGAACATTGACTACCACGAAAACAGCCTCTCACTTGCATTGAGATATAGAAGGCGCTCACCGAGCACAGGCCCGAGTTAGGAGTGGCCGGAAAACACAGATAACGAGTGTTAGCCTGTCGCGTTGCTGGCATTGATACAAATTCGAGCTGAAATTAAAACCCTGCCCAAAGAAACCATGTTAGCTTCTCACCCTATTTCCCGTCGTATAAGTCCATCGTACCTGAGTCTCCAGTCAGAGCGGGGTTTTTCAACAGCAAATCCAACACTGCAAATCAATCTTCCATCTTTGTCAGCACGACACGATACTCACCTTCAACAACTAACTCGAGGCTGTCGATTCGCGTAATCCCTGATTAAACAGTGAAGGGAAAAAAACTCAAAACATTCTGGAAGCCAGACTGATCTCATCATTGGAGTCAAGTTCCCAATTCCCAGGAACGTTCGATTGCTGCTTGCAGAATCGAGTTGACAGCTTCCGTGATTCACAATCTAGCCGATTCTTTGTGAATGGTCTCTGCACATATACCTTGTCCTGCGGACACGCTCGTCTTGTAGTAGCCAATGGATCAACTTGCACGAACATTCCCATCGTGTTGAGTGTGGATTATTAGACAGGGCAATCTGGTTCAAAAAGGAGCGATAGAGAAAGCTACTCCTCGTTTCGTAGGTCCATCATAGCCAACTTTTCGACACCCTGACATCCCCTCCTCTCCCCGTGTTCATGCAACTCGTCGTCAGTCGTATACCACGCACGACACGCACAACACAGACAAAGCTTCTTTCTTCTGCAGCATGCCGCATGAGAGCTTTTTCCAGCTACTAAAAGCCCAATATCAAACACAAATGACTCACGTCTCGGTAGCGCATGTTATTCCATTGATACTCGTCTGCTTTTGCCCTTTTATTGTCACGACCAAAGAACGCAGACAGCGTCCCCGCAAAGCCCTTTCTCTCAAAGCCGCGACTATAGGAAAAACCTAAAAACCCTGCCCCTACAAACGCATATGCCCCTGGCATTCGGAACTCATCAGCTTGAATGCAGGAAATCACATCGGCTTCGTAACCAGTTTCTCTCATCATCTGCTCGAACTCTTCACTCGCTGTCATCGGCTTCGTAACCAAAGCTCAAAGATCCAAAGCTGAAGCCGTACTAGCCGTCGTTTTGGTCTTCAGCTTTCATGGCCAAACCACAAACCAAAGTTTGTGGGTCGGCCACAAAAGCTGAGGACTAAATCGACGTAACTGAATCTCTCCGATCTATGGACGTTCAATGGAGTCAAATGTCTGTCATCTTCAATACAAAAGGACTGCAATTCCAAGTCCTCCACCTTCGGTCTTGCTTCCCAAAACCACCGCGTCTTGAAGATTCTCAGTGGTGAACAATCTCAAAACGAAAACCTAATCCCGATACCGCAAACGCAATCCATCTCGGCGACTGATCCCGCAAGTTCGACTGTCTAATCCGTCGATTGGACAGTCGAAATCGCACACCAACTACGCAACGCAATCGCGTGCTGGAAGATTTCGCGAAGGTCCTTGCCTGCTGCCCATGAGCCGACGAGGAGAACGACGAGAGTCCAGCCCCAGTGCGCGTCGACCCCGACCCCTCCCTCGTCGCAACGAAAGAGTCGAAAAGCACCGCCGCATGGCTCCATGACCGACGACGGACTTGGACGTTGCTTTTCTTTTTGTCTTTTTCTTTTCTTTTCGTTTCGTTTCTTTTCTTTTCGTACCGTGCCTGGTTCATCAGGCCATGGGCTTTCCTCGCATAGAGCAGCCTACCACGTTGAACGCGTTTACCGTACTCTGTTTCATGGCCTTGTTCTGACTGCGCAAAACGACTACTGCCGCACTGTGCCGTACAACGACGCGTTTGCTGATCTGCCCCCTGAAGCTGAGCTTACCTCGCACCGGGTCCCTGCCAAGTACTCAGTACAGCGCCGTTAATCCAGCGACGCTCCTGCTCGGTGGACCTTCGTGAGATTCAGGCAGATCTAATCTCTTTCTCTGCCCATTCAAAACCATTTTGATCTCGATTTTGACCTTGTCATTTTTTCCTGGATTTAATCTCAGTCAACTGTACTTCGCCCTTCCGTTAGCAGTCGACAAACCTGCAGTGCGGATTCGTCATCCTCCATTTTAGGGATAGTCACATTTTTTTGCATTTTGAATGGAAGCACATATTTAGCCTCTAAAAAATTGCATAATTTAATTTACATGTTTCAGTTTCGGTTCAGAAAGTGGGTTCAAATTGAGAAGTGGGGGCCATGGCGTCCATGTTCAGCAACGCTTAAGCCCGTAGAGACAAGCCAGGCATGTGTGCTATGTCTAGTAATGTTTGCCTTATCTCCTCTAGTTCAGACGGACAGGCTTCAGTTCTACATATGAAATGGCATTTCTGGGGTTTGTGACACAATTTGCCTTGAGATGCAAATCTAATATTCATGTCCAATATTTATTTTTTGCTATTTTTTTTTCTCTCGGATTTTCTTACTTTTGTGCATAGTAATGTGTCTTTCCAATGAAAAGAAAAACCTCAGAGCAAAGATCAAAGTGTAAGACTCTTCAACTACAAAGTGGGCAGTGTCAAAGACTTGCGACGATTTTTAATATTTCTTCACAAATTGCAACAAATGGTATCTCTTCGCTTTAAAATCTAAACTTTGTCTTTCAGCTATTGTAATTTAATTGTATTTCGATGTAATTCGCCAAGCTCATTGATGCCTTCGCATTTACAACTGAGAATCACATCTCGAGGCTGTACTCATGAGTGCAAAGAGCTCTTTTCCATGAAAAACCCACTCCACTGCCGAAACAGACAAAACGTGTTCTGTTTGACGAAGGGATGGCGTCTTCCCCATCTTTTTTACTATCGTACCGGGTTTTACAATTGGCTCTGAACGCTATGACAGCACACCAGGAGACCCAAACCGAAGCCAATGTAGACGTTCAACTTTGACCATTTCACCCGCTGCCCTGTCGTAAAAGCAAAAGTTACTGCTCAAATAGATCGCCGGAAGAGGATGTCCCGGAGTAGCCTTTTACAAAGTCCGATGCACGAGAAACGACTACAGCCCGACCTTATCTCACCTGCTGGGAGCAGTCATCGCAGACTGTCTCTTGCCCAGTATTAGCTGGTGACCGGTCATTCGGAGGGCAGCGGCAAGCGTCGTCACTAAGGGCTCCTCAAAAATGAGGGAACGCGACCTCTGCCCGCCCGGGCTTTCTGCCCGCAGCCCGACCTCCCCGCCTCCGACCCCATCCCCCCTTCCCCCCAGCCCGACTAGGGATGGCCGCCTCCCGATCACTCCACTTGCCCTTTCCCGTCCCTTCGCAAAATGTCTGCGTCCACTGTTCTGCCAATGCCAGTCACCGAGTCCTTCACGCTAAATTACATTAAATTTTATTAAATAGTTTAGCCCCTTCTGATTCTGTCCCACGTTTGAAGAGAACTGCGAACGACAAATGTATTGCGAGGCATGTCATGTCTTCCATTTCGGAGATTTGGTTGGAAAAATTAGACGCAGGCAGGCGCTGCGTTCAAGCAGTAAATCGGAAAAATCAAACTTCTGATTAATCAAAAACGCTGGCAATAACAATCGAGCCCAACAATGGTGTTGAGAATTATGTCCTTCGTCTGGCCATGTAAGTTCAGAGAATGAGAGTATTGAGTGTGTTATTTCCGCCTCAGGTAGCTGCCAACTTAATTATTACGGGCGAGTCTTCTCCAGAGTGGATATAATCTTCGATATTTAAGACGTTCGTCAAGACGTTACCTAACTTCATGTGGGGAAAAGAGCACGATTCGGATTATCAGCTTATCAGATTCCTTTTTTGCAGAGGAGGAAATTCTATTTTTTACAAAAATTGTGACCATGAGATTTTTGTGAAATAAAATTTATGATTTGAGTTTTTTCATTTATCTTGTTATCACTTTATAATTTTGCTTCTGTGAAATCTTTTATAAAATCTTTCAAAACCTTCTCTTGTGATTCTCCATCATGTTGATAGATAAATAGATTTACTTAAATATAAAAATTGAAGAGAAATAATTTCCTTAGAAACTAAAGCTTTAGAAAGAAAAAGACCTAGTTGTTTTTTGGGGGAAGAAGAATGGAAGCCCCAAACATGCTACTCCATTTCTCCTCCCCTTTGCGAGGGGAGGAGAATTGGGGCATGGGGCAGGAAAAAACTACGAAGTACAAGTTCCCTGCGGGGAAGGGAGGCCGCGAGAGAAAGAGCCCGATGGGCGAGCTAAAGCGGGAGGGTCTCCACAACTAATAACTAGTAACCGGGAGGTCGGGCTGCGGGGGAGGGTGTCTGGTTGCGGGGGGAGGGGGTCGGGATGTGGGCCCGGGTGAGGAGGGGGGGTCGGGCTGCGGGCAGAAAGCCCGGGCGGGCAGAGGTCGCGTTCCATCATTTTTGAGGAGCCCTTAGTGACGAGGAGCGGCAAGGCCACCACCCCCGGTCACCCGGTGTCGTGCCTGCCTTGGTAGTCGTTGGGGGAGTCTCGTAGACCTGTGCTGAACCAGACAAAAAGTCTGTCTAGTCGCAGTTACATCACGGCAATCGATGCACGCGGTAAAGTATTTGGCGAGCTTCGGAATTATTGTTCGCACCGGGTACCCTCAGGTCACGTGCGGTGCGGATGGAGCCTCAACGTTATTCCCCTGGACGGAGACCGTCCCGCCCGGTACTAAACAACTGACGCCGTATCATGAGGAATGTTTAAGAACATGTTTCAATTTTCACTCGAGGCGGCTCGAAGTGCCCAGATTTGAAATATTGCTCCGAAAATATTATTTGCTCCGAAGGTAGGTTCGCTCACTAATTGAGAAAAGTACGCCAAAATGTATTATTAATAACGCGAAAGGAATTCCACCACTGTGCTCCTCGTTGACCGGCATTCTGTTCAGGAAGACAACTTGCGTTCCGGAAGGGAGTAACCGTCAGGCCGACGGAAGGAGAAACTGGGTCGCGTCTCTGAGTAACCGAGCTCCGGCTGTCGCAGTTACCGTACACGCGAGATTTCTATCACCAGGATGGAGAGAAGACTGGGTGAAACCTCCGTCCGTTTTCACCCACCTACTGTACTGCGTATTGAACAGTGGGAACTTTCTGTACACGGCCTCCGAATTTACTTTCGTCGTGGTTGCATCTGACTTCCAATCGGATCCCATTGGCTATCTTCGGTGGTATTCAAACTCCAGGATTCTACTGCAATGTCTTGGACTCAGAGTCACCTACTCCAGGTGCTCAACAACAGGACAAAAAACTTTCCGTTGGCCACCTTTTCTGGCAGGAGAGATGGACGGCAGAGCTCAAGTGTTTCCCTTTAGTTTCGTCTGAATAGAGCATGCATTTGCCATGATAACAATGTTGCCATGTCGCTAGATTACCTTCGAAATATACCCACAGGTTTACTTAGCGACTATTTATCGTCTGATGGTGCATCATCACATAAACTTCACAACTTGTACAATTTTTCATGTGTGTATTACATTTCATTGTGTTCGTGTTCTGAAGTGAAACAATGTTAAATTGATGTTTAAGCCAGGTTCATGTTAACATTTAATGAAATGTCATTATATTTCAACATGCTTAATTTCATTATGATGAATAAACAACTACGCAATCACCAAAGTATATTGTTTTGTTATTATGTCATGTAATTCATCTTCACTTCCCTCTTCAGCAAGAATTTACTAAATGGATAATCTCATCCTCATCAATCCCATATTTAGGAGACCCAATTTAATTATTTATTAAAATCTTGAGCAATCTTAAACTTTGTACATGAGAAGATTTGAAAAGACCACAACTAATCCTCAAATCAAATCATTGATTAACATACCGTTTTTACAGAATTTTGCTTTCAATGGAAAAACGTAATTCCACAGTGTCTTATTTGAAGGTTACTCTCGGAAAATTACATTCCTTTCGTATTTTGTATTATTCCCTCCCCTATAATAAGCTGAGCTTGTACATTTCTACTTACAGGTTTAATTTTTAATATATGCATTATTCTGATGTTTGTAACTCACGGAAATTTGATTGTTATGTAGTCTACAAATAAAACTACAATGTATGTCCGCTTAAGATGAGTTTCAGAGTTCAATTAGGAATAACAAAGATTTCTTTCTAACTTGATTTCAGATATTAAGATTTGCGATAATATTTACAGTTTTTTACACCGCAATATTAAAGATGATCTACCTATCATGTATCATTATAGAAACACCCATTTTAAAGTATAGTTACTTTATGTTTTCAAAAAATCGAGTGGACATTCATCTGTTTCACTTTGTAGACATATCTTCATTACAAAGCTTGATGCAAAAATCATGAACAAAGTAAGAGATTCTCATGTGCAGTTGAATGCAAACGTTATTGTGTAAACTGAACAAAACAAAATATCTCACAAAACTATGAAATGATCAGCGAGAATTCACGACAATTTAGCACTGAGAAGAGCGAGTCGAACATAATTGTCAATACTCGTTATGTACGCTCGAATATCTCTCATACACATATATTATTAAAAGTAGACGGTCATATGAGGAGAAGACACAGGGAATAAATCTGCAGTGTCTTATTTCTTCTTATAAGTGATTGGATTTTTTGATCTATAGAAGACCTTCAGGTATTTGAGGAATCTGTCCATTCTGTAGTTTCAACTGTGGGCTTCATAATCATCAATAAGGTCAGCAGGTTCTGGAGCACATTCTTCAGGTCTCTTCAATTGATTATAATGCAAACTTGTGCGGAAGGTTTTCCCGAGAAAGTTCGTCTAGCTGTTCAAGATTCACCAGCAAAGGAGGGGGAATCCTAATATCTACGAAGGAAATATGCAACTGCCGATTCATCGATCAGTCGTTCACAAGTGGGGCGTCGATAGGTGTCACTCACGTGAACCGAAGGCAAGACACGTGATCGGTTTGCGCTCCTCGATCACAAAACACCCCTCGCAAGAAACCCAGTCGCCATGTCAAGAGCGAGCCCGAGGACTGGACTGTCACCGGCTCTCCCGCGCTCCTCGCTTCTCTGACACGTGAAAATGTGAACACGAACGCGGGTCAAAGTTTAACTCACGACCGACCGTGGGTGCCCACCACGGTCACCCGACCTGGACTTCACTTCCCTTCCCTTCCCTTCTTGCGAGCACAACGAACTGCATTGACCAGCGGTTACGAGGAGAAGGTGAGATTCTTAGCCGAGACCGCTTCCGCTGTATTGGAGGAGATTTGGGCAAGGAGTCGCGGGTGAAGAAAAAGGGTACAGTACAGTGATCCGAGGCCGAATGAAGTTAGGTCAGTCGTGGGGAGGGGGGGGGGGGGGCAAAAGTCCATGCGACCGCGGGGGCAAAAATCACCGGGAAAATGACTGTTCGCTGCAACAGGCCGGGTCCACTGGCTAGAAGAGACGAGATGACGATGAGAAGTTCCGTCCAAAGGGCTGGGCTGCCACAGCTGTGAAACGGCTGGAATGGGGGGATTCAAAGTGCGTTCGTCCACAAAGTGTCAGAATCCGTTGCCGATGAGCCTCCGGCGACCGACTGACAGACAGAACCGATGTCAGACGAGGGCGGACGGAAAGTCGTCCGTGGTCATCCATCTTCCGGGCCTAACAAACAAATTCCTCGTCCTCTTGCTCCCCACTCCCACTCCCTCTCCCTCTCCCACTCACTCGCAACAGCGCCAGTCACGGCCACTGACACGGCGCCGGGATCCCACCGGGTCACATGTGAATATGGACAAACGGGCGGTGTGGCGTCCGTGATGGCCCATAGACCGCGAGAGGCCAGACGGATGGAAGGGCAGCCACAGAGGGGAGGTGGATGGATAGAGTCCGAGGGACTGACGTACGGGCGGACGGAGGTCCGGGGAGGGGGGGGGAGTCGTCTGGCGGAATGAGGTGCTGGAGAGGGAGGGCGAGGAGGCCGACTGGTCGGGGAAGCGGGGGAGAAGGGGGGCTGCTGCTGCTGCTGCTGGTGCTGTTGCTGGTGTGGTGTGGCTGCACTCTTTTCTCCTTCCCTTCTCCGTCTCCTCCTTTTGCTGCTCTTCTTCTTCGTGGATCGGTCGATCGGTTGATCGAGCTGAAACGTTGGGACGAAGGGAGGGCTGGCTCGCTGGCTCGCTGGCTATAGCAGGGCCTGGTGCAAATCGATCGATCTCGGTGCAACGCGAGCACGCGAGGCAGCGGTCTGTCTATACATCCTCGCGGGGCGAAGCTTTCTGGGCTGGGGGCAAGGAGGAAGAGGAGGAGGAGGAGTAGGAGGAGGAAGGAGGTGGGGAAAAAAAGACCGAGGCCGATGGCGGCAGGGTCGTATTTTATTTGGACATAGGGAGGAGGAGGAGGAGGAGGAGGAAGAGGAGGAGCGGCGAGGCGAGGCGAGGCGGGCAGACGAGACGCCAGGAGGAGGAGGAGGAGGAGGAGGAGCGGACAGGGCTGGCGTTCATAATGCGCGCTTGCGAGGAGTGCAAGCTGCCGCCGAGGGTGTAAATCAACAGGCAGCTCCTAGCAGGTTTGTGTGATGTTCTTGTGGACGAGAGATTTTTGTGCCAGTCAGTGGGGATCTAGATGATGGTGGTGTGGTGGTGGTGGGGGGAGCGTGAGATTGTTGGTTGTCGTTCTTGCGGTCGGGGAAAATGGTGGAGGAAGAATCTGTTGTGACTTTGTTCTTAGATCTGCAGGTAGGCAGAGAGCAATTTGAAGCCAACCAGATCTAGATCTACATCCGCAATGTCGAATCGATTGCAGCGAATCGCAGTGCGTGATCGATGCCTTCAATTGTTTGGTCTTCGGAGATCTCCGTCCAGGTGAATCATTTTCACAGCCTGGAGTAGAGGATGTGACTGTCCCGGGAGGGTTCGCACGGACTGTAGGGGCCTCTACCTGTTTGACCTAGGTCTGGTTAGCTGAAGCACAGTTACAAAGAATGTCCCAGACTGAGCTCTCTGGGCATGACAGGGCATGTTGTTTGGAGATGTCGTGTAAGACGAGTGATGTCTGGAGGGTGTAGAATGTCCGGTCCGGAAATGAGCGAGAAAGCTGCCTGTGTTTCGCCGATGTCGGTCGATGAGCCTAGGAGAGTGCCTGTTTTCTACCCATGTGAAGAAACTCGAGTCCTGGATGTGTGGGATGATTTGGCGTCTAGGTTAAGCCCCAAAAGCAATCTCTTCGTTCCTTGTGTGCTATTACTCTGTCAGCCTTGAGCCCCGGGGCTCTCATATTTGCGGGGAGTGCATGCATGTCTGGGACAACAAGCTGGGACTGACTGCTGGGAAAAGTTTTTTTGGCTGGTTTCTTAGAGTCTCCACTTATGCTCGGGTTTCTTTGTCCTCGAGCAGCAGAGGATGTTGATACAATGCTGGTGAGGAGGTCAGAAAGCGGCTTGCGACTCTAAGTACAGTTCACTTTGAGACAACTGTTTTAGCAAAAATTAATATCATCGCCAACAACTTTCCGCGCAAGGACTTACGAAGTTATGGAAGACTTTGCGAGCATTCTGGTTAGGGATTATGGATTGAAGCCGCAAGGGAAATCCGCGCCGATGTCATCGACAAAGGTCAGTCCCGGTGTTGGAAGTAGCAGAGCAAGTGGTTACGGTAGTGAACGAAAGAGTGGATCCGGTAGGATGTCTGGGAATGCGTCTACTTTTGGTGGACAGGACGATGTTCCATATGTTACCAGGAAGAATGGAAACACGAAGTCTTCGGGCCGAAGCACTTACGGAGGAGACGACTTATTTTCTCCTGGCAATTACGATGATGTATTTGGTGGACCTCCCAAGAGCAGCTCCGCGGGACCTCGGTATGATGGTGTGTTTGGAGAGGCTCAAGAAGCTGCAAGGGCGCCTGTATATGATGACTTATTCGGGGGTTTGGGAGTCAACGAATCCAAGGGAAAGCTCTCGTCTCCTTCGGGGTTGAGCCCACGTGCTGTAAGTCCAAGACGAACTCCCTTTGCTGCATCCGAGCCCGCTGGCTTTGATGAATTGTTGCCAGGATTTAGTTCGGAACCTGCGAAGGCCAGGTCATCGGGAGACGCCAAAGCCTCGACTGATGGTGATCCCTTTGTGCCGCCGCTCATCGACGATCCTCTGTCTTCTGCCCCCAGCAACTCCAGTTCTGCTCCTTTCATTGACCCGATGGATGTTTTCACTGTCCCCCCCACCATGCCTCCTATTAATACTTCTACAGATGGTCCTCGTGTATCCAGCAATACGTCTGGAGCGTTTGATGGATTTGACATTTTTGATTCCTTCCCCGCGCAATCTTCGGTAGATGCAAGCAAGCCACGGGAGTCATCTCAGTCATCTAGGGATGACTTGAAGAAGACGGTCGAAGATTTGAACTCAGAGTATAGCACCGGAATCCGAGAGCAGAGCCCCACCGAGGAACCCGAGCCTTTGGAGAGGGATCTACCCACTGTCGAAACCTCTGAGGCTTACAACATCTCTTCCAAATCCTCGCCATTTTTTAGCTTCAAAAGTGACGATGGAATGGACACCCCTGTAGCTCCTGGTTCATCCTCCAAACCTGCAGACGATTCACAAGCAGGGCTGTTCGCGTCCCCCTTGGACTCTCCCGTTCCCTACAAATCTCGATCTAGGTCTTCCCCATTCGGAGAGGTGAAGGAGAGATGGTTGACGGTGAATGATGTGAAGCTCGTGACAAAACCCTCACAGGTCCCCCCTCCTTCGCGGCCTCCACCTATTCCAGGTTCTGGTAGGTATGGATCCGCCTCACGGCCTAGAGTAGATCACATGGAGAGCGTTGGACAGGACGACCGCTTTGTTTCTTGGCCATCAGCCAACAGTACTGCATCTGTTACTTACGCGAATAGCTCGGAGGAAGAGCAAACAGGAGGTGCCACGCCTGGAGGATCCAGGAAGGATTTCTTTGGGAAAGTGGACTACAAGACTAATCCGGGTAGCAACGCAGGGGATGATGAAAAGGACGGTGACGAGGACCTAGCTGCAGCAGCCAAACTTCGAGAGAAGGAGAGGCAAGAGGCGGAGGATATCAGAATTGCACGTGAAAGAAAGAAAGAGATCAGAGATGCAGAAGCAAGGGAAGAGAGAGAGAAGGAGAGAGCCCGTAGATACAAGGAGAAAGAAAGGGAGAGGGAGAAAGACAGGGCAGCAGTACAGCGGGTCACTTTGGAAGCGAGGGAGAGGGCGGCACAGGATGCTCGCGATAGAGCCCAGAGGAGCGCAGTAGAGAGAGCCACACAAGAGGCTAGAGAGAGAGCTGCTCACCAAGCTCAGATCCGAGCCGAAAAAGAGCGTGCTGCAGTGGAGAGAGCCAATAAAGAGGCCCGTGACCGAGCTGAGCAGAGGGCAGCTGTGGAGAAAGCTCAAAGGGACAGAGCCGAGCAGAAAGCAGCTGTTGAAAGGGCCGCTGCTGAAGCACGAGAAAGAGCCGAGAAAATTGCTGTGGAGAGAGCTCAAGCCGAAGCACGTGAAAGGGCAGAGAAAGCAGCAGCAGAAAAAGCCGCCGAAAGAGCCGCCGAAAGGCAAAGAGAGTCTGAGAGAAGAGAGGCCGCAGAGAAGGCCCGGGAGCGAAGCCAGCAGCAGCAGCAACAACAGCAGCGAAAGGGTAGTGAGCATGATTTGGATGCTTTTTTCAACCCTGGCCTCCGAGCGACACCTCCTTTCAGCGAGCCAAAGCAGAAAACATCATCTATGAACAGTAACTCAGATAATGGAGTCAGAAGGCCGACTAACAACCCGAGGCCATCTGTACCTCCTGAAGATTATTTGAGCTCACTGTTCAACGATCCATCTCCGAACAGCCAATCAACAGAGGATCCTTCCCGGGGGAAACCAAGGAACGGTGCTCATGAACGGTCTCAGCAACGCGCAGCGAAAGCGATTTATGAAATCAAACAACGGGAACAAGAGATGCAACGTGAACAAGCTGAGAAGCACAGAGCTGCAGATCAGTTAGATGCTGAAATAAGAAGATGGGCAGCTGGGAAGGAGGGTAATTTGCGAGCTTTACTGTCTACACTGCAATACGTCCTTTGGCCTGAGTGTGGATGGCAACCTGTTTCACTGTCAGATCTCATTACTGCAGCCTCTGTGAAGAAGACGTATAGAAAAGCAACTCTTCATGTACATCCTGACAAGGTACAACAGAAAGGTGCCACAGTTCAGCAGAAGTACATTGCAGAGAAGGTTTTTGACCTTCTGAAGGAAGCTTCGAACAAATTCAATTCTGAGGAATTATTTTGAAGGTGGGCTCTCTTTTTACTGTGACCACTTCAGTAGTATACATTTCAAGAGCAGTACCAAAACTGGCACTATTTTTCGCCAGCTAGTCTTAGTAGATTTTTAAATTCTGCTAGGTGTGCCACACCGATTTATCTCAAAAAATCCGATACATCACATTTCTGTCCTGATATGAATAGATTCGTCATATAGTGCTTGAAACTTGGAGAGAGAAGATGGTCCAGGGTTGTCCGGTCAAGTCCAATCTTCCGTCCTCTCAAGCTCTATATGAAATCCCGACTGCCTTTCTAAGGCACCTTGTGATGTCAAGCTGGTTAGTCCTACGGCCCTGGAGGTTCATGTGAATAATTGAACACCGATATAGTGAGCTACTGATAGAGATGATACTTGCTTTTTGTACTATTAGCAATATCACCCTAAGCCAGGTCTCGTGCTTCATTTGTGCTAGCATCACAAAGCAGGTCCCGAACGGGCACTGGAAAGCAATTGATCTTCACTGTTGTTGCACTGATTTGTCAATCAGAAAGTGAGGGTTTCGAGTCCAATCACATTGCTGATAGCGAGAAATGAATGGTTGTCGAGAAAGGGGGCTTCTTAAACTCTCCTACTGTAGCCTTTTTAGTGAGAAGAGACTTGAATTTACTCATCAACTTGCATTTTGGTGCAGAGTTTGGATATAATTCCAAATTGACTGTACAACCTAGACTCACGTAGTTGTTTTCATTGAATCTTGTTTTGTGCATTGTAATGACAAGATGAAAGCTCCTGCTCTGATCCACTTGCTTGTGGAAGTCAGAACTTTTATTTTAGCCAAGCCAATTATAAATTCCCGTACTGTGTAAAATATTGATTTTCTTTTGTGCCCCACAGCTGAAGCTAAGCTCTGCCAAGATAATTGGTTAAGATTTGTTTCCCAGGATTTAGCTTCGAAGAAGCAGTGCACCATGAATGTAAACTTTCTTCAACTTGTTATGCATCTTGTGTCATGGTTTATATTCGTGGTAACAATTTCATTGAGAAGGCAAGAGGGATAGAGATCTCTGTGGCCCTTTCGAAATGTTCGATGACACGTAGGACGAGTAAGATGCATCGTACTTAACATATGCTCAAATGTGATTCACAGAGAATGATGTATCGCCTATATTACGTTGGAATCTGCCACTGTATTATGTACATTGTGGGCCTTTGAAAGTGCTACCTAGTTGTTTTCATCGCATTGCCTTGTTTTCATTAAGTGCTCAGACGGCTCATGAAACCTGAAAGTTTCAATTGTTTGGTTTGATCCAGTGTAAAATTTTACAGTGGAGCTAATTCATCACTGCCCCGATCGTGTGGACCTCCGAATTTGAAAGTCCATGAGAAGATCTAGCTGTTCTTGGCACGTTGGCTGTGAAATATTTTGTTCTTTCAGTATCTACCCAGAGATGCGGCGAAATTCCTTGCCGTTCTCAGATTTTAGAGGGAAAGTTAACCTCGTAAATATGTAAACATGGAAATCTGACTCACTTGTTATTACAGCCTTACATCGTTTCTTAGCTTTCATTCATTCCTTATCATTCCGCTCGAAACTGAAGGATATTTTCAGTAATTTAGTTGAGTTCAGATAGTGTCAAGAGCCAATTTTAGAATGTAGTTAAAAAAACTGCCGAGATCTTCATAGATTGAAGGATCCAAAAGGATCTTATAATTGTCGACGTTGGTGGCGTTTCTGAAGGGAGCTCCCTTATTGAATGGCCAGATTGTTTGACATAAAGGTAGGCTGGCTGTGACTGATTTTTCTATCAGAAATTCCCGTTTCTCACACAAGTTCCAATACCACTGTTGTGAGCATGATTCGGGACTAATCAGAGTGAACATGTCGAACTGTAACGTAGTTGTCATTGTCGTCAAGATGTGGTGCACATTCTTGCTATCTTGTAGGATGTGGTGAGAAGTGTATCGTCATCAGGTCTGGTAGGAACTTAGGAAGAACTTATTAGGGCAAAGTCCTTCGCTTTGTGTTCTTTGGAACTGGATCACGATGTTTTTTGGTTTTTTCGACTTCAAATGTCCCATCTGTCTATGGAGACGAGAAATAGTGTTCAAAATGGATCGGTTATTGAAACTTATATGTCTTCTATACGAGGTGATGTTGATCAAGTTATTCTTCAAATGGTGTGGGTCATGTAAACTCGAAGCATAAGATTTTATATCAAATAGCTCCTATGAAGACTGGGATTTCTACCACCTTTCATACATAGGTTGTGTAAGAACCAAATATTGACTGTTGTCCAACTCAGCTTGTTTTTGGACCTTCGTGTCACATGCAGATATTGTCCACTTCGCTGAAAGCTATCAGAAGACCAAGTAGCCGTACAGGACAGATCCTTAGGACTACATGTTTTGATAATCTTATACTAGCTCTTGATATGACTTTGTTTTACAATCGAGTCTTTACTGTATGTATGTCTACAGCGCCACTTCAGTAGGTAGCGTGTTTGTTTTACCATGGTGCTAAACGCATTTCATTCCTAGTTACCAAAGATGCTTGCATATTACTGCCTAAGTTGCACGATGCGTGCGAAACTCTAGGAGAACTGCGGAAGGTAGCTGAGTATTTCTACACTAGCTTGCACTTCATCATTAGCTGCACTCACCAACATCTCATCGTTACGGTATCTCATTTCAGCACAGAAAATTTTAATGCTTCCATCTACCACTATTAGCTGAGAAATTAGCAATGAGGTGGAGAAAATGCCTCCACTTTTTATCTTCGTAAATTTCCAAGGTGTCAGGTGCCCTCTTCGAATAAAACATCAATTATATTCTCTCTTGATTATAGAAGGGATTTCTTGACTTTGAAGTAGCAATGTGGATATTAGAGTGTTTCATCATTATTCGATAACGTTTTAAAGCAAATGTTATTTAGCTTGTAAAATGAATACTATGTACATTTTGGAAATGTAAAAATATTAACCTTTTATTATCTATCATATGATACATGTAGTATAATATATATATATATATATATATATACACACACACAAAAGAATTGATATGTGTATCACCATACGAAGGTATAAACATAGTACGACGTCCTGTGGTCTTCACATACTACGTAAATGGACCCATCCTAATTATGAATTCTCTCGAAAACCATTGCTTTCGTCCAAGTAAATGTCTAAATTAGAATGAAGTAAATGTTATACTATCAATTCGGGCTGAGCTATTAGGGGCTATTAATAAATATTAGCCCTGAGCGTAAGTATATGTTACACCAGGCCACCTTAAAAGGGGTAATATCCACATTTACCCCTTTTAGCTTATATAATGGTCGCCACAAAGCTTAAAAGGGGTAAAAGTGGAACTAATGGTTTATTTGACGAATTAGGCTAGTTTTGATAGGAGATCAAACTGCCGCGCCTGCATGCAGCCTTCCAACGCCAGATCGGTGAGGGACATGCGGTTTGCATCCTTCTCCCAGCCGAGAATTGAGAAGCTGGACTCCACCGAAGCAGTGTTTGGAAAGATGGTGGCGATGCCACCGCAGAAGTCACGCAGACCACGGAAACGACCCTCGACGACCGCCCAACCTTCACGAAATGACGTATCGTTGTTGCAGCGACCAAGCGCGTCGTGAAGCGACGGCTCGTTGTCGAATGCAGTGATGAGTTCACGGTGATCTTGTTCGATGCGATCCATGACGTTCTCGCCCAGCTGAGCAAGTCGTCCGCCGTGTTTGTTGGCGAGTGCAGCGAATGCGGCTGGTCGAATCGCGATAAGCTGGTGGGGCAGCACCGGCGGAATCTCCTCCTCCGATGGTAGGTTGTCAGCGTCCCGAGAAGCGACCAGTTGTAAGATGCCATCGATCATGCCGACAACGAAAGTACCCATCTCACTGAACACCTCAGCACGCTGAATGACGGTCATGGCATCCAAGACATGCTTGACGAACGAACCCTGGTCAAGCAAGAACTTCTCGACATTGCGATGAGTGATCGACCACTTACCACAGATTGCCGATTGCGTCTCGTCGGCTGCAACTTCTCCTTCGACGAGCGGATTCACGACCTCAACCTCGCACTTGATGCAGATGATACTGACGACGCGTTCGATCTCGGCGATCTGCTGCGAAAGCAGCAGATTCTTCGACTGCAGTTTGACGATGGCAAAGTTCAGCTGCGTCATCACCGCACACACGCCTGCAATGATTGGCCACCACCAACGGGGCAGCTGCAGCTGCCCTGGCGCGGTACGACTCGCAAACCAGGTCTCCAGGTCGATGCGATGATCGAGTTGCCATTTGGTCCAGACGCCTAAGGCCAGCCAGCGAGTGGTCATCTTCGGACAGGTCGCACCCATATCGTCGATCAGCTTCTGCTGTTTACGCAAGCAGGTGGCGACCTTGTTGATGATGCATTGGAAATCGCCGTCGAATAGAGCGAGCAGATTGCGCTTTGAGACCAGGTCAACCTGATGAATCAGGCACCAAATACGGTACAATGGATGAGTGGCCTCACGCTGAATGCGTGCGACAACGCCATTGTGACGGCCGGTCATCGTATTCGCACCGTCGGTGCTGACGCAGAGAAGTTTGTCGCGCCAGCTGGGACAAACGACGTCCAGGATCTTGAACACGAGCAACGCCATGTTCTCAGAGGTGTGCCGGTCGAACATGGGCATGGATATCAAATGCAGGTTGAAGATATCGCCGGCAACGTGCAGACGAATTCGTTGCTCGAAATACGACAGGCTCAAGTGTGTCGAGCTGTCGTTGGCTAGCGAGAATGCCCAGGTCTCGCTACGATTCAGAACGTTGCTGAGCATCTGCAAGCCGGCGCTGACGAGGATACGGGCATAGTCGCCAACCAACATCTCGTTGAGCGTGCCTAGCTTTGCGACATTGGCGACCTCCCGCGTGGCATCAACTGCACGTTCGATCTGTCGGAACGACATACCTATGGCGAGGAAGCGCGCTGTCAGTTGAAATTGCATGGCCCTGTTGATTGTAGACGTATAATGGTACGCGCCGTCGGACTCACGATCCACAACCTTCTGGAACAACTTTACGGCACGGCGGTATGAGCTGCTGTCGATCTCGTCTTCGTCGAAGAACGCGGATAGAATGATATCATCTATGATGGCGGCGTCGAACGAGAAGGTCAGCGGAGTGCTCGCATTGCCCAGATGGGCATGCAAGGTATTCTTATGCTCCATCTTGTCGAGGAAGAATTGCTTCTTGTCATCAGCATCGGCAGCATCATACAGTTTCCAGGCTGTGGGATGCTGTTGAACATGGTGTTTCACGTACGCGTCGCTTCGGAACACTTCCCAGGTCTTGCAATTGACAGTCTTCTGTCGCTGACGTTTCTGGCCGACAATCTCCTCTCGTCCGTGGTAGACACAGAACAGGCAGCGCACAGATTCGACAGCACGGGTATGCACATGTCGCGTAACGATCTTGAGACCGTATTTCAGCTCGTGGGACAGAATGAACGGTGTCTGCGCTCTCTTCGACTTCGCTACAGTGGTTACAAGCGTCCTTGACGACATCGACATCGATCGGTTGACAACAATTTGTAAAGGCCGCAGTTCACTAAAAGGGGTAAAAGCCCAAAGCTTAAATGGGGTAAAAGGGGTAGTGCGCGGCCTCTTTACCCCTTTTAAGGTGGCCTGTGTTACACTATACACCTCCGGGAAAAGAACAAAACAAATAACTCCTAAACCCTTCCGTTTGAAACCATGGATTTCTCAAGAGAAGCGAATGACATCGACCCAACGAAGAAGCTGAATGACATCGACAACTACATTGCTTGGGTTGCACGAATGCGAGCCATCTTATGCAAGAAGAAATGTTATGATGCAATCGAACGAAGCAATTTTTTACCAAAGTTACTACATGCACTTGAGGTTCTTGAAGTACTCATTGATCATGCACGTAAAAACGCAATTACGGCAAAGCGAGAACGAGAGGCTGCTAACGAAGAAATTCAGGAGAAAATCGACATCATTCTCGAGCAACGTGAAGACAACGTTTACTACATTATGATGAACGTGCATGAGCACATTGTTCATCAGATTTCTGCCATGTCTGGTCCTCACCTGATGTGGAAAAAGCTAGAGACACTATTTGCATCTGCTAGTGAGGATCTACGCCAACTCTTGCGACAAAAACTATCCAATCTCTCAATGAGGGAGGGTCAGTTTATCGAAACTCACATCCGTGCCGTGAGAAATCTCACTAACCAACTGTCAAACTGCAACAATACAGTGAAAGACTCAGAACTTATACCTCTCATTCTGATGAGTTTGACTACAAGTTGATCAGAATTTGCTTCTTTCATTAAAACTAGCATTGTTCATAATCTTTATACGCTTTCACAGTTTTTTACTCTTCTTACTGATGAAAAATGACTCGTGAGATTAGAATCAACCGAACCGGCGTATCAGCCAAGTCTCTTATTGCCACCATCTAGCGTAGCAGACAAGACAAGCAACAATATCATACAGATAAGAGGAGATCTGCTTCATTTCAACGATCCAACAGTGATCGTGATTACCACGGATATGACAGAAGAAACTCGAGCAACCGAAATCAGAATGAGTTTCACAACCGCCATGCCTCTCGTAACTATTCTAAGAATTATTCTCCTCAGAGATACACTAACTCTTGTACTCCCCTTGGCGTTCTCAGGAAAGATCCTATAATAGTAACAGAAAAAGCTCTTCATCGTTTGCTACTACGAGCTTGAAACCCGGCACTTGCGATGAGTGCGGAGAAATGACACACTGGTCGTATGAATGCCGTTAGCACCAACTTCAGAAGGAGCTCGAAGCACTTCATATCTCCTACAACACTATCAAGAATTCAAAGCAGTCCGAGGCAAACAACATAAAATGTTATCTCGACGGTCACGATGATCATCACAAGGTTGTTTTTGAAGAAGCTCATGCTGTGTTCTTTGATAACGACGCTGCTCCTGTTGTAGACAATACAGTAACCAATGATGCAGCAAATGTACTTTCTGCATTTGTGAGTCAAGTAGAAGAAGAATAGTGATGATTTTTTGATAGTGGAGCCTCCTCACACTTAACTGGAAGTAGTTAACTTCTTTCTATATCAAAAATCAAGCTGGCCATATCTCAGTTAGAATTGCAGGCAATCATGTTCTTCCGATTTGTGGAAAGGGCTCACTTACATTAAATCAGAAGAAAGTGTTTGATGTTTTTACGTGCTTGGTGTGAAAAAATTTAATTTGTGTTGAACGTTTGACTGAGTTAGACCTTGTAGCATTTTTTAACTTCAAGAATGGTTATGTATTTGATAGAGGAAATCTACGTAACATACTATTGCAAGGGGAACAGGATCCACATAATAGTTTATACAAGCTGACTAAGCCTAGATCTCTCTCACAAGCCATCACAGCATAGTCTTCCCCAACACGACTTCTTCGTTCCACTGAAGTTTGGAATATAGAAGAGCTTAAATCCAATCTTCAAACCTTTTCAGTTTCTTAGGCAGAACTTTAGCATTGTAAGATGAGTCATGCAAACTATTAGAAACTCCATTTGAAGGATTTTAAGAAGCTGGTTGTAGGACTTCCTCAGATTTGTCACATTAAATTTTTATGTGCTACCTGTCCGAAATCAAAGCCAAGTCAAGATCGTATTCCTAAACACTATCGTACTCAAACAACCCGATCATTACAGCTCTTGCACTCTGACTTATGCGGGCCTCTCCCTTCTGAATCCTTAACAAAGAAACAATATAACCTCATGTTTACTGACGATTTCACCAGGTATACCTAGATTTATTTTTTGAAGATAAAAAACGAGACACTACAACAATTT